AACCTAGCAGCCGTAAATAATGCAAAGTCAACTAATGAATTACGATGGAAACGAATACAGGACTCCAATTCTGTTAGGTCACGGATAGAGAGTGACTACAAACGAACAACTCACAGGAATAAAACACTTTAACGGTTTAAAACGCGATATATTAGTTAAACTTATTTGAAAATGATTTTTAACTTCGGCCGTATTTAACTCGCAGGAACTCAACGAAAAAAATTGAACACATATTAACGTCAATCGTTTGTAGAAAACTGGTGATAAATAGACACTGTATTAATAGAATACGTATAAATTATAAAGCCAATGATAGACAATCGAGATGCCAGTGTAAAAAGCAGAATCAGGCTACAGGACTCATAAGAAAGGATCGTGCGATGTTTTAGTGCGCGAATGCAACCGCTTGCCGCCAAGCACGACTCAGACAATTTAAAATACCATTAAATTATATCTACGTCTCAAGTTCGCAAAGTTTTTACATAGAGTTATTAATATTGAGATAGACGGGCGCGTTTTACGTTACAATCTCGTTGTTATAAATTCATTCTGGGTCCGATTCTATTTTTAGTCGTAATTGTTATCTAACAGGCTGAGCTTAGAAGAATTGCTAGGTAACGAGAAATAAACGGTTACTGATACATAGACGTAAGTTCTAAGCTTGAGAAGGACGTAGTCGTATGGTAAATGGTTATGGGTGTTTTGATAATACTATTAGTATTACAAATATACACACTTAGTTAAGGCCCCTAGAAGAGACTAAATATTTAGTGCTTGATCATTATAATTTATAGCGATGTTCTAACATATATCAACACCATATGATATACATACATTTTCAATTAGCATGTATTGTTGTAGTTAGAAAATGGTAAAACAGTACAACGGAAAACAATTTCCATTCTTGCTGTTTTCAAATGAGTCTGTATCCCGAGATGCCACACAAATTTAGTTACAAGATTGGCTGTTTTTTATATAATTTTGCGTCATTTAAAACTTCTTTGGCATACAAGAAATTTTACCGACATAATTTTGGCACTCTCAATGACACAAGCTGAACATGCAGAGCTCTATATGGAGGCGCCAAGGACGCCCGGTGCTCGGGATTATGTAAATAATGTGTGCCCTGCCCCGTGGCCCTGCCCGGCTATTACCTGCTCATCCCGTCGACCTCTGGTCTTATGACTCATTCTGGTCCTCTGTAATAATTGTTACAATTGCCCGCAGCGGAGAGATTGCAGGCGCTAAAGAATGATATGGCGTTTTACAAATTAGCCTCACGATGCCCGTTTATAACGTCATTCGTGCTCCATCGACAAACCTTTGATCGGACTTCAGTATTAATTTAATAGGGGCATTCGCTCTAGGCTTTATATACTACATATCACTGTGAAACTCATAACGCTCTCTTTTACGTAACTAAATGGTCTCAAATTAAACTCCAGTTTCACTGCAAATAAATTTTGGTCCAATAATCTTCAAAGGGTTATGGCCTTTTTTTCTATCTATCAATCAGCTAGATTATGTCGAGTAAATACGTCACTTTATTACTTTTCTTCGATTCTAACTTCGATTATTGCCCATTGGACTCTATTTAACAGTCAATATATCGATTATCAAAGCAGATTTTATTTTTCTAAACTACAGCCAAGTCCGAAACGAAACAAAAACATTCGGTTTAGCGACGTTCCTATGTTTGTAATTATAGACATTTGGTCACTTTTTTAGATCTTCCTCCTCGACAAATGCTCCAAACAATACAAAAATATTTTGTCAATTCAAAGCAGCAGTTTCTGAGATTAGCGCTATCAAACAAACAATCTCTTCGGATTTATTATATTAGAAGAGATATGTGTTTTTACGCTAATCTCCTATCATATCAGAGTGTGTTGGTGTTATCGCGAAGTATTAAGCAATTTTCCCCATAACGCAGGCTGCATTCCGCAGGCGAAGACAGTTGAGAGGAGCCGAGTCGTTGAACCGACCGTGGAGAATCGTCGCGCTTCCGCCAACATCCAGCAAATAAAATCAATTATACGACCCGACACCGTTAGCTCCTTCGTCTTCATTCTTTCCACGGCTGTTTAAATTTTATTTCGGATAATGGAAATTGTCTATGTTGCAAAACCAACGTGACGCAACCGTGTTTATAAAACATTGAGTCTAGCGGATGGAGTGATTGTTGTTTGTTATCTAGTCGCGTAAAGTTCTCTTGCACCTCCTTAAATGATGTAATACAATATGTGCATTGAATGCGAAGACGATGCAAATCTTCTTAGAAGACATTTTTTTTTTATTTACAGTACGTTGGCCTTAGAAAATCAGAAGTCATTTTAAGGAAGAAGTATCTTTATATATATATAAATCTCCTGTCACGATGTTTGTCCGCTATGGACTCCTAAACTACTGAACCGATTTTAAATTGAATTGGCACAACGTGAGCAGTCTGGTCCTACTTGAGACATGGGATAGTTTAGATCTTTAATTATAGTCACAATTTTATTTTATTGCAAACTATTTATCTATAAATAATTGACAGTTACAATGGATTGAGTAAGTAATCGATAGATGGCACTGCTATGGTAAACCGACAAACGTGTCATATAAGCTACAATTCAATAGATGAAATTATTTATATGGCAAAACAACGTTTGCCGGTTTATTATATAGGAAGGAGGACAAACAACTATAGGGCTCATTTGATGGAAGATGTGAAGAAAAGAAAATGCCCCAACTCATATAACATGTCAACAAGACGCGCTGTCGATCTATTTTGACTTTGACTCAGAACAATTAAGGTGTACTACATATTTACAGATCACTGTGTAAAACTAAATACTTCATAAGCAATTTCGCTTTAACTTTACGTATCTCATCTCACAATGAAGCTAAAATAAATAGGCCTACCCGCTGTTAAGATATAATAAGCTAAAAAGCATTCGATAGCTTTTGTTTTCCAACAATTGAATGCCTTTGTCGATAAGTAGACTTCCTAAATCTACTTTCCATTATTCTAATTGGAGTAGTTCAGCTTTTAACTCATTCATTCATAGTGTAGATAGAGCTGAGTAACGCGTGTTAACACCAACGGATGGCGTTTAGTGAGGGCCGCGTCATTATTGGCACCGCGTCAGTACACCGGATAAGCGGCCGATTGTCTCGCGACTATCGTAAATAACTCGGCTCGTGTCCGGTGTCCGACAAGAATACAGAGTTGGGTCTACGCGAATCTGGATCCACGACCAAAAGGGGACCTGGAACCCATTGCACTATTCTGTACGCAAGTACTAGAACAGACATAATAAGGCGTGCGAAAGGGCAGTCGGTCTTGTTGCGCGTCTTGGTACCTACGTCTTAAGACCCTCGAATACGTTGCCGTAACCGCTTTACATAACGAAACAGTTTTTCTACGGACTCGTTGGTCTAATGATAGCAAAGTATTGCTAATAAATTAATAATCAACGGATCCAACATGTTTCCAATCAATTTTTCATTTTTCTAGAACACATGGGACTTGGTCTAGAAGTCTGGATATTAAATGTATATCGAAATTCAGACCGTGTCCGTCCACCGACAACAGATTAAAAAGCCGTGAAGTTTAATCACGTTTCGATCTCAGTCCGTAGATGTCCAAAGCCAAAAATAGATCGAAAGTGCATCTTGTTCAAATGTTGTGTGGCTGGGCTATCTCACCTTCAATCAAGAGAAACCCCATGCTTTTCAGACGTCCCCTCATCATGAAAAAGTATCCTCTATATAACTATGTAATGATTTTTATGATAGCTCGTTTGTTCGTTGATCGTTTCAAATATTCTATAAGTGTCTCTTATTTTGTGAATTGTAAAGTGTACGGCAACATGTAGTACAAAATCATGCCTCGCTGTGCCTTATGAATATCTAGTAATGTAACGTTAGTAGCTTAACCCGTCTACCGCGAGGCGAAGCTGCAGAAGCGATGCGGTCTATTAGCGTTAAGCCCCTATATGGCCATGCAGACCTTTGCCTTTAATCTCTAGTAGCTATACAAGCCTAAAACGGTGTGACATGCGTTCCTTGTTATATTTGATTTTAATAGGATTTAAATAATAAAAAAGAAAAGTTTATCTGTAATTTTTTCGTTGACATATTATAGAAATTTATTCTCGTTAAAGGTCATAGGTACGATGTCACTGAACTAAATTAATATATGATTGCCACTGTTTAGCACAAACAGCTTAAAATAGTTACACGCAGTGTGTGGAAAGATAATCGCATCCATTTTTGGACGATGTTGCCAGAGGCGTCCTTTGCATGAGATGTTATAAAAATGATGAAAAGAAGAAAAAATATAAAAATAATGTATTTTTTGTGCCAAGGTGCACAGACAAGCAATGGAGTTTACTGGATGAAATTTAAAATACTCATATAGCATCTGCATAAGATATTTTTTATTTTATGCTATTGCTATGTATAATCGCTGGTTTTAATAATGTCATAATATAAATAGTTATTTTATTTCCGGGTAATTTTAGTTTTTCGTTCTATTTAATTTTGTAGCTTTAAAATTTTCTTAAATATGAATAGTTAAATAATTGAATGAACGGATGTACACAGTTACAACATTCCCGATTTGAGACCATGCTAACTGTCGGTTATTTTTGCATTTGGGCGTTAGATAAGAACTTTACTAGACGCCAACGGCTAGGTTGGTGACGCATCGGCAACCCTCGCTTCAGGAAGCAGCCTCCGCGCACCGCATACGGATGAGTTCGACGTGTGCCCGGGCCCAACTTATCCAACCGTTGACATTATTGATATCTATCGCAATGGTAATATTATTATGCTTGCGATGAGTTTAATTGGAATGCTTGAGACGTCACTATGAACCGATCGGCTTACAATTTGAACAAGTAAGGCTGCGGTCTGCTATATACGCATTTTTAAAATTTAGGTTCAAAGTATTTTGTTAATTTTTGTTTATATATTATTTATTGCACAAACAATAATAATGAAATGGTAGAATGGAGTGCAGTGGGCCGTACGCTAACAAGCAGGATGTGCAAGGTAGGCGAAACAAATAAATAGATACAATTTTTTACAGCTTATTTCCGTGACAATAACATGACTAAACATTTTCCTTCATCCGATCCGCGGGTAGTATATAGTAAGTACCGGCTTATATGTGACTACAGCCTTAACGAGCGCACCTCGCGAAATGTAGACGTAGCCGGCGGCTATTAATTCCCTCCGCGATAAACAATGGACACGATATAAATAGCTGGAACGAAAATAATATAGTCTCACTTTGATCTATTTTATTGGGCGAGCTTTGTACGGGGTGCGCACTGCGCAGAGGGCGTCGTGCGGGGTCTGCGATAGCATCGGACCGTCTATAAATAGATGGGCAAGCGAACCCTTGAACCAGCCTCGGTCGTCAGTACACTCATCAAAGGGCTACTACATAGTACTTAATAATTATACTTTATGCCCAGAGCCGCCTCGAATATGCGATTCGACGAGATCGTCAAATGTTTATGACTTCTTTGGCGAGAGAAGATTTTTATGTCTCATTAAAGCCGGGCTAGTTAATGATTCGAAGTAAGAATTTGTCCAACGCAGCCCTGTCGCCGCTCCGTTACCAGGACAGCGGTAGTCCATAAAGCTACGTTGTTGTGCAGTTTCTCGCCATGTTCGCTTTCGTTCGCGAGTGGCGTGCTTACTTTTTCCTTGATTAGAGTAAAAGATGCGTAACCGGTTTGTGTGCGAAGGACGCGGTAGAAGTCGAGTTTACGCCCGCCGCCCCACCAGCGCCACTAATGATGTCCAGCGCTGAAACATTCCTAATTGGACGAATGTCCGATGCCTTGACGGCTTAAAAAACCGACACAAAGCCTACCTGCTGGGATACTGTTAATGCCGATGTTAATGTTTCTCATATGTTCGCAATACAACATAGTATTTATTTAATAAACTAGTAGTAAAATTTATAAAGATTTAATAATATGTTTGAGTGTAAAACACATTTTTTTTATTTTTATACCAAACAAAGGCTAAATTTCTTTTTCGCCAATTGTGTTTTAACTATGTATGTTGAATGATTGATAAAATCATTACGCTTCCTTTTGGCTTCGTTTATCATCTTATCAAAAAAAATCTAGATACCACCAGAGTTTTTTAAAACCTTTAAGTCCAAAATCATTAACAACTAACCTCCACACAAAGCTCGTTCCATGAATAGCATAATCTAATAATAGTTATCCTATCTATGTATCTAGAATCTAGATCAATTCTTATCTTGATTAATTAGTTCATCTTGCCTTCGTTGATGTTCGTTCTCAGTGATACATATCTTGATGCAGCTAAGATACAAGATCAAGATAAGTGGTTTTTAGTTTTTGTTTGTCATTTTTCAGCTAATAAAGCGCTAAATTATTATATCTAATTCATCGCTTCAACGGTTAAACGCATTTCGTTAAGTACACGTTGGTCTTGAGATTGAATCCCGAGAAATTGAATTCACTTGGGATAAAAAAATTATTTGCCTTAGTAATAATAATTGATAAATTAAAAAGTAAGATACTAACTAATAACTACTAGTACATTAGGCTTATAATTGAGGATTGTATGTATTTTTGTATGTTGTATCACAAAAAAATAGAAATTAAAAATGTTGTCTAAAAAAAATCATCATCAAAATCGGTCAAGCCGTTTCGAAGGAGTATGGCAACGAAAACTGTGACACGAGAATTTTATATATTAGATAACTGTCATTAAACAATTAAAGGTAAACACGACTTGTTGTAAGAAAGGAGTACATAATATGTTATCTAGACTATTGCACTAGAGTATAATATATAGTCAAAGTCAAAAATCATTTATTCATGTATGTACACTTATGAACGTCACAAAACTAAAGAATCTAACTTTACATTTACTACCAGGTCTCAAAGCAAACTATATAATTCGACTTTTAATTTAATTTGAGTTTTATATTTTACTGTATTAATCAAAAGTTAAAACATATCTATGAATATAAATAAATAATTCGTTACGTGAATTACGCAGAGGCCAATCCACGTAATTATCAATACAGCTAGTCCCGGGAACCTTCGAAATGCGTAGCCGCGGCGAGCCGTACTGCGAATCTGCACCAGAATTACCTTGTAATAACGGACGTGCCTCAGCGAATTGTCGTAGATTGCAGACGCACGGACCTTACCTAGCTGTAGATAATGACACAATTGAGGCCTATTCTTTCCTAATAGTTGAAAGCGTTGATGACTTCCTTACAAGAAAATTATTACAAATTAATCCATAGATGAGAGCGGTGTTGGTCTGGTGAGAACCGTTTGTCAAGAGACTTCGTTGAGCACCAAAAATGTACCGTTGTATTAGAAGTCAGGATTTGATTGATTTTATTTTGAAAATATAATCAGTTCACAAGCAATTATATGATGATACACTGAGTCTTCATTGACTTTGTAAGATGTTAGTGTCTCAAGTGCGAAGTTGATAGGACCGAGGTCGACAATAAGAGAAACGAGACGTTATTCCAAAAGAAATGGAGTGTATCAAATTGACTATTAATTTTTAACAGTCTCCAGAGATATAAACGCTAATTATGACATTAGATTCAACCCCATTAGATCAAGCTTTTAAAACATCAATTATTAATGTTCTAAACTAAGTGCGTCTATAAAAAGGATAGGATATCGAAATTCATTCTGGATCACTAACCATCGTGCACAGATGCAAAAGCTGTGAAGAAAGAAATCTACGTTTCTGTATCAGTCTGTGGATTTCCGAAAGCCGTAAGCAATGAAACGTCGACAGCGTATTTTGTTTAGATGTTATACAATTTATTATTAAGACATGCTTGTCCATTCTGTATTATTTTGAATTTTTCCACCGTTTTGTAATTACTAATGTAGGCACCTCTCATGACGTATCCAAAGCTCATAGTACATAGCGATAGAGCGCTGGAGCGTTAAAAAGAAATAATTTGAACCCGCAGGCAAATTCTTTCCGATGTATATATAGATTTGTCTTTGTAGTTTATTTATGGTTGCAGTCTGATTCATACGCATAGTTGAACGTGCGGTTATCTCGAGCTCAATTGCGATCCTCTTGTTTTTATATTTTCGCCTCAGAAAATTATAAGTACTTGACTGTTTCATCATTATTATTAAAGTGTAGAATCAATTTACGTAGACGCATACATTGATGAATGGACGCGAGATGCAAAAATGTCTGTATTATCAAAACGAAAGGGCTCACCATATTATGTCAGTAACAAATTTTCATTCAAAGGGGGGAGGTGTTGTTTACATAATACAATTATTTAGCTACCGCGATTTTATATAATTAACAATGTTTACAATATGTCTTATTAGGTCACATCGATTTTTTTAGCATGCCTTGTGACCGCGCAAGAAAGGTACTTTTGCGAAAAGCGCTTTCGGCCGTTCGTTGTAATAATTAGCGTTCTTATTCAAGGAAGCGCGTGTCTCAATAATAAATATAATTTAATGGCGTGTATCAAATTGTCTCATCAAAGCACACTTTGTCACCTCGTAAACCTTATAAGTTTGAATCAATTATCATTTCATATCGACGACGCTTTTCATTCGAACGTGCTGTGAATCTAATGAACACGGAACTGCGCATATCGTGGCACGCACTTTTGTTTCCACTGACGCTGACATAACGTTCAATAAGTTTAGACAAATTTAAAGTTAAATTATAATCTATATGAAATATTGTGACAGTAAAGCGAGCATACAATACAGTTGTATAAATAAAAGAAAACTGATAGTAATGATATTAAATAAATTAATACAAACTAATCACGTTGCACTCTTTGAAATAAAATTGCGGCCATTATTTAACAGAAAGATTAAATCTAACTCTTAAATAGCTATAAAAATCTGAATAAACAGAACTCTTCTAACAGGGCCCTTCTCTAAGCCAAGAAATTCCCTCCATTTGAAATCTGACTCTATCGAGAGCCGTACACTTTTGCGATTCTATCGATGGCATGCAAACAAGAAGTAGTTGGGAATAAATAAAACACAATCAGATCGAATGCGGTGAGCAGTACGCACCGAGTGTCCTTACGTGTGTGATATTGGAATAACGATAGCTGGCTCCCGACCCCCGGGCCCTGTCACCTCAATGAACATGTCCGTGCGCCTTATCGTGGATAACCGGCCGCGGAGGGCTTCCTGGTGTGCACTGATAATGTCTATGTTACAGCCATCGGTGCGGCCTAACTAATGAAGATTTAAATCGACGCTGGTCGAAGCCGAACCCAGTTTTGCATCCCTCTATCTACCACACAAAGGTGAATTAATTAGTGACTACGTTATGTCTCATTCTCATGCCAAATGTCTCTCTAATTGGACTGGCGAGAGGCGGGGCTTCTCAGAATGCTGGTTGTAAAGTACCGATCATTGTATGCAGTTCTTTGAATATCAATGATAAGTACTAATTTAATCATGCACGGATGATTCCTGAAATGATAAGAATCTTTACAGTGAGGCTATCTATCGGGCTTGATCGCTGCATGTTTAATTTCTTGTTGGCGATGCAAGTTGTTTTTGTGGTGGGTATTTGGTACACGCTTACAGCATATCTTACCGAAATATGATAAGAAATAATACTTATTTTATAAAGGAACAGTTTTTAATTTTGAGTAAAAGTTCATTTTGTTTTTTAAGTGTTTATATATTTTTCACTAATTAAAAAATAATATAGTAAAGGTTACTTGATGCTTGTAATATTATATCCAGGGTCTCATCGAATACCTAGTGAGGGTGTGGAAGAAACCCCCTCTCGTATACTGCGATTACCATGGTCATTCCCGTAAGAAGAACGTGTTCTTTTACGGGTGCGCGGGCGCAGAGAGCTGGTGTAGCAACGATCGGCTTGTACAGGACGAACCTGTAAAATACCTAGTGAGTTGTCCCATTTTCTCTATGTTGGGTATGGGGCGGACACATTTCTGTATCTACTCCTCTTATCTATAGAGGTACTTGCCAATCACCATAAGAGGTGACCGTGAAAGGAGGTACTTTGACCACTGTGACCGTAACTACTTATTATTTTTGTTTTTCCCTAAGGTTCGACCCCCAGGCCTCCTGCGTTTTAAGTTCCCTTCTATGTTTAAGTTGCATAAGACTTATCCACTTTATTCCATCTGTATCTGTATTTGAAGAGGAATTTGAATACCACTTGATTTTCTTGTTTGTTCCGTTAAATACTAGATCTCGGGTCTGTAAAAACGTCTTAAGACAGTAAAGTAGGTGCCGAGTACCGTATTCTATAAACTGGTAATTACAAAAGTAATGATGAAGATTACTACAATTTGTATTACTTAATTGTAATCTTTTGATAGTTATTTCATTTACTTTTTGTAGTCTATATATTTCTTTGTTACGAGAGTACGTGTATATAGAAATTTGTTAATAATGAAGACTGCAGACAAGTTTATCTCCGAAACATACAAGGGACACAAATGATATTAAAAGATCGACAAGGGTTGCCATGGCAACTTCACTCTGACTATAAAAAAAGTAGTTATCCTAATGATACTCTAGATGCTACCAGCCCTGATGCATCGGATATCCCCTGCCTTCGCTCTGGGCTCGTGTTCCTTTCGCGTGGAGCGAGAACGCGAAAGCACCGCACGCGTCACCGTTTGGCGCCATCTTGGCGTGACGCGTTCCTACACCATGGAAGCCTCTTTTTGCGGGTTCGACCGAGGACCTTTTAAGGTAAGATACGTCTGTTTAACATTATGTAAGCGTAATAATTTAAATAAAACACTTTAACGGTTTAAAACGCGATATTTTAGTTAAACTTATTTGAAAACGTAAACTATAGACAGTATTTAAGCGTAATAATGTTACTAATGCACCAAACCGATTTTGTATAAAATGTTGTACTCAGTTAGCCCCTATTTACTTTGATATCACACAAAGTAATCACCGAAATAACCAAAAACATCATGATTTTTAGTAGCCGCATAGAAAAATCCATTTTAATGACAATATATATAAATTTCATCGGTTTGTAGAATCATAATTCCATGAGGCTGAATATTTCTGAAGTAGTCAATGTATAGTTAATTACTTTCCAATTCTCACTAACGGTCTGACTATTACATGTCGCACACCCAACGAATTTAGTATCTCTAACTTCAATAAAAATAGCGCAAAACTGCGTCCCATATCCAATAACCCTTTTTTATTATTATCAGAAACTTAATTTAATTTGTGACACTAAGCTTTCGCCCATAAGTATCAAAGAACACTCGAGAGAATTGTATTACTGATTGCAATAAAAGACCAATTTAAGACCAAATGTGATTTTTACGTCCAAGATTAAATGCTGTATGCACAGACACAGTGAATCGTTTACGTATTATTTCAAAACTTTTGAATAAATCAAGGTTACATTTACGGGCTAATATAGCTAATAAGTAGAAGTAGTAGAGTCGTTAGTAATTTAAAAGCACGTACTGTACAACCGAATGCAATAATTTGTAATTAATGTGTTTAAAGAGACCTTCCTTAACACCTAACACAAGATGCTTTAGGTTCAAACAGCAGTTTATTTCTTTTCCTTATATCTAACAAATCGTCTGAGCATTTTTTTATTAAAATGGACTCAAATTTTACTTACTAAACTAATATAAACATACTTATTACCTACACATACTAACTTTACCTTACCACGGCTGCTGCAAAGTATCCGAAACGTTGGGCCGAAGTTAAAAATCATTTTCAAATAAGGTTAACTAATATATCGCGTTTTAAACCGTTGAAGTGTTTTATTTAAATGTGTACTACTCGCGTAAACTATAGTCAGTAGTTTTCAAATAAATTTAACTAATATATATCGCGTTGTAAACAGTTAGTGTTTTATTTAAACATACTAACGTAGATATACAAACTTGAACTAACAAAATTACTCGATTGACTTCGCTGTCGTGGGGTAAAAATAGGATAAGAGCACAACGCATTGCACATTCAACAATTTGTCATCGCCACGTCAGTCTTATTTACACGTTCAATTAATAATAGCGAGACATAAAAAGACGCAAACGCCTAAAAGTGATATTTCATTTTAAAATTCTTTTCATTCAATGCGCGAGGAATAGGGGCTCGATTCTGCTAACTCGAAACAGAACATGCTAGTGGGAGCGAATATTAGTTAGTCAAGTGTCAGTGATAAACACTGTCTTAGTACTACACCAAATGATACAAGCCATTATAACTGTCTCATTAGTTTGAGTTTAGTACACTTGAGGATTGAGTTTTTGATATTGTGATCTACAATGTCAAAAACTCAAACCTTCTTCACCGGTTATTTTGTCTAATTGAGTGGTGGTAATAGTTATAGTCTACCAACTCGTGCTAGACATGCTCTTAAGGTCCACTATCTAAGCTTCTAAATTGATGTATGCACAAAAGTGAAAACCCATATGCCCCGTGGGGTGTGGGGCGAATACCTTTCTGTGTCCGTTTCACTGATCACTGCTATGCCCTTCCCGACCGAAACAATCTGTTGTATCCCCCAGATCTGAACCCAGGTCCTGTCGCGCTTAACGCAATGCTAGGCAAAACGTTTCATTATTTCGCTAGAGAGGCAATCTGTGCCCACATTTAATAGCTAGCGACGAGTTATCGTGAACAGCAGAGTTGGGCCCCAAGTGTCGCTAACTTGAAGTAATTACTTGCGATCGATTATTTTACGGATACTCCGTATATTATCCAATTAGTAATGATGGCTAATAAAGCGAGATTAATGATGGCGAGCGCTCGACGTGTGATCTAATTCATCTGTCCGTGCAGATCTCGAAAGATAAGAACGCAATATATTTTCAATCAATGCTATGTCGGGAATGCTCGTTTCAGTTATTAATCTGCTCTTTTAACTTTTACGCCGACATTAAGTAATATAACGGTGAGGTAATAAAAGAAAACGGTGCACGAATTAAGAAATGTTTAATTTAAAAGTACACTCGTTCACTTCGTTGTTTGTGTCCACTTTTTACCGAAGAAACAGTTAAATCTATTAAGAAATCTAAGTAGACCGGAACGAAGCGGCGACAAAGGTACGATTTGTTTACATATTTGAGGCGAGTGAATTTGAATAGCTTTTTTTCTAATAATATTTTTTGGTAATGGAATTTTTTCCATAAAATTTTGTTATCATGATCATACAATTTTATTATACATAGGGGGACTTAAAAAATACCGTTCTATAGTACAAACAAACCGGAGGATTACTTGATGGAAACAAAAAGCGATATCGTCCTATTTTGGCTTTGGATATTCGGAAATTGACTGACTGAAACTGAAATGCGATTAAGCTTAACGACTTTTTCATCTGTGGACGGAGGTTTATTACCGAGACGGAACTTCAGATATTCCATATTTCTTTTAATCCATATTTCTAGACAGTCCAGCAGAATTCAGAAAAAATATAAATTTAATAAAAACAACCAAATTTTTTAGACTATTAAGATTAAGTTATGGTATTTTTTTATGATAATAATAATAAATCGTGATTTTTTTGAAATATAATTGTAAACATATTATTTTTTTCATTCTAGTAATCTTGCTCATTATGTCGGCGAGCCATTAACTTAAGTGTAAAGAATATTCTACACGCACGAACGCTTCTATGTCGGTTCAGTCAATCCAGATCGGAAAATTTGCCATTAATTTTGATTTTTAAATAATATTCTCACAATCTTTCGCCCTTATATTAGAAGGATGAGTATAAATTTGATATTATTCATAAAACGCTGTCCAAGGGAATGTCACAGGTGTGGTGGGCTATGGTATGTGAAACTAACATTAAATCCTCTTAAGTAATAAATTACGAGATTTTTGAGTGCGCTAGCGCGGTCCTTGTATACGGGCGAGAGTCGCGAGCGCTGTGGACCGATAAGCCGCATAATATATCAGGGGACGTCATCACCTAACATGATTTATTTCGCAGGGATTCCATCTGAACACGCAGCATCTGCAGAGCGTGGGCAGCGACTTTTGCGAGGCGCTCAACGGCCTCAACGATGGCGCGACCAATGTCGACATTCAGCTCACCAAGGATATCAATGGGTTTGTCTCATTCTCATCTATACAGATAGGTTTATTTTTTATTCAAAAGACGATGAAATTTAAATGTAAAAAAAGATAACGTTTCAATATATTTACAAATTTCCGATGGACGCTACGTGAACGCATACGTAACTTACGCGGGTCAAATCCTGCCTGCATGTTTTTTTTTTAACTTAAACAATTTAAACAGAACACTTTATCGGTTTAAAGTGCGTAATATATTTAGTGAGCATATTTTTTTTGGAACTACGGCCCGTGGTTCCGGTTGCTTTGCAGCCGTGGTCTCGGGTGTAAAATAGATTAACAACATCGCGTTTTAAACTGCTAAAAGTGTTTTAATTAATGTGTACTACTCGCGTAAACTTAACAATAAAGTGTAAAAAAGACAGACATTAGAAAATCTATATTACGGCGTATTAAAATTACTTAAAATTTAAAAAAAAATCCAATATTCTAGCATGTAACTGTGGGAAGAATGGGAAGCATACCTACATTTTTCAAGTATTTTCTGTTATTTTATCATATGCTGTAGATTAGTATCAATATCAAAATGTAAAACATAGTGCCGGTTTGTCTTGAATCATCCTATTATTTTTCGTATAAATAGAGCCATAATTACCGACAAAGATAAAATTGTTAATAGGAAATTTTTTCGCGTCCCTCTCGTTGACTTAATCACATAATACAATATCCGATTATTACAGTATGTTACCTGTTAAGTGCTATAAAAATATTTCGCTCATTTTCTTAATTAGACGCAACAAAGTTGACGCGGCGAAACAAAGGTTGTATTAACAAAAAGGCTGTCTCAGTTTAATAATGGCGACAGAAAGACATGAATATAAATAGATCCCATCAGTTTCTTGTGCTTCAGTATAAGTATAAGGGTTAAAAATGTGAGAAAGGGATTAAACTATTAGTAAACTAGTATATGAGTGATATTTACTTATGTAGTTACATGTAATACAATATATACTGTCTAATAAGCCTTTTCTCAGCTTTAATCAAATTGCGTATGTAACATTCGTGTGTCTGTATCACTGATAGATATTATAAGGGAGTTAGTTGAAAAGGCTTTCGTGCCCCGCCGGCAGGAACTAGCGCTTTACGAAATGCTAGCTAACTCGAGTAACCATTTACCGAAGTATCTAGTACAATCATTCCTAGCAATAAAAAGAAATACTTCTTTTTATGACAGAGAAAGACCTGTACAAGCTTGCTTGGTGGTAGGTTTAATGTCCCAGCCGCATAACATCCAAACAAGTCACTGTCGACCTATTATATATATATAACCGTAATACAATTTAAAAAAAAACTTGGTTTTAGAACAGACTTAAAAAAATAATGATTTTGCCTTTCCTCTATTTAAACATCTAATCTTTAGCGATATTTTGAATTGACAGGCGTATAGCAGAAATTCACATGAAAATCGTAACAGCAAACAGGCAAGTCTAACGAGTGGGCTTTTCAATATTGTTTTTATCCACATACAAATTAATAAATAAAAAATAAGTACACAGAATAAGTACAGTAATTATTCGCCCTTAACATGCCAGAGTGAACTAATTAAACCGAGCAAGAACGATTGAAAAATGTTACTTACTCAGGCGTGAATCTATCTCATCTAATCAACATTGCTTTTCGCTGTTTAAACTAATGCGAATAAAAAGAAGTGCTTGGTAAACCTGTGTGTTCTATCAATTTCTTCACGCGATTCAATACGCCGTGTCGCTCAATAATAGCAGATGGACGCTATTAATGTTAGCATATTTTTTATGATAGAGGAAAAACCCGCTTGGTGGTAGTAAAATACCTTAGGTATATAACATCTAAACAAGATGCGATTCGGAGAGTTACAGACTCAACGCGATGAAACTTCACGGCTTTTTTATCTATGGGCGGTGGTTTGTGACCCGGACCGAATTCTGACATTATTACCACCCACCACGTTACATGTTTCCGAAAAAAATTATTAATTAAAATTAAATGTATAAAAGAAACATGTTTGTAAATATAACATTTACACACGTTTCCACCTTTGTGTAAATAATTTTTCACACATTGAGACACAATCTGAACAATAATACATATACATGCAATATAAGTTGCTTATGAGTTGAAAAATGCATTTTCGTTTGGTTTTTAGTGTTAACTATAAAACTTTTTTATAGACTACAAAATACTCGAGACAACAAAATTGTCATATCAATGTTTTCGGGCTCTTTGATTCGAAGAATTAATTATTCGAGCAATCGAGGAGCTAACATCTCCCGATGAAGCCGTCCGTTTGTGATAGCGAAACGTCGAGAACCTCTTCTCGCTCACGATGGCCGTGAAAGCCATTTTATTAGAATTTATTACAAAAATTATCACTTTTAAAACTTACTTTTTTAACGAAGTGCCATAATGTCTGTGCATAATATGTTAATTAATCATATAATAAATTTTATGTAATTAATCTGATTTCCTCTCTCTAGTAAATAACGACATTTACCGTGTTATATTTTGTTGTACAGAGAAATAGCAGTGGACAGCGAAGCGGGTTCCGGATCTGACAGCGTCCTGAAGACAGACTCCGATGAAGACTTTGATTAAACCCAAAACTAGAATAAGCATTTCGATTCAGTTCCTTTTATTGCAATAGGCAGTCTCAATATTTTCTTAAATCATTTCAAGATGTCAGCGCTGTATTTAAAATCGATTGTTTTGTTTTTTAATTTATATGTATACCGGCCAAGATTATTGTATTTAAGTAAACATTAAGAGAATGAAGACGTAGTACGTACCGTTAACATCTCCACCGGATTCCTAACAGCTTATTCCACTAGTTACATCCTGTTCGATTAATCGATTAGTACGCTCGATAAAAGACATTAGACAGCTATTTATTCTTCGATATTTTATTCGTAATCGCTTAATAAAGTTGCTTTATCCCGTTTTCCTAAGCCAAGCCAAACAATTAACAATCAAAATATTTATATGTGTACGTACATCCACCGCAATGTATTCAAACTGTTTATTTTTTATTTATTGTTATTATAATTGCCAATGTGATATTGTCCAAAAATTATTTTGTAGTAACGAAGATCGATATTGTATTTAATGTATTTTTCGTATTGATTTTGGTGTGTTATAATAAATTATTTTTATTAAGTGGCTTGTGATCTCAGTAACAAATAAATTATGAAATGTCGGTTGGGTTGTCTTGATTATTTAAGTTTTTGTTAACCAATGTTTGTACTTTTGCTCACCCAAATAATATCGATAAGTAAGGAGATCTCGCTGTAGATAAAAGGATACATTCCCTAAATAATTTAAGACCACATCCGTAGCTTACTGGTTAAACGTGTTGTCTGGCATTGCGTTAAGACGAGTGGTTCCGGTTCGTATCCCGGGTAAACGAATTATTTCGGTCAGACAGGACACATTTCTGAACAATTGTTGGCCTGTAAATAAAATCTATCAATGTAAAGGATACAGCAATAAGTTTGCCCCATGCCCCAATAGGGTAAACGGGATTTTACTATTCCGTAAAATAATCTTTTGTTGCTATTTTTTCTAGGATAGGATAAATAAAACAATTTAATACAATATGTATGAATATTATACAAGTATTAATAAATTAAAATAACCTGCTTAACATTTAATAAATCGTGATCATCCTAACTATAAAATTATAAAAACAAACTCAAAAATTCGATGGAAATCACTACTCAAACATATCACATATAATCAAAATTATACTTAACTAATTTGTTTAGTTTACGCAAGTAGTGCACTTTAATTATTTAAATAAACAGTTTAAAACGAGAAATATATAATAATGCTTACTTTAGAGATGGGTTGAATGATTGATGGGATTTTTAACATTACGAGGCACTTTGACATTATTTGATACGAATTTAAGTATTTTTTTACAAGCTTAGGCTATATACAGCATGGTTTGTAAAATTTGAGATTATAAGCAAAACGTGGTATAACTTTGACTTGAAAACCTAAGATCTTTGTTGTCACTATAGATTTCACAAATACTCTTAAGACCAAAGTAATCAGAAAAATACTAATGTCAATATATGAACCAGAAACCGAAAGCCGAAACGTTTTGATAAATATTTTGGTTTACAACAGTTACGTGAAGAGAATTCCGTGAAAATGATATTGCCAGTTTATCTAGATTCGTTGGTCTCACTAATAAAACAATGTAATACATATATTAATACAAAAAGATGTTTCTTAACTTGATCAAATTATAGATAACTCCTAAACAAAAATTTGCTCAATTACTTGTTCAATGTACATAAGATCTCGACTGTAGAGCTGTATTTGTATCGGTATGAGATTAATGTTTCTTATAATTTATGGAGCATTTGGGTAAGGAAATAATAACAAAATTATAAGATAAGCTCTTTAGACAACTTCACAATGTGGGGCAATCCGTATACGTCTCACAAATTGTATGTTTTGCACTTCACCGTCATATTTATAACATTGCCCCCTCCCCTAGTATGACGTCACATATTTTGGAATTTTATAGTTAAACATGCTAAGTAAATATGTTAGGTATTGGTATGAGAAGACTAAAATACTACTACACCAGTAGTAGTATTTTAGCCTTCTCATTTACGTGGGGAGCTAGGATGCTACTAAACTTAATAATATTCTCACATGTAGATAGTGTCACTGTAAAGATAGTTTTGTAAATTTAACCCTCTATAGGGGTGACATGACCTAGTAAATAAAGGGTAACCCATTACGTCAACAAAAAGAAACATAACCTCTAATGTTTTGCTATTTACTAAATGTGACGTCACTAATTTTACCTCTTCACATTCTCGTTTACTCCCCCTCCCTTAAAGTGTGACGAATTCCAAGGATGGCCCCCGATACAAGACACTTGTTCCACAACTAGACTCTACAAACATTCAATGAACACTTTACTAAATTTATTCGTACATAATTCGTTAAATTTACTTATCCTAATACACCTGTGAGCAAAATAATCGTGTAGTGGCAAGTATTACAGTATATAGTGTGATGCTTAAGTATTAAATTAATTAATTATAAAAAAGAACATAAAACAAATAAAGCCGTAGACTTTATATTGTTTATGTATTACGAGTTGCGCTGTCGGCCTATTTTAGCGTTAGACATTCTCTGAGACAACTATATCGATAAAAAAAAACTGAGTTAGGAACCTAATTTGTTTCGAAGGCTTTAAATAAAAATTAATATGAACAAAAGTAATGTTATAAGCGCTACGCCAACTACTGTGAATGCCCAATGACCATTTTATTTTCTTGGTCTCTATGAGGAATTGAGTGAAAGAGAAAATACTCTATACTGTCTGCAATTTACGCAAGTTGTACACATTTAAAACTAACGGTTTAAAACGCGAATTATATTAGTCAAACTTATTTAGAAATTATTTTAACTCCGGTGAGATTCGATGCTTCGCAGTAGCCGACCAGTTTAACGAATGTAATTCGTGTTTTAAACCGTTAGTGCTTGATTGAAATACACCAATGATGTTCGGAGCTTTGGAAAGCTATCAATGCGCGGGCGCAGCTGAGGACTGTCTAGGACGCGGAGGCTGTCGTCGCTGTCTCGCAAGGAAAGATTGACCGGCGGAGAGTAAGGCGAGCTTGCTTTCCACAGCGTCGCGATGGCAACGAGTGCCGAGCTCGTACCAAGCGGACGCGAGCAACCGCTGCTCATTGGCAAATATACGACCGTCGTCTGCTGCGCTCCCGCTGCCGCTGCCGCCCCATCTGGTAATCATTTTTTTATTTTAGTAAGATTAAGATTCTTTATATTACGACTCCTTACATAAATTGTAACATGGCATATTAAGAGAAGAAATTATTTATACATTATCCCACAGAAGTTGATAAATGTGGAAAAGATGAATTTAAACGTGTTTTAAATCGTCCACTTCAAAGGAATCTGTTGTTAATTTTTGAAAGTATCACATGCTATTGAGCTACCGTTTTGTATTAATGAAACTTGGCGATAAAAGGGGTGACGGCGAGTTTATTGCCAGTTCTTCTCGTTAGTTCTACGCCCTTGATTTGATAACTGTTTGTAAATGTAAAGTTACATTCTGTAGTTTTGTGACGTTTATAAGTGTGCATATTAAGTTACCTACATGAATAAAATTACTAGAACTAGACTTAGTGCATATACTGCCATCTTGTGACTGCATTTTATTTTATTATTTATTAATAAATCAATAAAAACAAATAGTGTGCAAGAAAATTTGAAAATTAATGAAGTTATTTAAATACCGGACAAATGTAATTTGCACGTGACTATATTAAAAATTAATTAAACAAAGTACAGATTTGCAAGTTCGACCATGTGACCAAGGCTAAACATTACGCGTTTGTTTTATGTACGTAAGAGTATTTACGCGTCCTAAACAGTCAAGTATTATAAACTTACTCGTGTCGGTTAGCAGCAGCTGGTGTCGGGTCTGTTCTTGGGGCAGCACTGGCACCGCTGGCTGCGCTGCTAGCGCTCGTGTTAGCACGCGAATATCCCAACGTCGTGTCCGACAACGGCTGCTGGGCTATAAAAGATAAATAATTAAATATCTTTTTTAAAAAAGGTTTAGACGTTAAGTTTAATCGCATTTCTGTTTCAGTCTATGGATTTCCAAATATCTAAAGCCAAAATAAGTCGACAGCGCCATCTTGTTTGGATGTTATATGCCTCAGTTATGACCTCCTCTATAGTAAAAAAAATTGATGACACTGGTAAGACCTGAACCGGCATCTACAACGATCCGTGCTGTTGCTCTAATCAATTCAATGCCGTGTCTGACACATCAGCGTTGAATTTCTTCAACATGCACCTCTCGCGCAATATAATTTCAACCTTAACACTACTTCTTGAGGTTCAATGTCCTTAATATGCGTAAGAATGTGACTAAGACGTTTACCAGTAGTCCTAGGGTTTAGTGTTCGAACAACTTCTTTGGCCTTCTCGACGCATTTCTTGTACTTGTCCTCAGTGGCCACCAATTCGGCCTCCCTCGCGGCTATCGCCTCCTGCAATTTTCCCACTCGTCGTCTCTCCTCCGCAAGAGCCGCCTGCAGCTCCTCCACTTGTAGAGCTACAGAAGGTTTTCATTTATATACTTTTACAACAAAGCACCCATAGTATATTAAACATAACATGATTTTATGAGAACAAAAACTGAAATGTCACTTTCAATGGTTTAAAACACGACATTTATTAGTTTACTTATTCTATATAGTCACATAGCCATCCCATAACCATAGCTGCTGCAAAATGTCGGATCGTAGTTAAATAAGTTAACTGATATATTCGCGTTTTAAACTGTTGAAGGTTTATTCTACTCGCGTAAACTACACATTTAAACATTTATTTTTAAAAAAGCAATACATGAACGTTTTGCTTTAACAATTCAGAAATCATAATACATATTATCAATTGTAATTAACTTCTTACATTTCCTCTGATTGTCTTCGATAGCGGAGGCAAGACGAGGGTGGGGAGCCTCGAGTGAGGCTTCTAGCTGCATTATTCTCTGATTGGCCTCACGATTCATCGCTCGCTGCTTCTCTAAGCGTGTTGCGTAATCTTCTAGAAGGGTCTGAAAGATCCAAAATTAAAAATTGCCAGAGTAAGACCAGTAGCTCTATGGAGCGACAAGATACATGCTCCTTATGGGCAGAAAACTGCCCAAAACCTAAGACGGTACCTAATGACCCTCATAGTTATCTTAAAATTATACGTATATAATACCAGATGTTTATAAACCAGATTTAAATTAAAATATGTACATAATAATATTTTTAGGAGTAGGCTAGTAGTTATTTGACTTGGCTAGTAGTTAAATTTTTTAAACAAGAAGGAATACTTATATACCTGTACAGAGGCTTGATCCGCTTGTGCGCTTTGGTTCTGTTTTAGCAGCTTATTCTCGTGCTCTAATCTTATTAGCCTTTCATTGACGTCGTTGGGGATCAATTCTTGTGAAACGTTCTCTTCGCTTGCACCTGTAGAGAAATAAAACAATTAGGATCTGTTATTTACAGAGGGTAGGTTGAAAAAATAAATATGAAGAACAATATTTTTTTTATGATAGACAAGCCTGGGATTCAGATGTTACGGCAGGTGAAATACCCCTTAGCCATAAAACATCTAGACAAGATGCGCTATCGACCTATTTCGGCTTTGGATCCACAGACCACAGAAAACCACAGACTAAACCCTGACGGCTAAACTTTTTCACCTGTGAACGGTGGTTCGTGATCTGAACCTGATTCCCTACTATATAAATTACTATTTATCTTTATTACACTTGGTACTATGTAACTACTGATGGGAAATCATTTCAAACGTATTAATATTACTGCTGAACCGCTGGTCTCTCGCTCAGTAGCATTTCGGTCGACCGTGGATTCGAAACCGGGACCTCGTGTGGTAATCTAGTACTATAACAACCATTTATAAGCTATAAATCTATCTAATTATCTTGCCGGTAGTAATCGTCGAGAAGCGCAATTCCTCCACAGTCTCTTTCAGCTTGTCTCGCTCTTGCAAAAGCGTCTCTTTCTCACGCTGCAGTGAGGCGACATGACTGCTAAACTTCTTATTCTCTATCTCTAGCCGGTCCGCTTTGGTTACTTCTGCATCTAACTTCTCATTTAAATCTATGACCTGAAAATTGAGAAAAATAATTATCTCTAATTATATACAACGTATTAATTCAGCTTTAAGTATAGTCAGTAGTATTAATAAGATGATTTTATTAAAATAGCAGCAGATTGGCGCGAATTGGACTGTTTCTATTACCTAGTCTAAACCATAAACTATTAAAAACGTAGTATTATTTGAGTCGTCTTATTAATAAAGAGATTTTTTTTTTTGCATAATCGAAAAGTTATACAGCTGTAACATCGACTGTCGTGTGTATTGTCGATGGATAAAAAAACTAATGACCAGATTAATTTTTTACTAAATTATGTAATTAATGTAAGCAGGAGGCCTAGTGTAAATGGGGTCTTCTCTTTTTTCCCCTTTTTGGACACAAACAAAATTTTTTTTTTTTAATCACCCCCCCCACAACAAACCGTACAACACTCTCTAGAGACTTGTTATTACATATACGAGCTCAGTGGTTATATTTGAAGTTCCAGTTTGCCACCAATACTTATGGATTTTCATTTCGGTGTCAGATGACGTCCCGTCTCCGACATACTGACGTCCGTATAATGACCGTTCCGATGTAACAGTCGACATCCACTACTAATGGCCGTTTCGCCTTGTCAGTTGACGTCCGTACTAATGACGTTTCGAAAAATATTTTTTTATTTAATAGGGATAAAAAAAGGTACAATATTAAATTTGTTGTGTTTCGTTTTAAAATTACTACCGCGGTAGGCTTTAATATTCCGTTAAACAGTTACTACTTTAAGATTAGACGTTAAGGTTGTGTTGTCCACTATGCTTACCTGTTTCTTATAAATGTCGAGCTGACCCCGTATAGCGTTCGCCCGCGTCGCCGCCTGTTCATATTCGATAGCGCGATGTACGTGCTCTGTGTTGGCATTTTCTAAGAGTTTCACCTGAAATATTAAGATTAGTAATTAATTACATTCCTGAGCTCAACTATAGTCTTAAACTAATACTTAAATTAATAACAAATTTCATACACATATAACAGTTCTAGTTTTTTGCGCTTTGTATATCTTTTTTTTATAAAACACTTTAACGCTTTAAAACGCGATATATATTAGTTAAATTTATTTGGAAATTATTTTAACTACGGCCCGACGTTTTAGATTTTTTGTAGCAGCTGTGATCAAGTTTTATTTAAATGTGTACTACTCGCTTAAACTACAGACAGGGTTAATTAAGTAAGAGAGAATTTTTATACTTAATCCTGAATGTTTAATAGAGTTTTGGAGTATGCTCTTCTTATACAACAAATGTCTATAGTACTGTGAAATTAAGTTGATGAGATAACGCACTCATTTCTCATCATAACATTGTCCCAGTTCTGAATTTCACGCGCATTTTCATTAAGGTCAAACGATTTTACACGGTACCTAAATGCGACCAGTCCTCCATTACTACTGTGTATTTAAATAAAAATCATGTTTTTGTCATTAGGCCACTTTGCCTCTAGTAGCCTCATATATTGGCAATAGTATAGTATAATTTCTGGTTAGCGCAAGAAATCACAATAGATGCTAATTAATTCCGCGCTTACTCCTTCATACATATTGACGCAGTCACTGAACCATCACTAATAAATATTTCTTGGCGTTTTCTTTCCGTAGAATGCATTACTTTCCCCATACTGCACGTTACAATTCTTACGAATGTGAATATAACTACGCCCAATATTTTGATGGGATTGTTGGTTTAAAAGAGCAGAACATGTCTAGCTAATAATCAACGGGTCATGGTTTTGCTTTCCCCCCATTCCCCCTTTCCCTCAAAAATTTTGGTTTTTTTTTTGGATTTTTTTTTTTTTTTGGGGGGGGGGTTTTTTTTTTTTTTTTTTTTTCCCCCCCCCCCCCCAAAAAGGGTTTTTTTTTTTTTTTTTTTTTTTTTTTTTTTTTTTTTTTTTTTCTTGTCTGTCTTCCTCTAACTATGTGGAATTTTGGTTATAAACCAGCCTCTAACTTCTTAGTTAACTCACCCTACAATACAATTTATAATGCACTTACCCTTCTACGCAAGTCCACGTGTTCTTCCATCCTCTTCTTGTAAGAGGCGACAGTGGCTTCCAGAGCTGCAGCCTTAGCTGCTGTTTCTCTCAGCGCGTCCAATTCATCCTTTAGTGCGACATTGTCTATTGCCGCTATCTGAAATATTAGATAAATTATGAAAACAATAATTCCAACAATGATGTGTGTGAAACCACGAATTTCCTATGCAAAATTTTTAACCTAAATAGATTTTTAATTTATACATTGCCAACATATGCAATAGCTAGTAAAAATATTAAAGATTTTAGACATATAAATCCTGTATAGAAATACAATCTCTACATTGGAATCGAAACAAATTGTTATAGCCCAAAATGCCATCTGATCGTATTTTTCTGTATAGTCTTGATAAAATCGATCACTAAACCAGATACAAATGTACACTCCCTGCCCCACAAACTTTAAGACAAAACGGTGTACATTTTAATCTAACGCGAAAAATAGGAATACAATATAGAATTTAAATAAAACACTTTAACGGTTTAAAATGCGATATATTTGTTAAACTTATTTGATGATTAATGATTTTTAACTTCGGCAGCCGTGGTCACGGGAGGACTGGCTCGGGCCGAGGTTAAAAATCTTTTTAAAAAAAGTTTAAAAAATTTTTCGGGTTTTTTACCGTTTAAGGTTTTTTTTTTTTTTTTTTCCCTTTCCCTTAAATTTTTTTTTTTTTTTTAGATGACCACAAATCTCAATACTTCATTACAATGTTAGAAAGAGTATGTTTTACAAAAATTAAATACCAGCGCGAGTTACTTCAGCATTATAATAATACTATGTTATGTAGCATGCGGGACAATACGGTTAAAAAATAAACGGTTATAACGTCAAAAAGTTGACAAAAGGGTGTGTGTGTAAAGTGTTTGTTTTTACTTTAACGCAATTTTTTAGGGCTATTTTAGCATTTGGTACATGTAGGTTTAGCTTCTAGTGTATTTTGTAATTTTGTTCATTGGTATAAAATACGGTCTATAGTTTACGCAAGTAGTACACATTTAAATAAAACACTTTAATTTTTATTTATTAGTTATTGAGTCATTGAGTATGTCTATATGGGGAAATGGGTGTAATAGTCAGCTGATGGTGTAAACTGATGAAGCACTGGGGCTTCTATAGGTGTCCGTGATAGAAAATAATAATGTGTATATTGTGTGTGGTAAAAATAGAATAATACCTGCAATTCCTCATTTTTCAGCTTGAGCAGCGCTACCTCCCGCTCAAGGACATCAGCTCTCGCCCGCTGATCATCTCTTTGCAGTTCCACTTTATCCAGCTCGTCCTTCAACGCATCTAGCTGCGCACGCATGTTGCTATATCGTAGAGTTCCAGCATGTGCAGGTCCCAGTGAGGCTCCACCATCATCTATGTCGCCATCTTTATCTTCATTGTCTGCTTCACGAGCTGCTGTGAGCCTGTTCATTTCACTTAAAAGCGTCATGTTCTCTTCTTGGAGAGCTTTCACCTGGTGACCATATAACACTTCATTATAAATAATTTTAATTGGCAGAGCATTTTTAAAAGGTTTTAAGGTTAGAGTTCCATTGGTATCAATATTTCTTTAATTATTTGATTGTCACGTGAATAAAAGGAATCTTAAAATAACTACATATCTATAAAAGAAACTGATTGTGGTTGAAATGAGATCGATTAACCGTTTTTATGGAGTTTGAACCTGGAGGTCAAAACTCAGGAAAAATCGGTTAATCAAAAATAAAGATATATAAGTAAATCAGACGTAATAACCTACACGTTATTACGTCTGTCATCCTATGCCTCATTTGGTGAAAACGGTACTTAACACTCAACTATATAAGCTACAAAGACAATAATTTATATCATAATAAATAAGAAGACAAGCAATAAGTTTCCACTTCGGGTTCTGTGTCAAATATGAAACGTAAATATTGCGTAAAGATATAAGCAATTAAATAAGTGGAAGAAAGAATCTAATCAATTAAAATCTTTTTAACATCACTCTCGTTATAGCTTTGGCAAAACTAAATATATATTTTGTCTGTGGTTATCTGAAAATGCAATGGGCCACTTTTTCTCTACATGATGAGAAGTACCAGGTCAAACTTACTTGTGCATCAAGTTCGTGGCACCGTTGAGCGAGGGCTTCCCTCATATCAACGTCGGCTTGTTCCGGTGACGGTCCATCTAATTGAAGGCTTCCACGATTTTGGCCCAACCGTATATCCTCCAATTCCTAGCAAGAAAATCAACATTTACACGTGTGTGTAACTTGTGTAAGTTATTAAATACCATTATCGTTTCGTACATTTAGGTATTTAGTACATTAATTTAATATATAAACATAGACAATACTACAGTATGCAATGTTAAATACCGATATAAATATTGAAACTGCTCATTTTTAGAATCGGTATAAACTAAGTGTTACTGATCTCATTATAACAATTATACGTAACAAAACATACCGTAATTAGGTAATTGCGTCCAGCGAAATTCGCTATTTCGAATAAACCGTTCATAGAATAGCACAATAACACAGATTATAATATATTACTTAATTACGAAGATTCAAAATAAACACTAAAACCTCCTTACACGGTTTTCAAATCTATTATTCTTTATTCAAAAGAGAAAATGATTTACTTATCGTTTAAAATTTAAACGTGATGTTCTTTATTTAAAAAAGAGCAGTAATTCGACACACCGTGGTCACAAGAGCGAATTTAATATTAAAGACCACAATAAACAATTCGTCGTCGAGTCTAACATCGACAAGTGTCTAAAGTTAACTAACAAAATTACGGTCTGCAACAATTCGTGATACAAGGACATTAGGTATGCGTATCTGAGCAAAGTATAAGCCGCGCGAGCAAGGAGCGCGCATCGTCCAAATTGCAATTGTGCAAGATTATTTGCTAATTTTCTTATTGCGGTAATATATTACATTTATTTTACGCCCTGTTTGCAATTCAATTACGTGGAGTAATTAGTTTTGTCCTATGTCAAAAAGTACTAACGGTTTAAAACGCGAAATATAATCTTTAATATTTACTTAACTTAAACCGACGTTTGTAGTTATGATAAAAAATGATAATCGTCGAGAACTTAATTTCAGAAAATAGAATAAGATTGCAAGTATTCAAACCAAAATCATAATAAAATGTTTATTTATAATATAATTATTAATATTTGAACAGACATCGTGAAAGTCGATCGCACTATTCGTATCGAAGTTTCTAGTGCCATTTTAAGGAAGCATCTATCTAAAATTCTTTCCTGTACTAAGCAGGCGAAAAATTGAGCGAGCAAAATTAATTGGTCCAATTTAAAGATGTTATAATTACCTGAATCGCTTGCATTATGGATCGCTGACATGACAGCTCTAGATCCATAATTCGCGTGATGTACTCCTCTTTTTTGATACAGTTGACTGCGCAGCCTGTTAAAAACATTATAATTACAACTAACGAACATAATTTGCTTTACACTAATTGAATGGTTCCCGATTATTATGATGCAATGTTTTTATGTAAATAATGATTATTTACGGTAGGAATTAAAACCCACGGGAAAGTTACTAAGATGCCACATGAAAAGATACCAAAACTACGAACCCAAAGGACGAAGTGAAATATATCTTGTTTACCTGAATATAGCTGAAATAAGAGAGCGAAATCAAGAGCGCTAAGAAAAAGAATCGTTAATTTCATACAAAAATCCCAAACGACTAGACATGCTTGACAACACAGACCTTGCTTGCTTAATTTCATAACATTTTTCAAAACCCACACAGGTTTAAAGTTACCTAAGCACTACGGGCATAATAAAAATCTTCGTACAAGTTTTTGATCCCTAGGCTCAAAATCCTAAATTCCTTACCTTTATCACAAAATCTGGTGTAATTCCCGCGAAATAATATATCCTTAACCATTTCTCACATTATACAGAGATTTATAAAACTTTCGTTTAACAAATACGCGTGTTCTACCCGTCCGCTTCATTTGAAACGCGAAAAAAACCTTTCTACACAAAATCTTACACTAGATTTACCGTGTGACACTGTGTTCTCCTTAGAGGAAACCCTACAACATTTGTAGGCTAGATTTTACAGCTACACAATTATATTTAATATCAGTTAATGCCTTGTGTTTATGCTATTTTCTTTTGTATGGTTCTTTTTGTTTGGTTCTATGAACTAAATGTGGAATATTATGCATTACTAAAAGTATTTTTTTTAAACAATTACAAACAATAAAAAATCATAACTATTATAAAAATGTCTTGATAAAGACTGTTTCTATAATTTTAGTCTGTCATATATCGTTGGCTAATAAAAAAATGTATATGTGTCTTATTTCAACAATTGTACAGGTTCTTAATATAATTCTTAAGACGAAAAACAAAAGTTAAACTAAATCATAGAAATGTTATACAACAATGAATATAACCTTGAAACACCCACTTCTTATTGAGTGTTTCACTTGTTGCAAAACATTAGAAGTAGGTATTAAATATAAAACCAAAATTTTAATGATTTGTTTTAATTGCCACACCAATGAAAGGCATTATATAATATATTATAATTTTATATGAGTTATTACTTAATAAAAAAAATAGAAAATAACAAACCACTGAGAAGTTCAAAATAGACAGATAGGAAATTTTATGTGATAGTATTCTAAGTTTATAATCAGTTATTTCCTATACTACTTTTATCAACAATAAACTTGATGAGAAGATAACAAATATTGTTTCTACTTACTTAAAACAAGTTGTAAAAGCCTTCCCATATCAGCTGGGTCAGCATGTTCTGCAATATTCACTACATCTGGGCGAGAAAATTCTTGAAGGCTCAAATTCAATATATCTTGATGATAATCTAGAACCAATTTAAAAAAATTTATGTTAATTAAATCAATGTTTCAAAATATCAGCAATTATACTGATAGTAGTCACTCATTAAGAAAATTGTCATGTTTTATGTCTATTGCTTTAAAATACAGAAATGTATCACTCACCAACAACTCCTTCCAGTATCTTCTTTAAATTACTAACTTTTAGCCTCCAATTTTGTCCCACATCTGTTTTTATTTTATAATTCCAAGATGGAGTGAAATATTCAGGTGCAATTTGGCTAAGAGCTTCAGCTATTGCAACACCATCTGAGAGTTCTATGAATACAATAGAAGTTACAAAACTATCAGATATTTCTTTATTGCTACAATAAATCAAACTAGTTTACTAGACTAAGGATGGTGATGTAAATTGCTTGATTGGTGATTATTTGATTGACCTATTGCAGTAGAATAAAAATATAAATCAAGCTTATTTACCTAAGGGATTCCCATGATCAGCAGTAAGATTAAGTGTCTGTAACCATTTTATTAGATTACTGCATAGCAGTACACCACTTGTCTCCATTGTGGTAAACTATTTTGTGGCAATCAACTACAGTCTGACACTACTTATTTTCTTATATTAGGCACCAAAAAACCATAATAAATATTATAAACATAAATATAAACAAGAATTTAAGAAACTTAATTAAAATCTCGATTTGCGATGATGCATAACGTGTGACGTTTCCGTATTTATTTATTTCGCGTCAAATTGTCAGTGTCACCTAAAGCTGTTTAGTTGTCGATTGTGTCAAAAACACTACATTATTTTTTATCTGTGATTAATTGTTGCTAACAAGATCTATATAATAATAAAAAAATTGTTACATCTGTAACGTTGAAGAGTTTTGTGTTTAATAAGGAAATATATAGGGTTTTTTGAAGTAGTATTGTTCACCGCTTTGCCAATAGCAAAAAATATTCCTTTACCTACTGTATAGTAGAAGCAATATAGGTATTATGTTTAAAAGTATGGAAAAAAGTAGGTAGGTAGGTTTTTACTGGACTGCACTTGTGAATAGCAAACTTTTTATACATACTTATACTGAGAATAGGAAGGTAGCTATAAAATCGTCTGTGTTAATATATATATTATATTGTAGTACCTAGTACTACTATGTGACGAGTTGTTATTATAAATAAATATTTTATAAGTATATTGATATAATATGAATATCATAATCTTGTTATTAAAACGTCGATAGTACCCATATATTAAATTAGTATTTATTAGTACAAGTGTACTCATAAATAATAATTTAATAACTGTTTGAAAATAAAAAAGACCTTTTTAATAGTACATTTTAATTACATGAATTCACTGTGCCTTGTATTGATGGTAGAAGGCAGCCCATATATCTATTACTTTTTACTGATTCAGTTATTACTTGATTCCACAAGGGGTCAGTACAGAGGAGATGTGGGTTACAGAATAAGATCAATGACACTTGAGCTCTGGTTATTGCTACATTCAATCTTTTAGGATTTTTCACAAACCCTAAAACATGTTTAATATCCTGCTGTATTAAAGATTCTGTTGATCTCACTGTTGTGATCAAAATTATGGGTCTCTCTTGACCCTGAAATTCTTCAACAGTGCCTATCTTCGGTTGTGGTAAGCCCATGGCATCGAAAACTAAACGTAAATGTTTTATCTGAAAGGAAAAAATATCAATCAAGTCATATGTTTTCAGATTTACAAAAATGTACAAGTTCTAGTAAGGATGAGGGCGTGTTTTCCACATTTGGAGAATAAGTCTGCATTTGTGTCAGGTAGACCTATCCAAAATATTACCCACTTACCCATATAGTACCAGGCTTAATGCATTGTAAATCCCAATTACTAAAATTTCAGCGGGGTAGAGCCAAAACATATGTGATTTGAATTTGAACCACAGAAGTTAATCCATGTAGTAGGCGGTTGTTGGTCGTTGGTGTGATGGTAGCAAACTACGGTTAATTACCAACGGGCCGTGGGTTCGATCCCCACCAGATTCAACAGTTTTTTACTCAAAAATATAATTTTTCTGAAATATGTTGGACCTCATCTGGAAATCTGGATATTAAATGGGTGGTAGGAATATCGATTCGGTCATGAACCGCCGTCCACAGATTAAAAAGCCGTAAAGTTTAATCAGTGTATGGATTTCCGAATATTCAAAGCCGAAATAGCTCAACAGCGCATCTTGTTTACTTGTTATAGGCTGAAGTATTTGTTATAGTTTTTAATAAGTCAATGTTATTAAGTAAATAGCAGTTATTTTTACCTGTGCTATATATGGTGAAATTATCCCAATTTCATCAGGGGTGACATCATGTCTGTATAGTTTACAAGTTGTAAGAGCAACCATAGAAGCTTCTTGAGGGTTGTACCAAGATGGACTATCTGCAGCACGCATATTTTGTCCTTGAATACCATAAACATATATTCCACCATGTTTATGATCAGTTATATTGAAAATTTCACAAGTAGCATTAATTATTTTTGGTACCCAACTACTGGTTTTATCAAACTTAACCACAAGAGTATTATCATAAAACATTTTACTAGGCAGAGATAGAACCTCTTCTAATGATCTGTAATTTTCATTTAATTTCGTCACTACTCTATCATCAAATCCATCTTTATAGGTAGCATAGTCTTTTTGATATGGATAACTTTCAAGAAGTCTACAAAGATAGGATACATTCATCCCGAATTCATTACAATACTTAGATAATATCACGGGTCCCAACTGCATAGGATCTCCTGTTAAAATTATTTGTCCATTATCCTTATCTGTAAAGCTTAATGGAATCATAATTTCTGGCTCTTGGGCCTGACCAGCTTCATCTACAATAATATGTGTAAAATGACCTTTTGGGAAACCTAAATAATAAAGAGCCCCCGAACAGTTACATGTAACTACAACAACTCTATGCCTTCCTATAAATGATTTCTGACAATTTACATTAACATTGTCGTGAATATGATGCTTATTTTTAGATGTTCCTTCCATAGCTATATCTAAAGTAGCACAGTATTGCTTAATATTATCTGGAATACTGTCAGAGTTAATTAAATAGTTTGCAATAAGTCTAACTATAGAACTGGAAAATGCATTTTTGTATTGTATTATTCTTTCGGTGATTAGATTAGATGCACTGTTCGATGGAGTTGCAACTAAAATTCTACTATCTGGAATATTCTTCAAAATTTGCAGAATCGTTTCTACTACTGTTATAGTTTTCCCAGTTCCAGGGGGTCCAAAGATTATATATGGTAGTGGTCGGCTGTCACCCCTAAGGATATTAATAACTGCCCTTCTCTGATCGTAGTTTAACTTGCTGTTGTACCATTTAAGTTGTTCTAAAGTACACGTCAGAAACTTGTCTGGATTTAAGTGTAACTTTTGAAGGAAAGAGAATACTGGGGCCCAGGTTAGATAATACTAAATTTATTGCCTGATGAGCCCTCCTAAAGCAACTTCTTTTCAAATGGAATTCAACAGAGACATCTCCTCCATCATAGGTCTCATGAAATTTTGAGTCAAACTTTAATAAAATCAAATCTCCCTTAATCATATGAATAAAGCCTTGGTATTTCCTGCATTTTGGATCCCATGTGTCCTTTACAATAACGGAATCACCTTGAACAAGTGATGGTCTTGTTTCACACAAGTTATTTATTTCAAGCGCTAGATACTCATTCTGTCTAATCAGAAATGCTTTAGGTTTGTCATGTACCCTGATGGTAATGTTTGCTTGAATTTCTTCCATGTAGAGCAAAGTATGCCACTTGTCACAATAATTATTGATGTTGAGATCTTGAATTAAACAAGGTAACTTCGTCTGTAGTCTTAGAATAAGTTTTTCATAATCATCAGAAAAAATAGTGCTATCAGAATCCCCCAAAACTGCAGACCAAATTTTATCTGGAATGTTATAAACACCTATTTTACCTTCAACAAAATTAGGTGTCCTGAGTTGCCTTATACCCGGTATATACTGATCTTTATTTCTTTGCATATCTCTCATTTTATTGACCTTCTCATATTCTGAAGGCCTAAAGGTACCAGATTTTCCATTACTAGTATGACAGAATTGATTTACTACATTAATTTCAACAAGTCTCTTCAATTGAAATCCTTTGAACAGAAATACTAAACATTCCTCGGTTTGACCTAAAAATTTAGGTTGACATTGTATTGTGAATTGTATAGTTTCTGACTGATTCAAAATTTTCGGTTGATTAATATATGGTTTTATATTAATTTGAGAGTCCCTTTTTTTACTCAGCATAATCCATTTATTTAGAATGTATGATTTATTGCTGTTATTCACAATGGATAGAATAATAACTTTCTCTGTATTGACATCAACATTATCAAATTTAAGTGGATGAGTCATTGTGATGTCTTTTTCTTTTTCTATAAGTAAACTTTGATGTTCCTCATTATCAACTTGGGTCAAATTTCTTTCTGAATGTAGTGGTTGTATTATCTAGTATTATTAACTTGATTGCTCTCCAGGAATATTTGCCTTGGTCACTTTCTATTGCTTCAACCATTACCTGTAAACATTTAATAAGGTTTTTTATGCAGAATTTTTTAGAGGCGTATTATAGTCTTTAAGTGTTGACTCACTTTAGCTCCAACGTGAGGCATGACAGTATCAACACAGGTACTGGTGTTATAATAAATTTGTCTATCAAGTATCCCATGGGAACCAGACCAATCTGTCACAACAGCTGTCTTCATTTTTCTTCTAACTGGACCAAAGGATAGTACTTCTAGTATCTGGAAATAATTTAGGGATATTTGATACAACTCTATCAACAAGTAATGGTCATTAGAGCATTTATCGAGGAAGGATATAGGCTATAAAATTTCGCGCTGTGACTAATAGCAACATAGAAACAACTATAAATGTGGAAAAAACGGGAAAAATGTTCAACTTTGTGAGTTTGATGCGTATGGTGCGAAAATAGTAAAAATATGCAAAATGAATAAAGAATGTCTAAATGATTCCTCTGTAACTGATCTACAAAAATGTCTGCTACATTAATCTATCTTTTAAGTAATTGCAAGACAACGGGACGCGACCGACATTGTCGTAGCAGCTTAAATTTTAAAACATATTTTTCACCTCATTCATGGTAATATCCATTAACTTCTCATGGTTTTGTTGCACTGTACATTTCATTTCTAACCAATCTCCTTCAATCGGTATAAAACTTCCTTCAACATCATCGAGACTAAATTTCAAATCACCACCCTTTATGTGTACATAACGTTCTTTTCTATACTCAACTTGCCCAACAAATAAATGATGAACTACATTAAAGGATTTTTCATCCAGCCATTCTTCGTCTCCCCAGCATTGACCTTGATTCTCTAATATTCTAACTACCCGCAATTTGTCATTGTTATCAGTATAGGCAAGGTATAGAATTTTATCATTTATATTGAGATTATGCAGACATGAAGTTGTATCATAATATGTTACACCGTCTATGAGAATATAATCTTCACCACACAATGTAATAACTCCTGAAACATTTATTGATTACAAAACAACATACAGTTCATTTGAGGAAATAGACTTATATTAGGCAAGTAGAACCAAGTAGTCAGTAGATTCAGTCTTGTGCTGCCCCATAGTGGAAAATGGAATGACCATTTTACTGTTAAATAATTTAATACTAAAATATTTAAAAAAAATACTACCTGACTTTTCAAAACACACCATATCTTTTGGTACAACATCTGGGACTAGTGTATTATCATTATAGAATTCTTCACTTTCTGCTTGAAGCTTCAAATCAATCAACTGATCAGTCAGAAATTTCTCCCTAACATCTTCACCTTCATCGTCTTTTTCGTAAAAATATTTGAATAATGAAGTCAAGAAGGCCCACATTTTTATAACTTTTTTCTACAGGTTTATTGCGACAACCCTTTATCTGAGTCAAACTTCCATTCTGTTCCTTTCAAGTAGTCTAATTCTTTACGTAATGACTGTAGACGCTTTTGATGTATTTCTTTGAGAGCGTTTTTTATAGATTGTTCTATACTGTGTCCAATATTTCCATGGCTTAAGGACTGATCAAAGTTTTGTAATCTACTATTCTACAAAAAAATATAATTAAAAAAAACATATACTTCCATTAAATCTGTACTTAGAAAATATTATATTTATTATTTACCTGAGGGGTTTCTGGATCGGATGGAGAATAAGCAGATTGAGATAAGTTACTCGATGAAGACATTACTTAGCAGGTTGTATGAAAATTTTATTAATTTATTGCAGCATGTTCTTTACTAATAATTAAAATGAATATTTTAATAAGTATTTCAAAGCAAGAAAAGTAAACAGATTGTTTGTTAATTATAAGTCAAGATAGTAAAAAATTCAAAACTAGGTTTTGGCTGTTTAAAAATTTAATTGTCGTATGTCAAATTCAAATTCAAGCTTCATAACCCTTCAAATTTACTTGACAATTGACAACCAGCGTCAAATGACCTTAAGAGAGAAACCTATATTGGTGGTGGTTGGTAAAAATAGCTGTAAAATACACTCTAACATATTGTCATAATAATGAAAATTGTCAAAAAGTTTGAATGTAAAAATATGAAAACAAAGTTTGTAAATTAAAACTTTGATTTAAATAAACTTACTATAAAGAAACTAAGTGATATTGCTTAATATAGTAAGTTCTGATATCAAAAATGTCAAATAAAAAATGCGTAATAAAGATAAACAAAAATGACGCAGAAGAGGATACTCTCATGTTTCCATGCTTCCAAATACCTAGTAATATAGAGTTAAAGAATATCCCAAGTACGGGGGAAGAATACTTGTTAACCGTTATAAATGAAAGGAATACTTGTACAAAAGTGACTACATGTGATATAGATCGCTCGAAATTTGCACACAAACAAACACTTTTTGTCAAAGAGGTATTGCAATTTACCTGTTCTTCTTCTCCTTGCACATAAATAATCCTAATGACTATGATGTGTCCTTATAAAATATTATGACATTCATAGTAGCATTCATGGTACTGTGTAAACTGTTTTATTGATAAATACTAATAAATAATAATGCATAGAAATACCTTAAAACTCATTAATTCATATATATTAATCTTTTGTAAACTTACTTATAACGTTTGAAAACATTAATATTTTTCGCATGTTATTGCACATGAAGGCAGTATATAATTTAAAAATTGAAAATAAATTGAAAAAATTTGTCCTGCCCGAGTCGAAATTTTTTTCAATTTACTTTGTTTTTAAATTAACTTACTTATAAGTATTTTCTCTTTTCAGGATTCACATCCAAAAGTTCCAGATAGTTTAAAACCCACTATTGAATGGCAAAATGTGCAAGTTGCAGATTTCTCAGATAACCGGTCATACATTTCACGTTTACTCAGCAAAAAGTCCCAATGGCCTAAGGAGGTTATGAGAATATGTTTGGACCCTAGTAAAAGTGAAATGTGGAGTAATTTTTTTGAAAATCACGAGCCTACTCTATCATGTGTTCTAGGTTTAAATTATAAAATATTAGATAGCGGACTGGAATATTTAATAGAATCTTTGGACAATATTCAGCCTGGAAATACTATTCCTTATAGAACAGGTAATTTATTGTTTAAGAATTTTTCATGGTCTTGCATAGTTTTTAGAGAGAGCACATTTCTGCATCTATTTCATTTATAGTTATGTACAGTATAATAGTTAGCACACAAGACAACAACAAAAAATACCATTAATAAAATATATCGTTTTTGATTATGTCTGTGTACTTTGTTGTTTTTTTTGTAATTATGTATTTATAATTGGATTTTTATCAAATTATTTATTGATTCTTTATAGATAATTATAATTTTTCATTTTTACTATATAGGTCAATGGATGTATGCAATACTTGTTTGTACAAGACAACCACTTTTATCAGACACTGTCAGTATTTTAAGAAGATTGGGCAAAAAATGTGCTGAAATAAGGTAAGTCATTGTAAAATAAATTTATTGCTTGCTGTTAATTCCTTTTTTTCAAAATACAAATATTTCACTTAAATATTTTTTCCAGAGCAAATATAAACCCACAGGATGTTGATGCCAGCACAGCTGCGACTCCATTAAATGTTTTTATTTGTTTAATAGCTAGGTATTTTGGACAGTTTGATTTGGCTGATTAGATAATAATAACAGATAGACATAAAAACATATGCAATTTTTACAACATGCCTAAGTTTTTTATCATTCTTTATGTAACAAGCATAATTAAAATGCAAACATTGATAAGAAAGTTTTGTTTATTTTTCTATTTAAATAGCTTTTTAATTGATAAATAATGTTTATTATTTTTCTTAAGTGCTTATGGATATTCTTTATTGTCTTCATCAAATTCTACGCCTAACTGCTTCCGTACTTCATCTTCTATTTTGGCTAATGTTAAGCTCATTTGATGCGACATTCTTGGGGATTCCAATAAGTCTGTGAAGAACATAAAACCAGTGTAGAAAATTAGAGTATGTAGTTAATGCAAGCAATATTTATTAATTACCACAGATATTATATTTAATCGCTAGATACACATTGAGACTGAGATTATTATAGATCTTATTACATACTTTGTTTCACTTACCTTCTTTAATGCATCTAGCCACTTCCAGTGCCTCGTATACCAAACCCGTGCTGTTTTCGAAATTAAGTTTGTTTTTTGGGGCATGCAGTGGAAATTCTTCGAATTTTCCATCCACGTTTATAAGTTTTGTCGGGAAATGGAAAGGATCTTCTAGCTGGTAATGGAAATTGACTTGATTAATTCTGCCATTATGTTATTATATCTTTGTTGTTGGGATAATCTTTATAGAAAAAAGGGATTTGAGGCAAACACTCGGCTGAAATGCCTCGCAAACATACTTACAACCATTCTGCCTTCAGTCCCGTAAATATTTGCGTTATTCACGAGTCTTATAGTGGCATTAATATTAAGGACTGCCCGTCTTCGCCCGGTATATTCAAGAATGATTGTAGACACTTCATCCACACCACCTTCGTTTAATTCTCCGCAAGCTGTTATTTTTAACGGATCTTCTTTAAAAACATATTGGGCTAATTGTATTGCATAGACCCCAATATCGAGTAAAGCACTGCCACCTAAACTTTTTTTGCTGAAAGAAAAATCCTGTAATTATAATAATCATTTGGTTAAGAGAATTTCAACCTTTAAGGTTTAAGGTATATTAAGTATGTGTTCAAAAATACACAAACAGGCTACTTAAGGTAATTCATAATGAAGAGTTTGTTTTACGTTTTAACTCCTAAGGCCACACAGAATTCAGTTTTATTAAATATAGACGACATCATCTACCCTCATACCTAACTCTGTCCCTATCTGCAATAGGTACTCCGAAATTAACATCGACGTATTTTACATCGCCAAGTTTCCCAGCATTAATTTCCTTTTCCAATGCAATATAAGCCGGTGAAAATCTTGACCACACTGCTTCCATCAAGAACAATTTCTTCTTTCTAGCGAGGTTTACTAAACTCTGTGCCTGTTTGTAGTTCATGCACAATGGTTTCTCACATAAGACGTGTTTTCCAGAGTCAAGGAAGAGTATAGCTAGTTCATAATGTTGTGGATTTAACGAACCGATATATGCGACGTCTGGAAGTATTGAAAGCGGTTAATATTAATACAATTAATATAAGATACCATCCCGAATAGGTATATAAATGTTAGGAATGTACATGTAGCAGTGATGGGAAATAATAATAATCTTTTTTTAAAAAATAATGTAGTATACTTATTTTTTAAAGACAACTTTAATATTGGTTAAATAAAGAAATCTATGGGCAAGCCAAACATATATGGTAATGCTCCTCTCAGTCATAAAATGCCACCTTACCAATCTCGTTACTCTTCGCCATATCTTCGTAACTATCAAAGACATTTGGTATCCCATGAGTGTGAGCGAACTCAGTAGCTCTTTTCTTATCCCTAGCAGCAATTCCAGCTATTACAACGTCGCCTTTGTTCGGGTAGGAGTTAATCGCGGTGACGAAGTCATGGCTAATCTTAGCTGCGCTTACTATACCCCAACGGAGTGGCATCTATAAGGAATAAACTAAACAATATATATATGTACATCTCGTAAGATTTAAATTTTATATACTCTTTGACCTTTCAATAGAAAGTACCTCAAGGTTACCTGTTTATATAGTCTTTTCGTGCTTAACATCTCAGTGGTTTAAAATTCTGGCTTATTAGAGCGTTATTAGATATCTATTTCATTATTGAGAAAGTAAATAGGTATAACGAAATGTGTATTTTATAAATTGTGTTTTTTAAATACGGTCTAGTTGTCCTAGGTAGGCAAAGTTCGTTGCCTAGGTCATCTACAATTAGAGGTCATGTAAACTCTTGTTGAAGTAGTCTAGTCTTATCAAAACTGTTTGAAACATCATCATCATTAAGGATAATCTTAGTCTTGATCAGTTAATATCACTAGGCCTATAAATAACTGGCGACAGATTTACCACTTGTATCTCTTATACAAGTTCTAATAGAGCTATTATTTGATATTGTATGTAATTATATACACATCAGCATAGCTAGGTGCCTTAAGCACAACACATTAACTTCTTGAATATTTCTCTGGATTTAGTTTCATAAGAAACTTACCTTTATTTTCAATAGCGGTATCTGACGTCCGCACTCGGTGACCACAGAGAATAAATAAATACAGTAAAACAAACATCGATTAGATAGTATGGTTCTTCAACTTGTATTGAACTTTAAGTAGTTTTACTACTCTACTTTACAATACAAGTGGTTTACAACTATTGAGATTGCAATATCGACATATTTATTTTTTTTAAGAAACGGGCTGCTAAAATCAGAGTGAAAATTAAAAAAAACTTACAAACATTTTACTTAAAAGTAAGTTTGATGGTTGATCCTCGGAAAAAACATTAAAAAGGCGATCACGTCGGGGTCGGACTCGCGTACTTTAGATTCTCTACGCGTACCACAATTATTTAGTGTTTTTTTAAGATGCCATTTATTGACATTGATTTATAATTTAAAAAATTGGGGCCTTAAATATTTAATGAAATTTATTTCCCATTTTAATTTTTACAGTGGCAATAGAAATATGTACATAATTTGTAAAAACAGACTGTCTAGTTATCACCTTGGGAATTGGACCACGGCCTCAGTGAAACAAACGGAATTAGTAATAGAATTCTGTTTTTAACCTTACATAAACCTTAAAAATAGTATTTCATGAAATACAATGTAATCTGACTATTAACTATGCTAGGATTAATGAATTTATTATTTAAGTAGCAATCTTGTTTAATAAATAAAATATGTGCGAAATGAGGATTAGCGTAGAAGTAACACTTTGCCTATTGCGTTTAACTAGGAGTTTTAATTAGGATATGAAATAAAATAGTTTAAACATGAAGTAGAATACAGAAAAAACTGATAAACTATCTCATTGAAGAAAACAATACTGAACGAAAATATCTTTGAATTGAAGTCTAGACGTTTAACCTCAATTGATCCGTATCTCCAAAATTTGAAATGTTGATAGGTTTTAATTGTGAATATAGGATGTCATTCAATAGTAGAGTGCAATTCAACTACACACCTTAAGACCAAAAAAGGTTCTATCACTCATATGAAAGTATAGTAGTTCAGCCTTTCAGGTCAACACCTTAAAGAAGATTAAATCCATATGCATTATCTTTTTTGTAAACTTTTCGTATCATACTTAGTATTAGTCACCATTCACTACCACTAAGAATGGTAAAAATGTATTTTCCTATTTAGGTCTTGAACAATAGCGCTAGGAATACCCCCCCTTGACCACAACTCTTCCGAGCATCCAAAACGTCGGATGTTAATATTTATTTATTTTTATACTCCTAAGATTATCTTTTTTTTGTGGGGCGTTGAAAAAAAAACTTATATTCTCTAATACCAACCTCAATTGTTAATAGTCTTTTTGCAAATTTAAACATTTTTGATCTAGACCGATAACTAGTGAATTATTTTTTTGTTTAGTTGATCTTGCTAGTTTTTTTTCGACACTAGAAACTCCTTCGATATAATCGTGAAAAACAACCTTTGCCGGATCAACCAATCTAATCTTCATTGCTGCATAAATAACAGCTGTTTTCGATCAAATGATATAACTTGGCTATATTTGTGTAAAGGCCATTTCTAGTTATTACAATTTTGATAAGTAAAATAAGAGACAAGTATGAACAATGAATAATTTATTATTGGATACTTAGTATCGTATAAAAATAAAATATTTAATCAACAACATTCGGAATACAAAAAGCATAAACTTACAATGGAATATGAACTTGATAATAATACTTCACTTTTCTAAAAATGCACATGTTTGACCTTAGATGACATTATTCGCTTATCTATGTACAAAAATACATCATTTACACAGTGCGGTAAATACACATACAAAATAGTGTTTGTCGAAAGGATTTCATTTCAATTTTAAATATAAAACAAACATATATTAATTGTTACCATGTACATATTTGGGAATTGATAAAAATCTGTGTACAAATATTTATTAATGAAAATGAACAAAACATCTACGTAATAATACTGACAATGCGCTTCAAATGAGAATAGGATTCACCTAGCGACATTTTAGCGCTCTTTCGATCGAAACGCCATTATGTGACGTCGTAACATGGATTCCCATTTTATAAATTCTACATAGTGTTTGGGCGAATATTTTTTTTAATTTGCGAGACAAACTTAACGATAGCCCCATAATATTTGTTAATGTTTTACTCTTAATATTCGTTTGAACTCAACACGCTATTTGAGGGTATTATGGCATTGTAACAGGTGTGGCGGTACCATTTGGCGCTAGCCTACTCAGATTTGAACTGCATTGTGATAGGTTGTGATCACTACATAAAATAGGAAAATATACTTATTCGAAAGCGACTTTTATAGCTTGGTCCAGGTCGTTAATGAGGTCCTCAACATCTTCTAATCCGACGGACAGTCTTATAAGATTGTGCGTGATGCCTAAACGCGTCCTTTGCTCTTCGGGTACCGACGCATGCGTCATCAGCGTTCTGGAAGGAAATTATTCTTGACACAACTGCAATGTTTCTAACATTAGGGGAGGTGCTAAAAATGTGTTTTATAATTATAATATAGGCCCTTAATTGGAATAATAAAAAAAGATTTACATTCAACCCGTTTAGAAAATGACGGTGTCAAAACGAACGAGACATTTGATGATGACAATCTATACAAACTAGAACCAGATCAGATGACGTACTAAAATTGTATAACATACATAACAGAATATTATCTACATTACAAAACATTATCCCTTACGTAATTTAATTTAAAAATATTTTAAATAGATAAGCTTTTGACATCACGAATCCCCGATTACAAAATATAAACTATACATTATTATTACGATATCATTATTACGTTATCAAACTTAGAAATACTGTTATATGTAAAGTTATATCTTTTAAAAACAAATGAACTAAAATCTCACAAAGTATTAATATTATTATCTAAAACAAATAAGTTGCATCATATTTATTATGGTGTTTTCCCATAGACTTAACTTCTCCATGTTATCAATTGATTTTCCTTTAAACTGCTGCGTCATCGTTACCACGTAATTCTTCGTTGAATTCATTTAGCAGCGTAACATTTTAATCGACTACCTCGTATATATGTTATCAGCAAATTGGTTCCGGACGGTGTCGTAAGACTTTATGAGACATGAGATAAGACGTTAACAACGTCCCATTCACGACTACCTGTCCCAAATTGTCTCATGAAAAATTGGTTTAGAGATAAGGGATCCGCTGGTCTAGTTGTATGTTGTATGTTTGACACGTTTATTAAGGAAATTATTGTGCGGCATATTATAGAACCAAAGAACAGATAACACGCAGATAGCAGTTAGTGCTATCTGCTAACTGCAAAATTAACCAGTCTGGCAGAGCACAGAAGTCTGATCAACTCCTCACATGTAAATAAAACCGATCAATGAAACAGGAATGTATTCTCTTCGTGCTACACGGGGGGAAACAAGATTTCATTCTTTTCGTAATATTAAAAAAAAATCAATACAATTTTGTAATACGTAGCCAAAATTAAATTAATACTTTTAGCAACGTATTAAGGAATCGAAGCGAAGCCAAAATTAAGTGCATGTCGTTTTTAATAATTTAGTTACTGTTGAACAAACGATGTAGATTGTTGACCCGGCCTTCAAAAAGCCCTGTGATAATGATAATACTTACGGCAATTCAGCTAAACTCTCGTAGCCACCCAGACTCTCAGCCAACGTGAACACTTTTAAAGCGCTCAGCATTTTCTTGGACTCCTTGAGATCTCCGCTGTGCTTGAAACTAAATGTTCCAGAATGACCAGTCATCTGTCTCTTGGCGATTTCGTATTGCGGATGGAACGGCAGACCTAATTGAAAATGTAGAATTATTAGTATATGAAGAAATAGACACCAAGGACCATTTTTCTATTAAAACCCAATATAAAATACATTGGTTGTCTTCGTGAGTCTTGTGAACATCGTCGTGAACATGACTTTAAGCGTGAGAGTCCTTGGTTCGAGTTTCGGGAAAACATTATGGTCAGACGGGTGATAGAAATCTGATCAGTGAAACAGACACGCCATATGTCTGCTCTGAATCGGGGAAACGGCATTTACTAAAAAAGCTCATATTAATTCAAATATTCTATTCGATTCCTTAAAAATTAATCAAACGACATAAAAACACGCCTAAATATAATATTTTTAACAGATAAAAACGATAAATATATAAGTTATACGTCTTTCCAACTACGACCTTACGTACAGACCCACAACTATTTTTTTTTACGTTACCTGGGTGCATAACTTCGACAATCTTAGGATGTTTCAGAAGCCAGTTAGCCACCACCAGTGCGGATTTCTTGTGTTGCTCCATCCGAATGGCGAGGGTCTTCAAACTTCTGTTCACCAAGTAGCAGTCCATGGGCGACGGAACGATACCCATCGCTGAAAATTCCATTTAAATGTAATTTCACATTGCATTTATAAAAATACCATGAAAGTATGCCGGTTTACGTTCCGCCCCCTTTTTTTAAATCTAAAGAAATTTTTCATAAAAGGTAATCCTAATTGAATTCATGCCTTGCTGCTTGATAATAATAATTCAATAGTATCATAAAAAAGGCAATCCAATGATAAGAACAATGTTGAACACGAAATGTCGAACATCAATAACGTACAATTGCTTGTCCTATAAACTAACGTCAATTTATTTATAGTATGATAAATTAAAATATTATATATTATTAATATTTTAAATACATTATGCATTATACTGGCCATGAAACTTGAACCGTGCTTGTGAGATACAATTTCATTTGCGCCCTAATTTAAGATTATTATATTACCTAACTAGCTGACCAAGGTTCATTTGCCATATCAAGTATTTTGACCAAATTCGATTACCATAAAAACAGATAGACGTATGCTGTCGTGAACATTTTTTTAGATTTATTCCCACATATTTTTGGGTATCATGAACCGTTTTCGCGGCGCAGACAACGGGAATCCTAAAAGATATATAATTTTCCCCGTTCTTTCCAGATTGCGTCATATTTATTCGCTCCTTTGGGTCGCAGCCTGATGTTTTATAGCCTCATGCCTTTCTAGATAAATTGTCCTGGATCTGTCTTCTAATTATTTACCTCCGTTGCAGAAGAAATATTCACTTATATGGGCAGGTTCAAATATTAGACATTTTATTAATATTTATTAGAATAGGAGTGTTATATGAATTGTTTTAAAATTGTAAGGTCAAAATAATTAACCATAGACTAGGGTTGCCAAGATTTCTTCTCGCGAAATACATTATTTTAATACATAAATGAAATAAGCAATAAACATGTTTATTTATTTTTCAAAGATTATATTCAATGGAAAAATAAATCAACAAACTACAATTAAAGACATTAATACATTATGTTAATAAAATTTAAGTAAACAAAAAAAAATTGTTTGTTTAATTTAGTTGTTGCCAATTAAAAAGTACCGACAGATTAATTTTGTCTTATTACTTATATTATTAGAGGTTTTGTACTTTACCCATAAACAATATGACTATGACGACTAGTCGGTATATGGCATCCGACTAGTCGCACAAAGTCATAGTAGGTATGCTTGCGACTAGTCGGATCTTCATAAATCATTCGAGCAAGAAACGTATTGAGTCTCGCTAGACGATAAAATTTCTAGCGTATTCAGTACATTCAACCCACTTGTAATTACCATCGCAACAACTCTGTTAGATTACATAAGGCACCGACTAAATATAAACTCTGCAAGGTCGAACCGTGGTAATGAAAATATTTGGAGGAATCCAACTCTTTAGAGGTATATAATTATAATTGTGTAGGTAAATATCAAACCCCGATAAGTCACACCCATAGTCGAAACTGAACTATGAATGGCGCTAAATTTGAAATTTACTTGTTTTTATGATACTTTATTCCAAATCACGGTAAGTCCCCAAAAAACTCACTAAAACGAAGGTTAAAATCGACGATTTATTTCAAACTCCGGTATGTCTATAGATAAGTTAAAATCAAACTCAAGTAAGTCCACATTGACCAATCACAGCAAATTATAGCGTCCAAGATGGCTGTTAGTTAGAAGATTGTTGTGAGAACTTACACTTCGTTGTCGTCTATTTTATTAGATTGTTTGGGGAAAATGCATGATAACAATGTAAGAATTTGTGTGCTGAATCCTGAAAAAGCAAAGAAGATGTATGTGTCAAATGTTAAGAAGAATAATGTCGAAAAGAAGGCTAAAAAGTAAAGCAAATCCTAACGTAATAGTGCGTTTGTTGCAACCGTTAACGTTTTGAAAACCAGGGTTGTACAAATGTTAAGAATTAAACATTTGAATTTATATTTTTTTTTTCTATTAAAATGTATGTATGTGTGTGTGTATCATTTAAAAGGTTCTTTCCATTTTGAGATAAGTAAATATTGTAAACGTATTATCGAATACGAACGTATAAACGAAATAGTGCTTCGTTATTAGAAAAAGGAAAAAGTATGATCAATATTCATACTCAAATGATTGACATAGTTCCTTCTATAAAATTAGAAGATATAAAAAAAATATTTCATAAACATTTTGGCACTGACTGGTATCACATCCCTCAGTTGAAATATTATACAAATATCTTGCAAAGTAACAGAACTAGTTGGTGACAGGGAAGAAGACATAATAAATAATTCCGAAGACTATATCATGGACGAGATCTTAGATTTTGTTTTATTAATCTACTAAATTAAACTACTACATGGTAATAAAAAAATCTGTGTTTTATTTTACGGTTTAGTAAAATATTATGATGAAGCAACCCTAATTACGGGATTAATATAGGATTTGTCAAAACCAAGTAAGTCCTGTAGCTATTTTTCAATACCCGTTACGTCCATAGTGGTATTTTTCAAACTCCGATATAATTCTTTTAGTTTCAATCAAACACCGATATGTCCAAACTTTAACATGGTTTTAAAGCATAATATCTTATTAAAACTTTATTTTTATATATTCCTTATACTCACTAACGCCTATATAAATCCCCAATTGCTGAAATTTCCATGAAATACAGTAATCAGTAGCTAAAAACACATTTCTCTCATTTCCCAAGTTTCGTTTATGGTGGACATACCGTGATTTGATATTTGCCTACACAATTCTAGTCGCTGGTCTTGAATAGGCATTAAACGTAAGTAATACAGTAAAAAATATTTATATAAAGATAACCGGTGATTAGTTTATTTATAATTTTCTTGTAATAATAAATACACAGATATATTAGTCTTAGTTTAAAATGCTAGAAGTGTTCACAAACAATTTGTGTATATTTTTTAAGGCTTGCGGCCATTTTGAAAAACTGTTTGGGTTTGCGAGATATCCGACAATCTAAATGAGAAATAGTTCTCGACGTTTCGCCATTACGAGTCGATGTCATCATCAGAGGATTTGTGAACTGTATTATTTATTATTTATCTTTATAATATGTCTCGAGTCTCTCCATTAATTTTAACATTTCTCAATTACGACGATTTAATTCAATAAGTCATAGCGTCCATGTATCTATACTTTAGGGAAGACACTAAAATATGTAGGGGGAGATTGTTTCGATGGAAGGCCTTGCGTCGTACAGAACCTACCAGTGCACGCTGCTTGTGTTGACTGGACGCGGTGATAAGAAAAAATTAACTAAACGTAATTATTCTTATTTACCCCGTTTCTTCAATTCCCAATTTTTCTAGCCTTCGTTTTAGAACTGGTAGAAAATTTAGGTTTTTTTTAAATGCATTCAACTTACTAGAACTTACATGATTACGTATATGATTTCTTCTTTATGTGTCAATTCTTAATAATTTTGTAATAATTACTGACTTGGCTGCAACCTCCGTAATTTATACGTCTCGATGTGTTGATTGATGTGTTTTTAGTTTTTACTATATTAAAGCTAATTTGAAACTTGGTGCTATCGATATAAATTATAAGGACACATTGTATTCAATTTGTAGTATTGTGTAAACATGTTTAGTTTTAAGGTAAAATCCGCATATGAAGAATCTTCAAAGTCATCGCAAGTCGCTGAATTATGACTCATTTATGATGACTAGGTTAAATGACGATACACTGCCATTAACCCAAACGGTCCAATATTTGATCAATTATATATAATCTCTATTTTTTATCTTATAAGCGAATCATAGGAAGACCGTGTGCTTTAGTTTGTTATTATTGACAAAAAAAAACAATATGAGCTACTTCAACAGTATCATATACGTACCTATCTATATGTATTAAAATTAGGAAACCTAGTACTCACGCGTAACCTTTAATTATATCGATAGAATTACAAATTAATTAATGTTTAAAAAATATTACTTTAGGTACAGAATTTATTTTAAAACGATTTATTTATGAAATATTTGTTAACTTATTTTTGTTCGAACGCAAAAAGGAATAGAAAAGAATTATTCTCCCTCAGATAATTAAAAAGTATATCAGCAACAGTATATATTTTAAGATTAACGGACAAGAGCTGTTTTTGGTAGATGGTAATAAAATTGTCAAAATGTATTTATTTATTTAATGCCAAATTAATATGGCAAAAAAAAATTGCCAAGTCAAGTAGTAGTCATGAAAATAAGATATAACGGATAATAGCTCTGCCCTAAGCCCAACGTCAGAAATACGAGATAGAGAACACTCATAAACAAATAACAGTACTCACAGTTTTGTAAGAAGCGAAGTCGCTTCTCCAGATCACTATCGTTAACCACAGCAGCCCCCATGATAACATCAGAATGTCCATTCATGTACTTCGTGATGGAGTACATGACGATATCTACTCCGAAGTCCAGGGGTCTTTGCAGGTATGGAGTCAGGAAGGTGTTGTCGACTGCTATTAAGATACCCTTGCCTTTCGCGATGTTGACAACTGCTGTTAGGTCTATCACCTTCAGGAGAGGGTTGGTTGGTGTTTCTACCCATATCATCTACAAAGACAATATTAAATTTACTATTGAGATAAACACGCGCTTTATACGTTAGTATTAAGTTATTTAGTGGTTAGAACTTGGTAAAAAAATATTTAAATTGTACACATTAATTTGCTGACTATACCTTGTGCAAACTATCCTAATTGTTTATGTCTATTTTAGATAGATGTCGCCCCGTGACCACGGCTGCTGCAAAGCATCCGAAACGTCGGGCCGAAGTTAAAAATCATTTCCAAATAAGTTTAACTAATATATCGCGTTTTAAACCGTTAAAGTGTTTTATTTAAATATATGCTTACTTTTGTGTTTTCCTTGATCTCCTTCTTGATGCTATCTTCAATGGTAAAGTCGGCAAATGAGATTTCTATACCCATCCTTTGAACGACATTTCTGTAAACAAAAAAGTTCAATTATTCCTAGGACTATAAATATTTAACAGTGTTTAACATTCACAACATATTCCCGACTTAAAAGGTCACGATACATATTTATGTGGAGGCCAAATTTCTATTGCTTGTTTTTTTTGCTCAAGTAAAGGACACTTTGGGTGTTGTGTAAATCTTATATTGTGGATCGTGAGCCCGTCGTTCGTCGCATCGTTGATTTTAGTATTTTATGAAAGCTGAAGTTTGGACGTTATTTTGTTTAGAACGTATAAAGAAACAAACAAAAAATACTTAATCGTCACCAATGTTATAAAATAAGATTTAATTTGAAGATAATCCAAAAACGTAGCGAGAAAAGGCGGCCTTATCGCTAAAACCCGATTTCTACCAAGCAACCTTGAAGACGGAGATTTACAATAATAAATGACAATAAGGGTAACGCTAGAGCTGTAATAAGTTATACAATGCTAAAAATGTTCTTAAAATTTTGTTGTAATAATTTACCTAATCATAATAAAGAAATTGTGGGAAACAATGACTTTCGTTCTCTTATAATTAAACCATGACAATATCAACCGATTTCCCTTTTAGAAGATATTATCGGAAACCTAAAAGGTCGGGTCATGGTAAAAATAAGTTAACTATTAAAATAAAACAATTTTAGCGCGACATAAACTACAAATAATAATCGATCATTATCGTATATGCTTCTTATGCATATCGCATTTAGAACTGTAGAAAGATTCTTGTTTAAAACAAACATTATTATGGCAAAAATTGTGCTATAAAAAAAAAACAAGTAAAAGGCACATTCAAATAACATATTATAATCATTGTACCCACTGATGTTTATTTATTTTTTTTTTTCAAAAAGACTTAGGTACACCATTTCTCTTTGTCTATTACTATTAGTAATTGTTTTAGATACATACCTGCCTTAGGTACCTATGTATAATTAATATATAAATGTTATAATTACCTCAATAGCCTATTAGTTCCTCCATACACATCGTCACAGCACAAGATGTGGTCCTTTTGGCTTAGTAACGATGTTATAGTTGTGATAGCCCCCAAACCCGATGCGAACGCCAAAGCGTGCTTTCCACCATCTAACGCAGCTAAGCATTCTTCAAGGGTGTTCCTTGTTGGATTACCAGATCGGCCGTAGTCGAAGTCCTAAAATATAATAATAGGTTTATGTGTCATCGATCTAGTGGTACATTTGTAGCGATTAGGACGTTCAGGATTTTCCCGGGTCGCGCATCTTGTCAATGCAGAGATTTACCCTATAGAACATATTTGATTTCTTTGACGTGTCATTATAATTGGTGGTTCACGTCTAGAACCCGACAACCTGCAGCGGTGTATCGTGGTTAGTTTAGGAAAACCCCTTCGACCATGAAGGCGAGGATTTAATTATACATTTATGGAGAAACCTAAAACTATAGAATTTCATGTAACAAACTGCCATTATAGTGTCATTATAAAAAAAAATAACTTCAGATATAATTTAAGTTAGTAATTTTTTGTAAAACGGATATATAATCAATAATGGAATTAAGGGCGATATTAGTTAAATACTAACAGTAAGGGGTCTTTGAAGAACTGAACGTATTACCTTTATACCTTATACCTAACTGAAGTTACGAGGAAAACATCGCTATTCATCATTGGATAAAACCAGTTTTTGATAAAGGCAGCTGGTGAATTTTTTGCTAGCTACCTAATTAGACGTAGACAGGACAAATTTTACGGCAGGAATGTGGGAACAGAAATTTCTAATATTATTTTAATACGTCGAATTGGGAGTTACAGTAAATTTTTCATATATCCCGATATTAAATTACCGTAAATACATTGAGAAATATAAAAAAGGAAGATGAAAGAATTTTAAAAGTTAGTTTAAATGTCGATAAATACATATCTATATCATTATTGCGGGCGGAAATAATATACCTAACCCGGAAAATATTCTCGGACCATTTATGTTCTTGGAAATCTTCGATCAGTAAAGAAAAAGATGTAACCCTAAATGGATTTTAAATCCGCTGTTAGCCACAAAATTAATTTAATTTAAATTCCTTACCTTGTACTCGGCAGGTCCCGTCTGTTTAAACGTGGTAGAAGTAACAATTGGTGCCACCACAGCAGAAGACTCCCATTTGCTTGGATCTTGCCCTGCATGAATCGCGATGGTTGCGAAACCGGGTTTTTGTTTCAGGAAGCCTTGGTCACCCATCTGATTTTTAAATAATATTAATGAACAATAATAACACTTCGTCAAGACGTAATTTTACCACACAGCTTTGTTAGGTCTAATGAATGAAGAAATTATTCAAATGATGATGAAATCGTGTTAGAAATTGTACCTAAAAAACTTAAACTACCTAAAAATACAAATAGAAAAAAGATTTCAATGTAAAAATTTGCATTACCTTAAATATTTTTATAAAAAACACAAATTTAATAAGCAGTGCTTCTAAAAATTATTTGTAATATAAAATAAGTACAGTTTTCAGTTACGAGTTTACACACGCACAATATTATTTGATCGAATCTGGTTTAAAATAACCACACCTCTTGCCGGCAAAATGCAATTGACAATTTATTGATGACAGAAGCGTTTTTAAAGAACGTCATTTTTTTTTTCTCATGGACTATTAGTTAGGATACTAGTATTTTTGTCATGGTAAAATGGTTAATCTTTTTTTTACATTATCAATTGTCAATTTCTGAACAGCGATATTTTTAATTTTGATTACTTGACGTACGACATTTGTTTTGCTCTATTTGATAGTTTCCCGCGTTTTATTTTACGACATATATTTTAGTTTTTTTATTAACTACTTTAATATTTACACTGAAGGTACAAATAATTTTCAACTAAAGTTATTAGTTTGTTAAAGCGTATATTTAACAAAAGTTTCCCTTTGCAGGTTTGAAGAATTGTGAGTTGTATTTATCTTATAAACGGTGCTCAAACTGTAATTCAAAAGGTTTAATTTTACACATGAGAATATTATATTACAACAATCTTGACAAGTTTTGTGCTACTAAAATTAACAATATATAAAAATGAAAATTGATAGTAAGCCTCTACGATATGCTCATGCTGAGGGTCATACAGATGTTTGTTATAGTGAGGATGGCAGGTAAAATTCTGACCGATATTTAAAATGAAATACAACCTTACTTAAGTGGACACAACTGAATACCTAATACAACGTGTTATTTTAAGACATATTATAACCTGTGGACATGATGGAGACGTCAGAATATGGCTGGACATTGAGGATGATGACCCAACATCTCACTGTGTTGGAGAAAGTGCACTTGCAGTGTGTTTTAAAGATAAAAGGTTATATGTTGCCACTGACAATCATGCAGTTCAAGCATATACATTCCCAGCGTTTGACAAAGATGGTATCATCACTAGATTTACTGCTCCTGTTACACAAATAATGTCAAGACCTAAAATTGAGGTAAGGTTTTCCTTGTGACTTTGCTGAAACAATACTTTTAAGTTTATTGTAACTAATACAACATAAATAGAGGCCTATAACAGTTCAGCTCAGAATATTCAAGTTTTTAGCAAAATAGCAGTTAAATAATAATTTTTTTTCGTATCAAATATCACATACAAAATGAGTGTCTTAAAGTAGTCTAATGTGATCGCATACTTTAGGTCCTTGGATGCACATCAGAAAATATGGAAGCTAAGATATGCAGCTTAGAAGGTGGCGCACCCCTATTTGTCATGCCTGATCATAAGGGCCCGGTGTTAAGTATAGCAATATGCCCTAATATGAAGTATGCAGCAACTGCCAGTGGCGATGGTATACTCAGAGTATTAGATATAGATACACAAAAGATGGTCAAGGAACTTTCATGTGTTCCAAAAATAAATACTTTTTATGCAGCTAAGGTTTTATGTAAGTTCTAATATACATATATAGAAGTAGAGTATTTTATGCTCTTAATGGGAGAATTTCTTGAAGCTGCTAAGGATCAATCTTAAACACTATACTACCAAAAACTTTGCAATAATGATATGTGTGTGAATAAAACATTATCAGTACAGTAATTTGTAACAAATAAGTATTTTTATGAATTATCATGGTTAGAAAACAATGATTTCAGGTCGCATGGATTTTGAGCCATCAGAAGGCAAATATTTAGCTTATCCAAACAACAGAGAAATTATTTTATTGGACAGCAATAGTTGGGGCCAGAGAATGACTTTCTCTCACAATACGGTCAGTATCAGTAACTTTTAACTACAAATGTTTATACACTCTTAACCTTAGTCTAACTAATTATAATTAATCAACATCCATGAAGCTTGAACAACTACCACCATACATACCATCGTTTCTGTTACCAGTTGAACTACGTATTACCCGTGAAAAATTTTATTAGAAATAATTATGAATATTACAAGAATGAGTTCAATTTTATAATTATTTGTTACGATAATATGTAAAAAAATATTATTAAAAAGGAGGCTAATATATATAGACACAAGCTGGATTTAAACTGTATAACCTTTTGCTCTGTTAATCTTGAATTTATCTTTTCTTTCCAGATAAAGTGTGCCATATCGCAGTGTCTATTTTCCCCTTGTGGACAATTCTTGGCTGGCAGCACAGTAGCTGGCCAGATAGCTGTGTGGGAAGTGCAAAGCGGGGCTTGTATGGACATCATAGAACATCCCACTTCACATAATGTTTCTTCTATGGCATGGAGTCCCAAAGGTTTTGCATGAACATTGCTTGTATATATATATAAAAAGAAAGATGTTGAAAGTCATACTGTATTTTTATAGGGAACGGTGTATTAGTATACTGTGACGTGGCTGGCCAAATGGGAATGTTACAAAACTGCTATGGAAAGGACAGCAACAAAATTAGTGCTGATGCAGAATCTGGAGATGTTGAAAGTGTTGAGAGGATGGATGGTATGTTTTAGTTATACCACCTTATTATTAATCTAATAAGTGCATTTTGGTATGAAAACATACATAAACATAATTTGTCTGCCTGTGTATTTCATTCTAGATAATGATGAGATAGTCGATGACCTAATCCAAAATTATGAAAGTGATGATGACAATGGAATATCATTGGAGAAGATTAAGAATGAAACTCTTGGTTTGGTGGAGAAGGATTCCCGCCCTGAGTCAAGGGTTATGACTGCACTACCCTCTACCATACCCCCCCAGGCACCCTTTCAGCCTTCGTCTACACCGTCGCACCTTGAACATCGGTATTTTAGCTGTTTTTTTTTTTTAATTTTGACTATGCTCTATTGATTTTCAAACATTTTTCGTTTTTTTTTAAATAAAATTTCAACAAAGTTACGAAAATAAGGTGTAAGGTGAGCAGTCCTGTTCTCATACCGTAACTAGCTGTGTCAGCGACTTCGTCCACGTAGAATAGTTATTTTGAGTTTCAAAATTAGTTTTTCCCAACCTATTGTTCAACTCAATAAACTTAAGCTGTTACTCATGACGTCGTTCTTGCAAGTTAATCTTAAATGATAGTGTCGCAGACTATTTATTAGATCATTTAAAGAGGAATCATTCTTTCGCACATATTTTTGGGTATCTAGAACCGTTTTCGCAGCGTATGTAATGGACACCCACAAGGATGAATAATTTTCCTCGTTTTTTTTCACATTTCCCGCTGTTTCTTCGCTTTTGTTAGTCGATTCACGATTTTTTATAGCGTACCTTCTTCAATAAGTGATCCAACCAACACAAAAAGAGTTTTAATCCGAACCTGAGATTAGCGCGATTAAAGAAACAAACAAACTCTTTCGCCTTATTTATTAGTATAGATTAATATCTATATGTATAGATTGTCTGATTTTGTCAACCCAAAAATCATGTTTGAATAGTCTTATTTAAAAACAAACAATAATCATTTTCAGATACATGTGTTGGAACGATGTCGGTATTGTCCGCTGTCACAATGCTGAAAATGGTGAATCGACGATAGATGTTGAGTTTCATGACTCAAATTTGCATCACGGAATACATCTTAATAATTACCTGAACCACACTATGGCGAGTCTATCTACACATGTATTGGCGATGGCCTGTGAAACTCCTAGGTAAGTGCAAAATCAGCTATATTTCACATTTAAACCCGTTAAAAACAGTTCGTTCGTTCAGAATACAACGTAATACTTCTCAACTCGATCAAACGATTCTCAACTTGATCTTTGTCTCTATCTATATGTAACCCTATCTTATATGTCTTATTTCGTACGTTTCAGTAAGTTGGTATGTATATCGCTAGTTGGTAGCAGTAAAGAATGGAGTGTTACATTACCAGATACGGAAGAAGTGCTGTGTGTCACAGCGGCCAGCGGAGTCGTCGCGTGCGCAACTAATGCGAGGCTGTTAAGGATTTTCACACCGATGGGCACCCAGAGACAGGTATCTTTACTAACTAATTAAAATATAATAATAATAAAAAATAAGAAAGCGACTTGTTATTATTTAAAATCTTTATTGGTTTTATTATTTCAATCTCACAACAGATTTTTCAGATCTCATTACATGTTATTTAAAAAAAAACACTATATAGACAACTAAAAAAAAAAAAATCTTTTATATTTTTCCAGGTCTTATCACTACCGGGACCAGTCGTGTGTCTAGCAAGTTTCAATACAACAGTATTCGCCGTGTACCACCACACGGACCCCGGTCTGTCTGATCAACATCTAGCTATGGACATCATTGCATTCAACGGTCAGTATACTTTATAAAATCCAAGTATTCATAGTAAATTCATTTTAATACAACATTCATATAAACATTATAACAGAATTCATCTTGATAAACATCAACTAATTGAATTTGTATTTACTTCTTGATTCTGAATAAACATATTTCTATTCTATTCTAAACATACATATCCTATACCATAATATACATTACTGTTGTGCTGTTTCTGGTCCCACACACATCACTCACGGCTTTTCCTTTTTTACTAATATTTGTTATCTGTGGTTTTCTGTAATAGCTTTGTAGATTGTTATTTTTACAGACAGTGGCAGAAATAAAATAGCAGGTAGCTTTCAAATCTAGATTTTAAAAAGTAAGTGTGAATATTTGAATAGCTGAAAGGAGTAGTGTTTTAATTTTAAGATAGTTTAGGAAGGAAATAAAAGTACTTATCAAACAAACCTCAATTGAATGTCTTTATTTCTAGGACGACAAGTGCGCAGCAAAACAGTCTTTATTCCATTGACTCCAGGATCTAAATTGGCCTGGATTGGAACTAGTGACGCTGGTTCGCCGTGCACCTGCGACAGTACGGGTATCGTCCGGCTTTATGACGTCACCAGCGCAATCTGGCTGCCCATTTGTGATACTACCACTCATTCTAAGGGTGCTTCCGATTCCTGGTTTATGGTGTCCGTAAGTATATATGTAAAATTTGAGACTCCTCATGGTGTTACCAGCTACTTCTTAACATTCTGAGTTTTATTAAATAGTTCCCTAAGTGTTCCATGCTAACTTTACCCTCTTTTTTTCTTTTTGACAGAAAACAGTTCAAAAGTTGATGTCTCTTCTGTGTTTACACTGTACCTTAATTCATCGGTTTAATGCGAAACAATTTTGTGTCGATGTATAAAACATACTTGTAAAATAAAATTATAAGACCCATGTTTGGAAAAATGGCAACCATGATTGTTTTTTAAGTGGCCAAACCTTTATAACTATATTATAAAGAAATATTTGTTATATTAGATGCTTCAACATAATATATCCAAAAATTATAATTATTGTATTCCTAAAGTACTAGTAAACTCATTATGAAAAAAAACACTACACTACACTTTCGCCTTAACGAGTTTGTAAAATACATAATATATAGTATATAAATATATGAGTTTAATTCATACAATCTTCAGGTAAACGAACAAGCGCAAAAGCTTTGCGCAATCATGTGCAGAGGTGCCACGTTCCCCCTGACTGCACCGAAGCCTATAGTGACAGAACTACCAATACAGGTAACACTTGGTTAACTTGACTGAATGCGAAATACACAGCGTGATTGACCTATTTTGTCTTTGTATATTCAGAATAGCATGTACCGAATTTGAAACGTAATTAATTTATAATTCCGTTCGTAAGAAGAAAACTTGTGACATTCTCACAAGCAAACACCTTTAATTATTATGGGCCTTGTATTGCTAACATTTGACATCCATTTGTAGTTTATGTAACGGGTTCATACTACATATTAAAACACATAACTGTTCATTTATCTCTAATTACAACCCGACTGTCGTATGCCTTGAGCAGCAGTGGTGATTTTGACGTTTCAAACAGCTAAAAGTATTTAAATTCCCATTAATTATTATTTTATTAAACTTCAGATTCCAGTGTGCGAGTTGGATACAGAGAAGAGTCAATACGAGGAGCAGTTGGTGCGGTGGGCACATACAACTTCTGATGTGGATGTCAAGGCTGCGAGGGAAACTTCGCTCAAATTGTTCGCCGTACGTTGTTCTATGATCTTGTAATGTGCAATTTAAGATATAAAAAATGGAGCCTTAATATAATGTCACGTGACACACGTTAAAATTACCAAAATGTACCAAAAAAAGCAATTTGATGATAATAACATCAAATTGCTTTTTGCAAAATTATTTAAAGATTCCGCTGACCGTTTGTCTTTTACTAGCCTATGCCTATGTAACAAGTAATTTAAGATATTTCCTTAACATACGTGCGAGAAACCGACTCGCACTTAGCCGGTTTTTAATATAAGAGGTGAACATCACTGAAGTGAAAACAATTTGAAATAACCATCAACTATTTACTCCTACAGTTAGCCTGCCGCAGCGAAATAGAACAGCGCGCGATAGAACTAATGGAATTGCTCAAAGACGACCGCCTATTACCGTTAGCCGCTAAATACGCGTCGCGACTTGGCCGAATGCATCTGGCCGACAAGTTATCCAATTTGGCCGACAGCTGGGAGCGACAGACCGATAAACTGAACGTCGCAACGCACTTCCAAGAGCTTGACACGCAGGAGACCTATGACGTCACTAGCACAGAGCAAGATTTGAATGCGAGCCTCATTATACCACAGAAGACTGTTAAAAAGAAAATTGAGAATGTCACGCCAATTAAACCTGTTGTAAGTAATTGAATGGGTTTACAGACTGTAAATGGGCCTCTTCCACGTGTGGGATATGGGGCCAATACATTGTAGAATTTGTTTCAATAATTGATTTTAGTACAGGCAAATGGTTGATCGAACTTCTGTGGCCTGTCTACCGAACTAGTTTATCATGGGATCTGGGAATCGGATCTAATACCTTTCGTGCTACTGCAATGCTAAGACACCATAAGGGCAAAGAGATATATATATGACAACTATTTTTACTGCTTTAGTATCAAAAATGTATTCTCTATCTTAAACCAGGATAATCAATAAACACTATGTTCTCTCTCTGAATTTCAGCCAATAAAATCGTCGCCGGGAGGTGCGCGGAATCCCTTCAAGAAGCAACAGGACACGAACAAAAATGTCCAAAGTCCACTATCATTAACAGAGAGAACGCTGGTGGAAGTACATTCTACTGCAGAGGCGACGGAAAATCATGATGTAAGTAAATACACGTTCAATATGTAAAGAAAAGAGGAGAAAAAATATGGAAGAGTGTCAAAGATATATTTAGTTACCAAAATGGGCCTTACAATTTGAAAATCAATGATAGTCATTTTTTTTTAAATCCTGAATAGTGTATGTACATCATTTTAAAAAGTGTTAATGATTTGATGTCTGTAGGGAATTTCAAATACATTTATACATTTTTAAGATGACATAAACCGTATAAGTATGAAATTGTTTTAATTGAAAAAAATGTTTTCAGCCTTTAAAGCCGCTGGCAGGTGAAACATTCGTCGACTGGTTTTCGCGAAACAGACAGACCCTAGAACAACAGAACCCCGAAATGACACCGTCTGAATTGACAAGGCATTGTATACGCACCTTCAAAAGCAGCCAAACTAACCCAACCGAGGGTAGTCAGAAAAGAAAATTAGATGAGAGTTTGGAGGAATCGCCAGTTACCAATGCACCGAAACAGTCTAAGCTTAGTGCGTTTGCGTTTGTGAAGAAGGATTAAATTATTAGTTATTATTTTATACTTTCACAGCAAAGGGTAGGTGAGACCCGGTAGCTCAATTGTTTAGAGTAACAGCTCTGAATACTGTAGATGCCAGTTTTAAGTTTACATCAATCAAATCGTCAAATGTTTCCATTTAAAATAGATTTTTAACTTATTAAAACATTTTTGTTAAACATTCGCTTTTGCAGAGATTCCTCAACATGTTACGCGTTCTTTGAGTAAGCAAAGACTGAGACACACAGTTTTTTTTATATATTTCAATAATGGCGCCATCTCTTGAGCCTTTTTGATGACTTTTGATCTTTTTAGTATTTCGACAGGTAACTTGTAAGTAAAAGCTGTTATATCATGTTACTGTTATTTACGATATAAGTTATTTAAGATTAAGAAAGTGTCGAGAAAATATTTAAAATGTAAAAAAAAATATATAAAAAAAATGAAATGGATTTTATTATCAGTTCACAAGTTCAGCTTCATCTGGTGCCGGAAACACTCCCTCTTTGATCATTTTCTTCCACTCACTACCGTTAGGGTAGGTGAACTTCTCCAATGTTTCTGGTAGAAATTCAGTGCTATATCCTGGAAGCTATAACAAAGAAAAGTTTTTAAAACGTCAACACTCGATGTAATATATAATATACAAAAAGATTTACATAAAAAAGTTCCTTTTGTATTTTACTTCCCCATACATTATTTAGACAAATCCTTTTTTTAAAAACCAGAACATTAGTATGTTTTAGAAAACAAAAGATTTATGACTGGGACGGAGATCTCGGGCCTTAGTTAAAATAAGTTAACTAATATTCGCGTTAAGGCCGTCAATTAGTGTTTGAATGCCGTCAGTGCTTTAATGGAAAAGTAAAGCAACTTAAGTAAATTTCTATAAATTTTGTTGAGCGTTGTGCTTTATTTTTCACTTTTGTAGACTAATCAAACTCAATTCTGTATACGTATTTTGTACATATTTTAAGCCTCGTCTTATATTAAGGAAAACAAAAACCTTCCCCTTCTGATAAAATAAACAGTTTTTTTTACGACAAATATTTTGCGAGTCGATATGTTTACGTATTGCAATGTTATACTTACTTTTGGCGCCATATATCTCGCGTTTACAACTACGCAAGGGTCGTAAAAATGCTCGTGTTGCTGGTCCACATACTCTACTAAGCGACCTTCCATTGTACCAGAAAGGCTGGCATAATCCCAGAATTGTAGATGCTGTACCATTTCACATAAGCCCACACCGCCGGCGTGTGGACATACTTTTGACTGAAAAAAAAATTTTAAGAGGTAGACAAGGATTAAGTTGTTTGGAGGTGATTTTATACCCCAGCATAGAAGAAAACATATCTATATATAATATATAAACAAGATGCGATGTTCGAAATTCACAGACTTCGAAACCGCAACGGGATTCAATCTCATTGTTATATCTGCTGAGGGTGACCCGGTGCCCTTCAGAGTCAAATTGTCTTCTGTTTAAGTAGTAATTAAGGTCTATAAATCTATTTAAGGTTCAGTCCAGTTTGTGTTCTTCGGGGGGAAAAATATTTTTTTTTTTTTTTTTTTTTGGGTTTTTACCCCCCCCCTGGGGGGTCCCCCCCGAAACACAAAAAAAAAATTTTTTTTTATTTTTTTTTTTTTCTTTTTTTTTTTTTTTTGGGGCGCGGGAAAAAAATTTTTTCTTTTTTTTTTTTTTTTTCCCTAAATGGGAATTTGCGAAAGATACAAAAATTGTCAGTGAATATTGACTCCTCTCATTGAGAAACTTCTACAGTATTATAGTACCTTTAAGTTTCTCCGCCATAAGATACACCGATAAAATCTCGTTTATCCCCCCGATCCTCGCAGAATCAATCTGACAGAACTGCATGCCTCCGCTCTGCAGAAATTGCTTGAACATAACACGGTTTGCGCACATCTCGCCAGTTGCCACTCCTATTCCATAAGGTCTAGAAACAATAGAATGTTTAGAGAATACCTAGCATATACAACAAATATTCGTATCGTTCACACTTGCGGAGACATGTGGATGTCGGTTCGAATCCTGACCGTATCGTTTTTTTTTTTTTTCAATTTAATTATATTTTTATTTATTGTAAAGATTAAAAAAATATATTTAATTTCTGTAACAATGTGAAATATGAAAAATTTAAAGTTTTCAAACCTTGTAATAATTAAGTACTGCTCAGTTATTTGCTTGTACTTAGTAAAAAATGGTGGTGATGGCATTATATAAACTAAAAGTCTATTTCAGATTTAGAATAAAAAATATTTAACGACACGGACAGGACTCGAACCAGTTCTTCCTACTGTTTTCATGCAGCTACTCTATCTAATAATTAACTGGAATATTATAAAAACCATAAAGCCTCAATAAGACCAAGTAAATGCACCATCGATCAATAAAAAAGAACAAAAACTCACTTAAGAGCCTCAGCTATTTTAGCGTGCCCTAGAACATCGTCTGGTGAAGTTGGTTCTTCTATCCATAGAGGTTTCAAGTGGGCAAGCTGCCTCATCCAGTCAATGGCTTCTTCAACATCCCATGCTTGGTTAGCATCGACCATCTATTTAGTAAAATGTGTATTGATCATAAAAGTCACACAAGTAAACTATTCGTAATTCAGTCTTAAAACTTAACTTATATATTACATATTTATTATTAATTTGTTTCTTTAAACAATTGTTGTGTGAGTAATGTAGTAAATGTTGGTAAACTTATAAATAAACAAAATTACTCATAAAAGGTCAATTCTGAAAAAAACACTCACCAAAACTTTATCTTCTCCTATACATTTCCGCACTGCACCAGCTCTTCTTACATCATCTTCCACACTACGACCGACCTTGACTTTGAAATGAGTAAAGCCAAGGTCTAAATATTTGCGACAGAGCTCCTCCACAGTAGCGTCACTGTAACCCATCCATCCTAAAATTTCGTATCAGAGAGATCTAAGTCTCCAAATAAACTAGTCAGACAATATACAACTTTGAATATAGGATGCTTGCCGTTAAGCAAGACACGGAACCATTAATTTGGGAGATTCTAAGTTAATATAAGAACTAACTAATATACTAAAAACAATAGAGAGAAAACTAATAAGAATTGTCGTTGTTTGAAGTAGGTATGTACCACAGTACCCACAAAGCAAGGGACAGTCATTGTTATTAAAAGTGTTTGTCTTCTCTACAAGATTGTAATAAACATCTTTCGTTATGGTTACCTATTCATTTACCTAACTAAGTTATACGGATATTATTACATCAATGTGGCTGTTCCTTTTCCTGCTACATTAAATCGTTTAAGGAGTTATGCTAAGAATTTCAAATTAAATTTAACGTAATAAATCGTTTACTAATAAGTAAATACACTTGAAAAAGTCATTTTGTAAATTCCCTGTTTATTCAAATTTATCAATAACCAAAACAGAAAAATACGTTTTTTATTCGAAAATTATTTAGACGGTTTGTAATACTTAATAGTGTACCAAACTTACTTACCAACTTGCGTCGTATACGCAGGGTACCCATTTTCTTCCAAGAATTGCACTCTTTCCTCTTTGCCTGCCCGTTTTGCTTTTAACATGCAAATCGCCTCATCTTTAGTTATAACATCGGTTATGTAACGAAAGTCTATCGTCGATACAAGTTCCTACGAATAAATATCACCGTGATTTTAAAGGTCAAAAGATACATTGATAAGAATATAAATAACTTTTGTTTGTATTACAACATAAGTGAGTTTAATTTTATTGATAAAGTAGAACGTTAGCTCTTATCGTGGTAAAATCGTAAGAAAGTACCTACTTTTCTTTTCTAGAGGCCATTTTTAAATTTTCATAAGGAGTGAATCTTATTTTTTCATGTACTGCAAAAAATGTTTAGATATCAGCACACACTGCTTTAAAGAACTTTGTAGTTAGAAAATGTTATTTCTGCAGTGGAGTATAACGATACACCCTTTACCTTAAATCTACATTACAGTCAGTAACTCTCAATAATTATAGTCCTTTCCGTTTTATTTACTTTAATTATAAATATTTTTTAAAAAAAAACTTTAACGGTTTAAAACGCGATATATTAGTTAAACTTATTTGGAAATTATTTTTAACTTCGGCCCGCCCACATTTCGGATGCTTTGCAGCAGTCGGTGGTCACGGGGAGACTGTTAAAGTGTTTTATTTAAATGTGTACTACTCGCCCGTAAACTATACGTATTTAGTTTATATTATTTATATAACAACCCGTATTTCTGTTTATGTCGAATACCCAGGTTCCAAATCCACGAGCAGTTTCCATACAGGTTTGTTCTCAATTCGCGCCCACAAATCCCATAAAGAGTTAAGAATGGCCGCCGCAGCTAAATGCGCCACTCCTTTTTCAGGTCCAATCTATAGAGAAAACAATTTTTCTATAGAAATTTGTCCTTAAAAATTACTTGTTTATATTTGTTCATAATTATTGTCCCAGCTTCAAACTTAGAAAGCGAAGTACAATCATTAAAACCTTATCTTCTTGAAATAGTTTTTTAATTACGCAAAAGTATTCTTAAATAATACACGTTAGCAACTAATGTAGGTTATTCATTTTACAGACCATCACAAAATATATACTACGAAACTCAGTAAACTGGAAAGAGGCCGTATAAGAGTTATTCTACCTTGAAATACCTGTACAACCCAATAAATACGCAAATATATCAGTGACTATTGGTTTAAGTAGTAAATTCTCTTAATTATTCTAATAATAAAGTATTTTTCGTTCATAAAAAATAAACAAGCTTTGGATATAAATATCTTATTAGTGCCTCCATTATTAAGATACATTACCCATCTCATCTGAGAGTCGTTTGTGATAGTCCGCCAGAAGCCGGAGAAATCAGCAAAAATGTCTGATGCATTCTTGCCAATGATGAACCGTTTCAATGCTCTGATCGCGAGGACTACGATCTCTGTACCACGACCGCATGTGAAGGTCAAACCGAAACCTCGCTTGCCATTTTCGGTAACCGTCGTGACGTAGGCACAGGAGTAGTTGGGGTCCGTGTGCTGTAGTCCCATAAAATGAATACATGCAGGCATATTAGAAGGCAGAGTAATCCATATATATTATATACTACATCCAATATTAATAATGAGACGGAAAAGTCTAAGGTCTAGACGAAGTGATCGCCATCGATAAGACCTAGGTAACCTAATATCTATATTGTTTCGATCAAAACAATATGCTAGTTTATTTATTAACCAGTTGCCATGGTGTTTTTTTGCAATATATACGTATTTTTATAATTTTCATCTATATCAAATATATTTTTTGTGTATCCCGTACCACAGCGCACACAATGGAAACGTTCCCCCGGTTTTTCTACATTTCCCACTTTTCCTCGCTGTTATTGTTCGCAGCATGATGTGTAATAGGCCAAAGCCTTTCTCGATAAATACTCTCTCCAATACAAAAATAATGTTTCAATTCGAACCTAGGTAATTCCTGAGATTAACGCGTTCAACCAAACAAACTCTCTAGCTTTATATATTAGTATAGATAGAATTGAAGATTTAATAATTGTAATAGACGAAAAAATGAATTGGATTTACACTTAAAGATGGAATTTAATTTTCCAGCAGCACATTTTCTATTTTAATACGGTTGTGCCTGTTCGTAATTGAAACAATAATTATAACCATGGAACAGACATGACGTTATAACCGTTACAGTCACGTAACGGAAAACCATGTTTAAAAACCCCCGGGTCCGACACACAGGAAAAGATTCATAACACACCTAATTATCTATTCAAAGCTCGTTGAAGACTAGCTATAAACACAAATATCACTTAATAAAAAATATTTGAATATGACACACAGCGGTATTAATTATTTTTATCGAATGTTATCAGAACTTCGTTCTTGACACTGATAATAATTTATCATTTGTCCAATGATCATTACAGTCTCACCAAAGCATCCGAGCCGTGTCCTCCGAGCGAAGTCGGGAACCTCACATCCTTAACATCGAGATGGGTAATTTTTAAACCGGTTTTATTCGGAAAGGGCATCGTGTGTATCACCCTCGATACATACGAGACGACTGGTGCGAATTATCGTTAATGTTCCTAAATTGTTTACATTAACGTTATACTTTGTAAATGTAGTCGAAACTCATGTGTTGTTTTTATATCTTTATTATTTTGGCATTTGAATTTGGGGATAAAACAGTATATTTGTATTGTTTTTGTCAATTCTAGATTCTACCCTCCATGACGTTAGTTAATTAAAATTGTAGGTAGTTTATCCATTTTCAGGTATCATTTTTAGAAGTATATTATATCATTATTGTATATTTACACTTTACGCAAACTATAGGCAATATAGTTTGCGTAAAGTGCGTTGAATTAGACGTATTAAGGTAGAATTTTACGATAATTTCTACGGTAAGGTAAAATATAATAAATAAATTAAAGTCTTAGGAAAATTTAATTTCTAATAAAATTACATATATTCAAATAAAAACATTTCTGATTTGTAACAATTTAAAAAAAAATCTTATATGACTAGAAACAAAAAAAAAGGTCCACCACTGGAATTATTGTATATCAATTTTACAAAAAAAAAGAATAATTGCCAATTTATTAATAGGGAATGATAAAAATTATGTGTAAAAAGAATGTACTTGAATTTAAAATCTTTACTTTAGAATAAAAATGTACGACCTTGGTATGAAATAGATTTTTACTGTAAAGCTAACAGTAATGTAAAAAAATAGGTATAAGATTGTAAATTTAATTATTCTCATACAAAACACTTTCACTTAACATTAAACTTATATCAAATATTAATTGTGTTTTATTAAAGACAATATCTAGTTGTTCCCATTCTTACATTATATCACCTAACACATTAATATTAAAACTTAAAATTCTTTACTACATATACTCCTTCCTTATCGTAAAATAAAATCTTTTTTTTTTGGAAAGAGACAATGTGGCTTAAGAGTTTTTTTTTTATCATCAGTCATACTTTTGTATGACATATTATTATAAGTATACATATACAAAGATATCTTATTATCTATATATAGCACCATAGATAATGTAAATTGTAAAGTTTTAAACTTCCAATATATACATACATAAATCAGAATTAATTGATTGGCACATTAGAAAAATTAGATCAGATTTTACAAAAACATTAAAGTCAGCTACTTCTGGTTTCTTTCGTATATTGCAGCCAACTCTTTAACGACCTGTCTTTCATCTTCATCCCATAAAACTCTTGCCAACTTACCCAATGTACCATCATCGTCATTTCTGACCCAATCCAGTAGTAATTTGTAACGAGCCTGTGAAATTTTTAATACATTATTTATAGTCTTTCGACTTCTTTGCTAAATAGTGAATGAAATGTATTAATACAAACTCACTTTAGTTCTAGTATTACATAATAATTTTAACATTTAATCAATTTTAAGTTAATTACCTCTGCAACTCCACTTTTAGCCATGTCAATCTCAGCTGTTTCAATCTGACCTCTTGTGTAGCCCAAACTTCTAAAAATACTGTACCAATTCTTGCCTAAATTCTTTGAAATGTAATCAATATAATCATGGTCGGGCTGAAAAGATTTATAGTATATAGATGCAAGTTTCAATTACAGATATGTTGGTATATATTTTATCTGGTGAGTGTATAGGAAAACCAATTAAGTACAAGTCTTTAATTCTGAAACTAATTCATTTTAACTTCCTTTTTTTATATGGTTTAGGTATAAGTGTGTGACTCAATGGAAATTAATAACTGAATTAAAAAAAGTTTTAAGACATATTATAAGTATACAGGAGAACTTGTAAGTGTTACCACTGTATTGTTTGTTTATACTCTGTTTAAGTTTTTATTATACAATGTATGTAATACCCATAAAAATTTAGTTTTACACCATAAGATTGATATTAAGGTTAAAACTACATTTATAGTGTATTTATGAAACATGTACCTCAATTTCTGACTTCATCAAATTCTTAATGAGATTTGTTTTCTCTACTTCTTCGTCAGGAGTTTTAGGTGTTTTCTGGGGATTTGATACTGGACCTAAATAGTAGGTAAACTCATTTCCCCATCGAATATTGCTTGCATTTACAATATTTATCACATTTCCTGATGCTGTAATAGATCAAGAGTGTCAGCAATACACTAAAAAGTGTGAACCCCAAAATGACAAAGGAAAAATTATGTGATTTTGTTAGTCATTTTATAAACGCATGGTTTTTTATAACTACCTCTGTAACTCAATGGTTAAGCACATTACCAATGCTAAGCTTGATTCAGGTTTGAATCCAGGGAAACTAAATGTACAAATTTAGTAGGTAGGGCCTAGAAATATGAACAACTACTTATGCAACAAAAATATATGTTTGTAATTAAAATTATACTTGTTAGGCAAAGGCTGAAGTATTTTTTAGTATACTCATGTCACTATGTTTATAAGTATTTAAATTAAGATTTTTTAAAAGTCTTTATTATGTTTCCATTACATTACCTTGTGTATTAACAACACTGCTTGAATTACTATTTCGTCTATCATCCTCGTCATCATTTGGAATTGGATCAGGTTCAGGAGTAGAGAATGATTTATCATACTTGGGTTTTTTCTTTCCGCTTTTCTTCTTAGGCTCATCTTCTGTGTTTGTGAAATTTACATTTTCGTTTTGTAAATCCTCAGAGTTCTCGTTGTATGAATTCGACCGCGGAGGACGAGGCACCGCGTCGGATTTCAGATTTCGAAATATCTCAAAAAACTTAGCACTCAATTTATTGGTCATTCTTTTACTTAGAAGAAATCCTTACGGAACTGAGGTAGGTATGTAAAATAAATTCTCAGAAGTAGAAATCAAACAAAGGATAAAAACAAACAAGAAATTAAATATCTAGACGTCAGAAGCCACAACAGTCAAGTGTCAACTACTTAACTAGACATTATGACAAAAAAGAAAAATAATTATATTAGAAGATTAATCAACTCACGATTAAACCTCCCTTAACACTGAAATGAAAATAGCGAAACATACTGAAAAATATTAGATAGTTAAGGAATATATTCAATAAAAACTCAACCAAGTTTAACTAACTTCTACCAAGGTTAACTAATTCTGCACTTGTTTTTTGAAAATATCCGATTATTCATAAAAATATTACAACCCGATTTAAAAGCCATAAAATATAACAAACCCCGATGCTATCTTAAAAAAAATAAGAAAGCTTTGGGGACAAGGGAAGCCCCGTCTTTGTTTGTGTCCTTGAACGATGCCATTTCCGCTGGTTTGTTTTTTTTTTTTTTATGTGTAGGTATAATATATGTAGATATGTTAATATTGAGCCGCAGATTCCTCTTACGTGGAAATTTTGTTGCAACATATTATATTTGTGAAAAAGTTTTAAATCATAAGCATAATGTCATCTGATAAGAAAAAAGTTTTATTTATTTGTTTTGGTAAGTTCCTAAAAAAGCTATATCTTATTATTTTATTATTCCAATTGTTATAATAAGGCCTTGCGGCACTTCGTTAACTCTGACACTATGTTGTAAACAAAAATGTATAATGACTACAAGTACTTCATAGTGGTGTTTAATTTTTATATACATCTTTTAGCAAACATTTGCAGATCCCCAATAGCTGAGGGAGTTTTCCAAAAAACTGTAAATGATCTTGGTAAAGGTAGTGAATGGGAAATAGACAGCGCTGCAATAAGTGGTTGGCAAGTGGGGAGTCCACCAGATTGGAGAGCATTGGATACAATGAAGAAGCACAATGTACCATATGATAATTATGCAAGACAGGTGTGCACAAATAATACACAGTATATCTTTATTTGCATAAGAATAATTTGATACTGTAGTTTCTTTTACCACAACTTTTAATCACTGGGCCCCCTCAGAGTACCCAACAGAAAATATTAATATTAGCTCCAATCATATACAAAAGTGTTATTATAATTTTTTTTTATTCTTCCTGAAGTTAAGTAATTTTACAGCTAGAACATGAAGATTTTAACAAATATGACTACATATTTGGCATGGATGATCATAACATGAGATCACTTAGTTCTGAAGCACCAAAAGGATGCAAAGCAAAATGTTTACTATTTGGCAGTTTTGATCCTGAAGGCGACAGAATTATACGGGACCCATACTTTGTAGGTAACTCCACTATATTAACTTATAATATGTGGTTGTCAAATTTATCTTGTAATATCTTAAACATGCAAATTTGTGATAACTTGTATCCTTTCACATTCTAAAGCAGTGTGTGTTATTGAAGTTAGCTGCATGGTCACTATTTCACCAAATATAGTTAAGTCATTTGGGCATAGTATATTTACGGGCTTATTTTTATAATTTCAGGATAGTGATGCACTCGGTTATGAAAAATGTTACCAACAATCTGTAAGATGTTCTAAAGGGTTTTTGGAAGCATTGGAGAAGGGAAGTCTGCAATAGCGATAAAAATAATAAATATACAGAGAAATATAACATAACAACTACATTGAGAAATTGATTTAAACTTTATTTTTTTATTATTCTATTGTAACTCATATTACATACTTATGTGTTAAATATAATATGATCATGATAGGTTATCTTGTATAATTGTTTATGTTTAGGTAAAGATTACTAGATAAATTATATCTATCTAAATATTTAAATACATAATTTATTTCTGCTTACTAACCTACCTAGGAATAATCTATATTATGCAATATGAAGATGACTCTTACAATAAAGTAATTCCAATATCCTCTTTTAAGTATATATCCCTGCATATCCAACAGCATGTAGTGCATATTACATCTTTCTATGAAGAACTAAGAGCTCACCTTGAAGTTTTTAGAGAAATGGAGAGTGCTCAACAAGATTGTGAAGTTCCAAATCCAAAGATGGCTTATTTGTTTTGAGGAGATAGCATGCTCTGTGCATTTGCCATATTAGTTGTAACCAAATATTCATACCATATTGAAGTATGCTAGTCATCTTAAGCTGCTAAGCTCTAAATTTCAGCAATGATATATTTTGTAATTCATGAAGGGAAGTAGTTTAAGTAAAGGTTGTAGTGATCATAATATTTCATTGGTTCAACAAATTTCTATAAGCTTTCTACTTACAATACTTTCTCAAATTCGATGACATTAATAATATTGAGCAAGACAGCTTGTGTAATAACACCCATAGTTTGACTGTATGTCTTGAAAAATAAGTTTTCAAACCATGAAAGTAGCGAAACATCTCTCTTGTTTTGAACAGGATTAAGATAATTTTCACTATCATAGTAAATAGCATAATCTCTAATATAATATTCGTCAAAATTATCCACTGATCTTTTGTTTATATATTCTAGATCTATCTCCTTTTTTATATGTGACTTTCTTCGCCTATTCTTTGGTTTTTTATATACAGTGGGATTAAATTTGTTGTCAAGTTCATATGCAGCTACTGTAGGACTCATGTTATAATGTAGATCCACCTGTTTAGCTTTATATGAATCTCTTTGAATATTATTTGATCTTCCATATACAACAGGCTTTAGTGTGTGATTATACAGATTAGCATTATGCATATTTTTTTTAGGGTGTATATGACCTTTGCACTTTATTTCTTACAACATGATCAACTCTGCGGCCATTCTGATATAATGGTTGTGATGGGCGATTATTATAATCTCGATCAATTTTGTTTTGTGTACATGTTCTCTGAGGCACCTTATATGTATTTCCACATGCTATATAATCTAATCTATGGTCATACTGATCTACCACTTGTATAGGGTTCTTATTATGTTTTTGATTCATCTTAGTTGGTGTATGTGATTTTTTAGGCATCTTATCTATCCATCCAAATACAATAGTATCATATCTATAGTCATTTTCATATGCTGGTGGTGTAGGGCTCTCATTATATGATGCTGAAAACAAAGTGACCCTTATAATAAAGCGAACAGTTGTTATCATGATAATATTTACAATACTATATACATATATCAATTGCAAATTATGAAAAATAAATAATGAAAGTAGATGACAAGTAACATTTTACAGGAAGAATGTTAGTCCAATTTGGCATATTAAGTTTTTAATGAGTTGACTACTGGACCTTCCATGCGGTTACGGGGTAACAGCCCGAGGCAGGGATAAATACGTTTTAGAAATAACAGAATTTACTTACATGGGTACTCATCATCACTTTCAAGTTCTTCTTCTATTTCCCTATTGTTCATGATTTTTTATCTATTGTGATGATGCTGAGCTGAGAAACAGCTATAGTATGATAGCCACGTAATAGTGTTATTTATTTGGTTGGTGTTAAAAACATATCTAATAGAACCTACATAACTATTATCGTATAGAAATTAGAAAGAAGCTTAACACTAACCAATATAAAAATTAAAAATCTATGTATGTTTATTACCAAACAGAGACAATTTTACACTTCTGCGTGTATAGTGTGAATAGAGGCGGGCGGTTATAAGATATACTAACGAAATCATTCGATTATGAAAATGTCTCGAGATATCTCGATTATAGCGGTTAGTAGTTACTAATACTAGTAAGTAGAGTTGAACGATTATGAGATATACTAATGAAATTATTCGAATGAAATGTGAGTAGTTACAATAGAGAAGGATAATTAGTAGTTACAATACTTCTAAGTTAGGACAACGCACTATGGCTTCTCGCTCGCTTTCACGTTTAGTATAATGTCGGATGTGACCCTTTTATTATTTTTTTATTACGAGCATATTCTATTGGAAGACGGTATAATAACAATAAAACTAAAGGAATATTTAATATATGTTGATATTTTTCGGCTTTTTATTGTTTTTGAATTTAGGTTTCCCAAATAAGTTATTAATTTCTTCTTAGATGGTCGCGGCAATTTCAGAAATCAGTTAGTCTGAAATAAGACGGTTAATGATGAACAATATTAATTCTTGGATTAAATATAAAGATTCGTAGGTTATTTAAATATTTGTTAAAAAAAATACAAAATTGTCAAGTAATACATGAAGGAAATGAACATTTATTTATTAAAAGGTTATTTAAAACTAATAGTTAAATTTACACTTTTAGACAGATTTAAAAAAAGTGGTTAACTTACTTTTAAATATGACAAATCCACTAGAAGGCGAAAAGTGTCACGTTTCATAATATCTCAGTAAACTACACCAGTAAGTAAAAGTATCCATTATTGTTTAAACAACTAAAGTCCAGGAGTGAACGATTAGTATTACTAATTAGTAACATAATTCGATTATGAAAAAATTATTACTTATCCCATAATCGATTACCAACATTAGTAATACAAAATAAATCGATTATGCCGATCATTCATAATCGCCCACCTCTGAATTCTTGCCACAAACAAAAAAAAACTTATTAGTTACTTTACTTTGTTGTCAATTGTCATTTCTATTCTATTACAAATAGGCACTTGATTGATTTAAATTTGAATAATTTCATACCTAATACATTTGTTAACTGGTCTCTATTAAATGATAAACAATATCATACGTGTAGATTTCGTTCCAACATATTATATTTGTGAAAAAGTTTTAAATCATAGAAATCTTTGATCATAATGTCATCTGATAAGAAAAAAGCTTTATTTATTTGTCTTGGTAAGTTCCTGTAAAAAGCTATATCTTATTATTTTATTATTCCAATTGCTATAATAAGGCCTTGCGGCACTTCGTTAACTCTGATACTATGTCGTAAACAAAAATGTATGATGACTACAAGTACTTCATAGTGGTATCTAATTTTTATATACATCTTTCAGGTAACATTTGCAGATCCCCAATAGCTGAGGGAGTTTTCCAAAAAACTGTAAATGATCTTGGTAAAGGTAGTGAATGGGAAATAGACAGTGCTGCAATAGGTGGTTGGCATGTCGGTAATCCACCAGATTGGAGAGCATTGGATACAATGAAGAAGCACAATGTACCATATGATAATTGTGCAAGACAGGTCTGCACAAATAATACACAGTATATGTTTATGGGCATGAGAATAAATTGATACTGTAGTTTTTTTTTACCACAACTTTTAATTACTAAGGCCCCTATCAGTGTACATATTATAATTTTACTATATTCTTCCTGAAGCTAAGTAACTTTACAGCTAGAACATGAAGATTTTAACAAATATGACTACATATTTGGCATGGATGATGAAAACATGAGATCACTTAGTACTAAAGCAACAAAAGGATGCAAAGCAAAATGTTTACTATTTGGCAGTTTTGATCCTGAAGGCGACAGAATTATACGGGACCCTTACTATGTAGGTTATTCTGCTATATTAACTTATATGGGGGTTGTAATATCTTGAAATATCTTAAACATGGAAATTTATGATAAATTTTATCTTTTCACACTATAACTTAAATAACCAAGTGAAATAATAAAAGCAGTCTGTGTGTTATTGAAGTAAGCTGCATGGTCACTATTTTATCAAATATAGTTAAATCATTTGGGCATAGTATATTTACGGGCTTATTTTTATAATTTCAGGATAGTGATGCACTTGGTTTTGAAAAATGTTATCAACAATCTGTAAGATGTTCTAAAGGATTTTTGGAAGCATTGGAGAAGGGAAGTGTGCAATAGCGATAAAAATAATAAATATATTACAGAGAAATATAACATAACAACTACATTGAGAAATTGATTTAAACTTTTTTTTTATTATTCTATTCCAACACAAATATTACATAGTTATATGTTAAATATATAAGATCATGTTAGGTTATCTTGTATAATTGTTTATGTTTAGGTAAAGATTTCTAGATAAATTTTATCTTTCTAAATATTTAAATACATAATTTTTTTCTGCTTTCTAACCCCCCTAGGAATAAAATTTTTTGCAATTTTAAGATTTCTTTTAAAAAAAGTAACTCAATCTATGCTTTTTATTTGCCCTGCATATCCTACAGCAAGGTGTGGCTTTTTTTTTTTTTTTTTAAAAAATTTTTTTTTAAAAAAAAAATTTTTTTTGGGGTTTTTTTTTTTTCCCCCCCCCCTTTTTTTTTTTTTAAGCGGGGGGGGGGGGTTTTTTTTTTGGGGGGGGGGGGTTTTTTTTTTTTTTTTTTTTTTTTTTGGGTTAATTTTTTTTGGGGGGGGTTGTAATAATTTTTTTTTTTTTTTTTTTTTTTTTTTTTTTTTTTTTTTTTTTTTTTTTTTTCAATTAAATTTACAAACTGAAACCACAAATAATGTAACGAAAAGATGTAAATTGAATCTAAGTGTACATAACCGATAAAATATTATGCGATTACTGAAATACCCTAGTCATATAAGATACAATGTGGACCATTTTGGCTTTGGATAGTCAGAAGTCCACAGGCTTATAAAACACGATTAATAACTAATTGTCTGCAATTTTTTCTATGGACAGTATTTCGTTAACCGAACGGAATCTTGATATCCTACCCCGCATTTAATATCCAGAATTCCAGACGAAGTCCAGCGTGTTTCAGAAAAAATAAAAATTGACTAGAAAATGTAGGACCCAGTTGATTATTAGCCATATTACTACCATTAGGTACACAAACGCGCCCGTCAAAATTATATGAGTAAAATTACTTACACAACAGTACGAGTTATACATATCACCATAATTATTTTTTGATCGATGGTAATATTGAAAATTAAACATCGAATAACTAAGATTTACAAGAATTCGATTATTATTATTTTTTAAGTATTACCATATTTTGATAAAATCTAATCGATATCGCCAATGAGTTTAGGAATATCGAATAATATCCAAAATTCTAATCGAAGCCCAACATATTTTAGACAAATTGTAAATTAATAAGAAAATGATTGGACCGGGAATACCTTTATACCAACAGCCGTCAAAATTAAATTATATATAAAAGTAGTTAACATATTATTGTCTTTCGGGCTTTCGGCCGATGTGAGCGAGAAGAGGTTTACGTTTCGCCATCACTGTGGACGGCATCTTCGGGAGATTCGATTGCTATTGCTCGATTCTTAGAAAATCAGAACCTCTTCTTAATCAAAGCCCGAAAAAATAATTGTATCGATGGCCTAAACTACTCAATTTTATATTTCTTTAAATATTGTTACTTCACTTTTATTTAATTATTCGTATATTATGTAAGATTGTAATTAGGCCTGATAAAAAAACTACTTTGTATAGCACACAAAGTATGAATCACGACAGGTGTCATTAGTATGTACAACAGCCGTCATCGACAATTAAATATTATGAAATAAAAATGAATAAAGATAGCTCACACGGGTTTACACCTTCATTGTACGAATTACTTAGATTGTTGTCTTTAGAAACAATTTATGCCAGATCTAATTCTGGCTCCAGAGCTAGTACTCCACGTAAGGATGCCCATGCACCAGACAAGTATGCCGGAGGCGATGCATCACCAAGAAAGTGTGACTGCAACGTTAGGGATGGGGCGAAGTCAACCGCGGGAGACCGTGGTAAAACCGGCGCAGGTGTGACAGGTTCCAGAACTGGTAGAATATGTCATGGTCACAAGGAGCCAGCTGCTCTACCAGCAGGTGCGACCAATCCTGGTCTTTTACGCCACATACATAACGCGGCGCGATTTTGCCTCCCTCAATGTTTTGAAGGCGCGTTCGTATCACTAAAACAGAATTCTACGGATAACTGGGTGCTGGGACACTCCTTATCATTTAGTTCCGTATCACCTGGTGGTTATAAAGTGCTGTTGTCCTATGTGGACAAGGATAAGTCTATCAAACTACCATATTTCATAATGGAGGCTGCGCCGGGGGGACAGATGAGCACCGAAATTCGAGTGGGACCTTCCCAAGGAACGAGAGCGACACTGGTTGCACAGATAGCTGATAAAGAGTTCTATAGCTTCGAAAGCATATTTGATGCTTATTTTAACAGTTTTACAGCGTCAATTATAGCTGTTAACCGAGACTTTATCGCTCTCCATTGTCTAAAGGTATGAAGAACGTTTACTTAACTATCACGATTTTTTTTAATATAAAGGAAGGCGAACAAGCTTAGAGTTCACTTGATGGGAGGTAAACCCAACCAGTAACTCTAATTCGGAAATCTACAGACTGATACCGAAACGCGATTAAACTTCACGGCTTTTTTGTCTGTCGAGTGTCGTTCGTGACGCGGGCAGAATTCCGATATTCCTACCACCATTCCATATCCAGACTTCCAGACGAAGTCCAGCATGATTCGGAAAAATTTGATATTGGAAAATTAGAAACATGTTGATTATTAGCCATCGTTACCATTAGACCAACGGGCCCGTAAAAAGTTGTGCGATTGTCTTTGCTCTAAGACTAGGGATGGGTCGCTTCCTTCGCTTATATTTTAAACCGTACGTAATTGTTACCGTAAACGTAATACTATAAAACAGTATTATGTACTATTTATTAATTATGTTAATGATTTTTGGGTGCATTATATGGGACGTGAAAGAACTACAGATGGAAAAAATAATAAGATTCTGCAAGCAAACCGGAAGGTTTGAAGGGGACATGGGGAGAGTTGGATGGCCCAAAACCTCTGCAAGGAGGAAATGGGGAAATGGGTGAAATGGTCAACTGATAACGTGGACTGATCACCCGTCCTACCACAGGTGTCCCCGAAAGAAAATAATAATAATGTGACATGAACAATTCAATAGATTTAAAATTTTACAGGCCATTACTGAACAGTTGTCGTTAGGCGCCGAGATAGTAGCGAGGGGCCATACAGCGGATGTAAGTTCAGCATCAGGTGCCGGCCGTTGGGCAAACGAAGACCATTCCATCAGCGCCACACTTGGGAACCGGGGCTTAGACTTATGCTATGCAAGAGCTATTAAACCTTTTTTAACGGTTGCTGCTTTATTAGAGGTCGGTTGATATAGGTGATGTATTCTCTGTAGTTTACGCGACTAGTACACGTTTAATAAAACACTTTTAACCGTTTATAACGCAAATCATTTAAAATTATTTTAACCCGAAACGTCGTCGTAAACCCGAAGTTATCGCTAGCGATCGGCCATACCGGCGCTGATCGCGTTTAAACCCGCGTTAAAATTGTTTACATATTTAAATAAATGATGCTACTCGTCTACATAATTTTTGTTCTTGATTGATGTTGTTTCCTGTCTTAAAGTAATAAAAAACCAGGTTCAACTCTTTCCTATAGAAATTAAAAAGTTTTTTGGAGAAAAAGTTGAAAAATCCTTTTTTTTGAAATCTTTTGGTTTGATTTCTTAATATATTAGTAACTTATTTTGTCTTACCAAATTTCGCTCCCTCACATTTGTACTTAGTATATATATATTTTTTTTTTTTTTTTTTTTTTCTACTCTTTTTACGTGAGCCGTGATTTTATTTCATATGCATTCGCCAAACTATAGTATATAATACATCCTAGATAAATTTTGCTAATTCAATATCTATCTACAGGTCGGTTTCTCAGTGAAAAAGGCAGTCGCGACTTTAGCATACGAGTGGCGTACTGAGGAATGGACGGTTCGCGGTTCAGCGGACTCCGACGGCCTAGTTGCAGCAACACTGCAGCGAGCTTTGGGCGGGAAGAATTCACAAATCTTTTGCGCTTTATCAGCACTCCTCAACCATCCAAACGACAAGTTCCGTCTGGGCTTCGGCGTCACTGCTACAATCACATAATTTCTACCTAGCTATCTTAAATTGTAGAATATTTACATTAATTTTTATATATGTTGAGATAATCTAGTTATTGATTTACATGTATTCTTATTGATTTATTACTTATTATTAGGTATTTATTTTTCTATTGAAATAAATGCATTATGTGATTGTATCATTTTTTTTTATAACACTGTGAATGCGATCATTAAACTATATTTGTTAGCGCATTGCTTTACTCAAAGGACATAAAAACTAGTAAAATAAAATTTGATTCTAATAAAAATGGCGACAAGAAGATCTTCCCGGGTGTCGTTCTCTCACTCAATTAGAAAAATGATAATGATACTGAAGAGTATCGTAGGTTCTTAAGAGATTTAACTATTTAAGAAGTACGCTTAGATATAGAAAATGTATGCATTTTTTTTATAAGACAGTGTTAATTACTTTGGATGATAATAGCCTTTTCTTATTTATGTCAGTATTTAAAAGAAAACTTACCAATGAGAGTAGAAAGGAGTTGCAGCTAATTGAGTCCAGATGGAGCAACATCACTAGCTTTAATAAGCTTTCAACGCTGCAAACATGCGGACCATTTTAAATATTCATCACAATAGTAATGATAATGTAGGCGTGTATCATCTGCCGGCGGTAACAACTGTGCCGCTTCCGCGATGGCTGCGCCGGCGGGCGCCTGCGCGGCCGAAGGGCGGAGCCCGCCGCCCGCCCTCATTACGAAAACAAACAACTTGCTATACTAAGTACCGCATAATAGGGTCGATATTTTAGTAGAGGGACGGGAATATGGTAATGTAGGCGTTCAACCCGCCTCTGCTGCAGTGTGCCCCTTAGACCGTGTCGAGACATGGCCGTGCGTGGCTCCGTGTGCCTGGGGCACTAGGCATTACAGTAATGGTGATGGAGCGGCTGGCGGACTTCGTCAGCAAGTCCTTGGAAGGTGGCGAAGCGCCGGCTCCCCCGCAGGAGGTGGACTATGACGACGGTGACGAGGAGGTGGATATCACAGCGCTGGAGGATAAGGAGCCGCCGGCTAAGAGACCACGCAATTGGTTGGTGTCTCCGCTGCCAGCGCAACATTATAAACGAGAGGATGACGATGATGATAGCAAGCACGGTAAGTTGTCTCCTGTATTCCAGATAACCTTTCGTTTATTGGAATGCATGATGCCTATGGAATTGTTACCTATTTATCTTAATATTGAATGGGTATATCATAAAAATATAAACAAGTCGCTATTTGATATTTGTCATAAGTTATTTCACATGATGGCAATGCATTAAAAAATGTGAATGTCGGTTCAAATCCTTATGTGTCGTAATATTTTAAATATTTACTTGCTTCTATCAGTAATTACACTATGCAAATTATAAATGTTTGAGTCCAAGTAGTTCGGAATAGTCAAATAATTCCCTAAAAATGTACACAAAAGTAAATAATACTTTGGGTATTATTTACTTTTGTGAAATCTGAAAAACACCACAAAATTTACAGTACCTGCAAATACCTACTTATAAAAAAAAGTATTCCATAGTTTAACTGAATATTAATAAAATAATTACTGGACTATCAAATAAGGTTAATGTATTATTTGAGTAGACAGCAGTAGTATCTAGTAATATATACTCAGCAAGTATTAATAGGAAACTTCGGTGATACTCATTACTGAAGCTTTCACGAGATAAATTAATTATATTTAAACTTTGAATTTAAATAATTCAGACAGTGATTTGCAAGTAGCTCTTTATTTCAATATCTTTTATTGAAAGCTTATTTGTTTATAAAATAATTATTGTTTAAATGGTAATTTCATTGTCTTGCACAGTATTTAAACTGTTTCACTGTAAATAATAAATGTTTTAACATCTTCATTATAATTTAAACTGTCTCGCAAGCCATTGAAACACGATGTTTCCTAGTGATAGTATGATAATTATATTATGTAGTTCAGCCCAGTAGTTTGATTATTTCTTGAGATAGACTATTGCTAGATTCATGGAATTACAATCTTCTTGAAAAGCGTGGATATATGGTAACTGTCTCGTCGTAAATTCCTTAAGAAATCAAATCAATATATACATTTACTATACACAGCGTAAATGCCATCAAACCAATAACTATTTTCTTTATTACACTCTTAAAATGGTTAATATTATTATTTTCATCTATCATCTTTCTAATAGTAGTGTATAGATCTAAACAGTGTTTATTTTGAGTCATTTTAATTATGCAGTATTAACATAATTGATTACCAAAATGAATGTCTGTCTCGTTCTAGATATAGGAATACAGATTAAGAATAATCTAAGGTTTAAGCAATTATTAATTCAAATTCTGAAAAATGTTGAATAGGGTCTAAGTAATCTATAATTTATAGGTTACATCTATAATTTATATAAGTGGTACAAATTAAAATATAAACACTTCGAAACGCGACTTTGATATTTTAGATATAACGGAATTATCGTGCGGCGTGGGAAACGGTTGGGGGAAGCAGCGACGCTTGCGCACGAACTTTATTATATTAGATGATGTTAATGAACGAATAACTACGAATCGACATCTCTATAGCTTTTCAGCTGCGTAGGATACAAACGTAAGTTTTAGTTGTTCTAAAGCGGCCCATTGACGATCAATATTATTGTCCAATTTGGATTGCACAATACTTTACGCCCACAGACACTTCAATATCGTCTACACACGATCAATTTTATTGTACATCCCGGGATATTGCACAATAATATTGATCGTCTATGAGCCGCTTAAGAGCAGCAGCAAGAACGCTATCGATGCCGGTTCAAGTCCCGACCGCGTCGTCGTTTGCTTTTAATATAAATAGTTTTATTAATTTATTTTCAAGAATAGTTCGTGGTTCCGTTTTAAATAGTTTTCTTTAAGAATAGAAATTCAGTCGCGACTGCACCCAATATCGCCGATAAATAAATCACAGTTTAATGCGAGTATTTGCGACAATTAATCACTGTTCTCGCGTCTTAGACGTTTAAGAAGTTCGAATGCCCCGGGGACGAAAGGGGAGAACGGGTGTGGCCCGCAGCGCCGCCCACGCTCCGCTAATCCCTCCATTTACATAATTGCCGTATAAAAAGGAGAGCTTCCCAATTTGCTAAATTGCTTCAAACGACACCGTTAAACGTATCTCCGTTCTCGATACTCGTCCCCCCTCGGCGCGGGCGATTAGCACTTTGATTTTCTTCGCAGCTTCCATTCAATTAATGTGCCGATCAATTCAAATGTTATATTAGTAGCTTTACGTGAAAAAACTTACTACTTTTCACATTCAATTGGCACATGATGGCACACGACACGGACGGGATTCGAACTGGCATCCACGGCGTTTCATGAAGATCCTGGTAGAAGTCCCGCCTGTTTTGTAATTTTTATTTAATCTAAAATCGATTTTTAATTTAGCTTTACGTTTGTAGGCTCAACAAGTATACATTTTATACAAGTGAATTTGATTATATGCGATAGGATTTTAAAAATATTACTTATAATTATACACCTATCAATTCTCTAAATTTGTTTAAATCTTTCTTTTTTAGTTTCACTATGTTGACTTAAATTATTGAATAACAAAAATGGACGATCAAATTATAAAAATACTCAGTACTGAAGTTCTACGTTGACTGATGTGTGTATAAAAAGTAAAGCCCGTTTCTCCTCGTGGGGAAAGGGGGGGAAACCCAAATCTGTGTCCGTATCACTTATCGGTTCTTTTACAGTTGTTGGTCAGACTTCGGTACCCTGTCCGATGAAACAATCTATTGTTTGCTTGGGATTCAAACTCAGGACCTTTCGCGCTTTAACCATTTAGCTACACAGGCTTGTATATATATTATGGTATTTTTCAATCATGGCTTTCGAATTGTAAATTTACAGTCCTGATTTTCGCAAGTAGAAAACTAATGCTTTTATTAATCATTTAGATATAACGGAAAAATCATCGTGCGGCGTGGGAAACGGTGGGGGAAAGCAACGACGTTCGCGCACGAACTTCACTCTGGAACAGCTCGGGGAGCTAGAACGACTGTTTGATGAGACGCACTATCCTGACGCCTTCATGAGGGAGGAGCTCAGCCAAAGGTTGGGTCTTAGTGAGGCTCGAGTACAGGTCTGTTTATACTATTTATAATTTGTTTTAAAAGAGTCTTTTTCTAAGAGAATTTTTCTGTAACATGGGTGGGTGGAATAAATGGGTGGTAGGAACATCGAAATTCAGGGCCACGGCCGTCCAGGGCCGTTTATAGATGACAAGGCGGAATTTTAATCCCGTTACAGTCAGCAGATTTCCGAATATCCAAGTCAAAATAAATCGACAGCGCATCTTGCTTAGATATGATATGGCAGGGGAATTTCACCTGTTGGTCTGTCCTACTCTATCATAAAAAGAAGAGAGAGAAAAGAGAAAAATGCATTTCTAACAACGCCAACTCGTAAATGGCTCATGTTTATGTGGTTCTACAATTGTAAGCTGTATTGCCAATTGTAATGCCATGATATTTTAATATGAATCATCGCTTTCGTAGCACCACCGTAGCAAACTCGTAGCGCATCTACGATTGAAATAAGGACTCTACAAAATGACAAATCACTATTTGACCTATAATGATAAAACTACCACTTTTCTTTAATGTGACACACATTATTGTAAACTGTGGGACGTGACACATTGTTCACCGTAACTTCAAGCTCATACTTCTGTGCTCTGACTGACCGAAAACATTCGTAGTACTTTTCGCACTTAAAGCAACGGTAAGCAAAAGCGACCTATTACACTTTGCTCAATATTGAAACATAACCATCTACATAACACTCACAATTTATAACGTAAACGGCGCATAACCCCTGTATTTCGATGTACCCTCATTGCTAATTCACGTAATTAGCTGCTACCGTCCAACAAGTATCGCTTTATCGGCAATATATCGCGATTACTGCCCGATCGGCGTTAAGTGATGTTAGTAGGGGACATTACAGATAAAAGCCTTGACCCTTACCACTACGTCTTCACTAGTGTCAAGTGCTTCTCTATTAGTGAGTAATTGATTCGAGTTACGTGAATTGGTTTCTTTATTCTTGGATCTTACACAACTTGAAGCAATTTTAGATAATATTAAATGAAGAATTCTATTTAAAATATGGTTCTATAAACTAGTGACATGTTAGGTTGTAAACAGCATTTCGACTTCAAATATCACTGAAACCAAAAACTTACATATTGTAAGGCGCGGTTTTAAAAAAAGATACGAACGTCTATGTACTAAATTTATACGATTCTAAGTACCAGTAAGTATTCACGCTTGTAGTCCGCGTTTTTTAATATTTGAATGGTTAAAACGAGAAATATGTTATCCCATTTTTTACTAAGATCCCACGTTTTGTTTTAACCAGCTGTGATCACGGCTAAAATAATAAATAACTAAAATATTTCACGTTTAATCGTAAAAACTGTGTTTAACTTTCTACTTACTATTTTTATGAAAAGTACGAAAACCAGGACTTCACTATAGTTAAACTATTTTTACAAATAATATTGAATACTGAAAGTGTTGAGACCCCATGTGACCACGATTGCTGCACCCAAAACATCGCTGTCGGGCCGTAATTAAAATACAACAACATAAGTTAATTATATTTCACGTTTTGTACCGTTAAAAGTGTACTGAAACTTTATGATCTGTGATTTTAAACATAGTGTTTCTTGAAGAGTTTTATTTTTGTGTGCAACATGTATAATCGCGGATCAAATTCCTAACCATATTCAAAATACTTGAAAATTTTTATTTCTCACAAATCATTTATTACACATGACGAAATGATGTAGATTACATATCTTTTTAGATTTCAAAAAATGTACAACACGGTGGCTCAACTGGTTAGAGTACAGAACGACGTATAGAGTATTTTTCTAACTTGTCATTTTTCGTAAACAAACAAACAATCTACATGAAATTCACACAAGGTAAACCTTGTATAAATAGAACACTGAGCCAGTGGATTATATGTTAGACTTATGAAGTAACTCAAATTCACTTAGTAGAAATCCCAATTTCGTGGTAAAGTTAATAAAAATCCTAAAGGTTAATTTATGTAAATGCACAGATAAGAAATTTCTTTACTTTGACATTTACATAAAGATGGTATGTAAGCAAAGTCAACGACAATAAAATCTAGAAGCCTCACTCTTGCAGGAACTTGAAGGTTTGAAATTACTCATGTTTGTGGTGGTCTATCGCCAAGTTAGAAAGAATAGACTATAGATGCCCTTTCAACTCCGATCGTGTCGTAAAATTTCTTCAAACTATATAGTATTTTTTTTTACTAGTGTACTTAACACAAAACATTCAGCGTTCAAAAACATACCTGTAACTCCCTATACAAAGTTGGTTAGCGTTTAAGCACAAGTTATAGAGCTTACAATCAATTGAATTTCCGGTCGTAGAGTGCGGTAAAGCTATGCTTATGAATGTATGTCCCCAGCGGGGGCAAGTTGCAATCAGCGCGGCGCGTGCCCTCCTCCCTAATGCGGTTAGCATGTTTGTCTGTTTGTCTCGCTGCAGCTCTATCTCTGTTTACTAATTAATGACAACTGTATGACAGATGTACATGTTGCTCATATTATTATAATTAATTAATTAACTATTAAATATATAATGTTAGACTAGCTTACAATGACTGACGTATTAATATTATTATTTCCTACTAGCTGTGGCCCGACTTCGTTCGCGTAGAATAGTTATTTTGGGCACGAATATTTGTTTTTTCAAACTTATAAAGACGACGTCTTTATAAGTTCTAGACCCACGTGGTTCTTGCAAGATGATCCTAAAAGGAAGATATATTTTCGCGGACATTTTTTTAGACCGTTTAAAGAGGAATCATTGTTTAGTAATTTTTTTTTGAATTATTAACCGTTTTCACCATTTTTCCCTTTTTTCCACTGTTTCTTCGCTCCTATTGGTCACAGTCTGATGTTTTATACTTTAAAATTTATCTCGATAAGTGCTCTTGCTAACCCATTTTTTTAATTCGAAGCAGTAGTTTGAGTAGCGCGTTCAAACAAACAAACAAACTTTTCAGTTACATAATATTAGTAAAGTACATGTCGCTCATATTATGATAAATTCACTAACTATTAATTTCGCGTTAGACTAGTTTACAAATTACTTATTAATATAATTATTGTCTATTGGGGACATTAAAATAAGGCCGGATGATTAGTCCACATTTGTGGCTAGCCATTTCATTTTCTCTCTACGTAGGACGTTGGGTTATCTACATGAGCTTTCGCTGTATCCTCTCAAACCTTCTGGTATCTTTGCAGAATCTTAAAATTTCTCCCATTGTTAATTCCTTAATATTATCCTCTGCTATATTGTCAGTTTTAGAGTGTGTCAAAAACAATAACGTGTTAGTGACTTCCTAAAGGGTGTTTTAATCAATCAATTACGGTATGTTACGAACGATAAAAAATGTTAAGTCAAAACTTAATAGTTATAATATAATATAATAAAGTAAGTAATATAAAAATAATACAGTAAAGTAAATATAATATATACGTCTTATTAGTTAGTTAACTAATAAGACGACATTCGACTTAGAACAAATATTGTTGGGATATACAAGAACCTTAGATTACGGTGGCTAATTCAACATTTACAAATTCGTTACTTACTCCAAGTTCGGCTTGTTATGCAGAATAATCTTAGTTGTATACTGTCCGTGGTTTACGCGAAGTGGTACACATTTAAATAAAACGCTTTAACTGTTTAAAACGCGATATACATCACGGGGTCATGGTGAGTCTCCCCGTGACCTCTACTGCTGCAAAGGATCAGAAACGTCGGGCCGAGGTTAAAAATAATTTTCAAATATGTTTCACTAATATATATCGCGTTTTAAACCGTTGAAGAGTTTTATTAAAATCTTAGTTGTATATATTCATAATCTGTGTATACAAAAACATGATAACAAACAAATGAAGGGATACTTTCTGAGTTTTATTTGATCCGTAAGTTCTATATTTATGAATTTATTCTCTCTTTTTAGTCTTATCTACTTCATTGCATCTTTGTTGCAGGTGTGGTTTCAAAATCGCCGAGCAAAATGCCGAAAACATGAAAGTCAAATGCATAAAGGTTAGTGTATACTTCATCGTCTTGACGTTAAATATTCACTACGAATAATAAAGTTCAACACGAAACGAAACACTGCTAACACTCTTATAATAACACTAAGAACTAAATACTGTCTGTAGTACGCGAGTAGGACACATTTAAATAAAACACTTTAACGGCTTAAAACACGATACATATATGTTAGTTCAACTTATTTGACAATTGTGTTAACGACGTTTCGAATGCTTTGCACTAGCCGTGGTTCAATAGGGATTCCAAAAAAACGACATACTTACCAGCAAACGCGAACACACCGTTAGTCAATTTCGCAAAGTCAGTCAGATTCGCCGAATACCAACTTCGACGGAACAGATGGCGCTAGTGTAGCAATGTTTTACTTCGACGTCAGAGCACCATCCATCTTTAGTCTCCCCGTGACCATGACTGCTGCAAAACATCGGGTGTAGTTAAGACAATTTTCAAATAAGTTTAACTAAGAACTAGTCTTTAAGCCAAATCTTTAGAACGAATTATACTGAATATTTTTTTTATTTCAAAATTGAGAACACTTAATCTCAATAATATGAATAAACCATGAGCGTTTTAAACAATTTATAAAATTAATGACGAAACCGCGTTGTGCAAATGAATGTAACTCCCTTACCGTTTTCAAATAATAACTTGTAGCAATTCACATGGAAACGTAAAGCTGTATCATTTAATATTAAATGCTGGAAGGGGATGCTATAACTCATGGGAGATTCGTTGCATTTATGGAGTAAAAGATATACATATGATTAAATTAAATATGAACTAGATATTATGAATTTATAGATAAGCTGTGTAATATAACCGTGTTATAACAAAGTTCAAAGACTGTTATAAATTAAATATTAAAAAAAACCGAACTGGCATCCTCAACGTTCCGTGCTGTTGCTCTAACCAATGGAGCTACGAGGCCCACAGTCATCGTCCATTATTTTTACAATTTATAATCGATTTTTAATTTACATAGTGCCATCATGTGCAATAACATGTGCAATATCAAAGTTTTCAAACGTTAAAAGATTAGTATTATTTTTTATTCAGTTGTAAAATTACGTTTTTCCTTATGTTTTCGTTACGGATTTAGAGACATAGTTAGGTCTTGTGCATGTGGCAAAAATAAGAGATAACTTATCTTTATTTTTTTTACTAGTAGCATTTTGTCCGTCTGCTATGCTCCATCCGACCGAAAAATATAATTTCATTCACCTCGAATTTCGAACCTACGACCACTCATACTTAACGCAATGCTAGGATGCTATGCATCGCGTCTAACCAACAAGTCACTGGCAACGAGGCCATGGAATATAAATTAATAAATAATATTATATTGCTAGATTTTTTTTCAGTTTTTTAATAAACTATACTTAAAAAGTAGATATTAACTTAGCAGCTCCTAACTGTTTTTAATAAATACATTTAAAAATATATCATTATTTTATTAGCTTGTTAAATGATAAAATCTTTAAACATTAAAATAAAACATTTAGACGTTTCTATTTACATAAATATACACATAGAATATACACTACCAATTCTTCAACTATCGTGGTTCTTTGTCAGAACAATAGAAGATGGGAGTAAACATCACTTAATATAGTCTCTAGTACTACTATTTCTATAAATTGCAATATTCTATTCAGTCTAAATAAAATACAATTTTGGAGCAGTCGCTCCCGTAGTTCTTAAACCGGTAGATTTACGCGAGGCAATAGAAATGACCGTATAACGTATTCTCCATCAGTCTATGTAACTCGATTACAACTCCCGCCGGCGCCGGTACGTCTCTAACAGTTTTTTAATTCGACCATAACTCACAAGGATGAATAATTAAAATGGCGGGCCGGCGGGAAAAACGCGCGAAACAGCAAAAAACCTTTACGTATCGCATTCGGAAAATTGTTGGGCCTACGTCGATTGATATAAACATTTTATAAATCGGAGAGTGCGATTTATTTGTTTGAATACATTTTGCATTGAAACAAGTAGTTAAGAATAATAATTATATACTGACTGTAGTTCACGCGAGTATTAAACGTTGAAATAAAACATTTTTACTGGTTTAAAACACGAAATGTATCGAAACTGTCAATTTTAAATTTTTTAAATTTTTAAAATTTTTTTTTTATTTTAATACATTACTTTACATATTAAAAAAATCATTATTAACATTAAAAAAAACATTTTCGTCTCGTTATAGTATTACTATCTATTTGAATACTATCTTCCTAGAGCTCCGTAAACGCTATAAGAAGGTCTATAGGCAATGAGAGAATCTCTTGATAAGGAGAACATACCGTATATTTTACTAAGCTCTTAGTATTCATATTATGATACGTATTTCAAGCGTAGACGTTAGCTACGTTGTAGGCGTCTATTACATAATTAGTTCAATTGGGAGGTTTTATTTATTTCTGAGACGATTTATATTACATCATATTTGGTTATTAACCAAATAATAATAATATATTAAATCCGTCTCCTTCTATGGCTTAACCTATTTTCCCGAGTAAAAAGTCACTATGTTTTTCTAGGACGACAAATCAATCTCTCGAGTCGTTATTACGTGAAACAAAATTGTGTCAATTTAGTTAAGTTGCAATGTGAAATATATTCCTTTTTCTAAAATTAACGAGGAATAGGCTTTCCGCCAAAAACAAACGATTGTCGACGTCACGTCAAATTTCTTATTCCTATATTATACCTTTGGCACTTCGGCTTTCGCAACTAAGATGTGGCATAGATTATAGAGTAAAGTAAAAAGGTTGTTGTGCCGATGTCACCGCGTATTATGTCTCGCCGCAGTAATAATAGAAATCGAGTTGACACATGGCCCGAAGCGCCGTGATTGCAAAAGCACTGTAGAACCGCTAAACGGGGCATAAAGGCGGAAAAAAGCGCTCGCCGGAATCGAATAAAATGATTCCCCGCGGGAGCCATTCGGACGCAATCCCGCCGTCCCTCGCTAAATGTCTTATTAACTTATGTGCACCCGGGCGACCCCACCCGCACTAACACGAGAACAATCATGTAAAGTGAAATGAAACGGTTATTTGTTACATTTTGCCCCTTTAAGGAATCTGCGCGATAAATTGATTGTGATGTTTCTCGCTTGTAATGTTTGCGGCTTGAGTCGTTAGTCTCGAATTCAATAATACGACTGAAGTGATTTCGGAAAATAATCAGTGTTGCTTGTCTCGAAATAACAAAGTAAATACTACTAAAAAGTAAAACATAAATATGTACTAAACAAACAATAATGTAGTCAGTGCCTCAAAATAATTTAGGATTTTATATATAAATCTTTGAGTAAACAGCATATTTAGCATCAGAACTGACAACAACTAAGTGTTTTCTTACGCATTCGAATAAATAAAATAAAAATGTAAAAAAAGTATGTGATCGTAAATACAGATAATAAATCTTCATAAATAACAGAGCGCAAAGTCCATGAGTCAAAATCTCCCGCGTACGAACAATAACACTGGCCGTGAATTAAAAAAATAAAAGAAAGCGGAGCCTAATTGCTCTCGCGTTCATGTAATTTTAAAGTTATTCGCGCATAGCGAGGGTGGCGATGTTTTATTGCGTAGAAACCGCTGTAAAGATGTTCGGAGCGCTTTAAAATAGCGGCCCCCCGGCTTACCTTATAATTCGATTAAATTAAACAACTCAGAGTTAATCAAATAAATGCACGGCCGCATCGGAGGGCGAAGCGTGGGGCGCCGGACACCCGTATTTATGTCGGCAGTTCTGGAAAGTAATTCGGTGTCAAATATGGAAATAACTCATACGCGCGGGAGGCATCCATTTTGATAATGCCGACGGCGACCGGAGCGCGCTGATTTACAGACGTTGCGAATCCCGCCCAATGCACACGTTCATACTTATAAGCGCCGAAAACAATCTGCCTCTATAAATAATACGACGCTTTTACAAGTAAATAAGACGGTAAAAACCCAGTTTTGTTTATAAGAGCAACCTATTATCCAAAGCTGTAAATATTTAAAAAACACAATACGGGATATTTATTTACTAATCTTTTTTTAACAGCTTGAAACAGATATTATAACGCTTTTATTGAATATGGTTGACAAATAAATTAATATATTATATTTAAATAAAACACTTTAACAGTTTAAAACGCTATATATTAGTTAAACGGCTGCTGCAAAGCATCCGAAACGTCGGGCCGAAGTTAAAAATCATTTCCAAATAAGTTTAACTAATATATCGCGTTGTAAACCGTTAAACTGTTTTATTTAAATGTGTACTATTCGCGTAAACTATAGACAGTATTTAATATATTATATTTTATTCTGTAGGTAAGGAGCTAAAAAGTATTCATTTAGCTTCGCCAATATTCCAATATGCTGTATAGTAATAATAATACCTAATTGTTATATTCGTTAAATGATAATTGACGTACTTGATGATGAACTTGATACATAGAACTATGTATCAAGTTCATCATCAAGTACGTCAATTAAGGACTTTATAAAGCAAATGAAAAGCCTAAGTCTGCGACCCCAATAAAGCATGATTTAGTAGACACAACGTCGCGTCAATGATCGCTTCGTCATTCTAGTCGCATATCGTCGTGGCCCGAGAAAAATATCTACGAAAGTCGTTATAAGCAATCGAAATATCTTCTGTGAACACTTAATGATTATTCGCAACTCTAACTCTAGGATAAGTGAGTAATTAAATTAATGAATCCTTCAGACACGAACCGAACACCTTAAGTCGAGTAGATCCGTGTTAATTTATTAATTGCGTCTTCACCCGCCGGGAGGGCTATAAACAACGAATCTCACTTAATTTACGAGCAAATTATGCTTTACTTAAATATCAATTTAATTAAGTGGAGTTCGAGAGAGATCTCGGATTGCGCTCGCCGCGTCTCTCGCCATTAATCTCTGTCATATGAGTAGATGGAGGGATCATTGATGATAGATAGATTATTTGTTTTTACGTAACAATGTTTCATTGTAATAACTTTTAACAATTGTGTACTTAAGAGCCTAACATATAACAGCAATACTACGATTTAAGTCTATCAATAACTTTCAAACATATTGTTTTGTGTTATGTTTGTTTATCAATTATTATGTACGTAAAAAATGTAAATTACAACCTTTTCTTATAATCCACCAAAGAAGGGAAAGAGTTGGTAAGAAATTAACCATCAGTCACCACTCTCAGTATAGCATATCAAACCGACACTCAGATGTTGGATTTGACAGATAGGTTTACTATAGATAACTTATTTGGTTATTAGGTCTTCTGGTAAGTGGTGGTGGTACTCCGTTGGAACCGTGTCGCGTGGCACCTTATGTTTCGGTTCCTCGCCTTGGATCCGCGCCTGGCCAGCGCCCGCCGCCGCCCCCGCTGCCACTCGCACCACACCCTACACCGACGGCTTTCGCGCCTTTTGACTCGGCAATTTTGTCTGCAGCCGCACACCAGGTATATTTTTTTTAAATTTCTTTGTATTCAATAGGCCATAATATAGAAACTAGATTATGTATTTTAAATAAAATTATTTAAATTAATAATATTTAAGTATAACTTGAATGATTTATCTACCCACACATGCCTCAAATATTAGTTATTAATATAATTGGGTATTTAAGTTGTTCATAACATATTCTCATTATAGACAGTTTTTATACCTCTTATTTTGTTTCGCAATAAGTACAGATTAAATTTTAAATATATTGGTGTAAAAAAAAACACTCACTACAAACACATGTTTTTTTAGTACGCAAGTGCAGCTGCAGCAGCAGCGGCAGCGGCATTGTGTCCGCCATATGCGGGATTAGCGGCACTAGCAGCACGCTGTAGATCTTCCTCGATCGCTGACCTGCGGCTAAAAGCCAGGCGTCACGCAGCAGCACTCGCTGCAGCGCGAGGTTCCACACCACCGCCATCCACACCCGCTCCCGCGCATATGCCCGCTGACACATAGCCCCCACCTTGAAATTAAAGGATTTTCAGTAAGGAAAGTAGATACTCGAATTCGTTTATTTTACAATCACATTGCTGTCTGTATGAAGGTATTAGAAGTTTTTTTTTCGTTTATCGTACACATTATACGCGTCAAGTGTGGCAAATAGGGCTGAAACATATATGACAAAAACCAATGTTAACAGATCAATCTCTTTACAGGAAGGTATATGCTCAGATTCCTATGCCCTAATGCTATTTTGTGTCTCCGGGATGAATTTCCAAGGAACAAATAATTTCGTATTTTATAATGACATATTTTGTTTCGTGTAATTATTGGGGACAAGAATCGAATTACGGCATTGCCGATAGGCATTAAAATTCTATTTACAACATTGAACTATTACTACTAACTTATAAGGAGATAACTTAAAAATTTATGCGACAGACCTGGCTAAAGAACACTTGCCAATGCAGAAATTCGCTTGAATTGCGTAGGACTCTGACAAATCTATAGTAATGAATTTCTTGTTCAAGCCACGAAGTCGCGGGAATAGCCGCGTCGCCGTTCGCATCGCCATACTTTGTGGTCAAGCGGTTATTGTAATTTTTGTAACATCTGACATACGTACTCAAAGAATATAATATTCACTGTATTTAATAATATTTCTTTCATGTAGAAGGTTAGTAATAAGTTATATTATTGTAAATAAAAACATCTAAAGGTCTCGCTATTTGTAGATATTAAATCAGGACGATTGACCAATTGAAATTCTTAAAAATATTTGTAAATTATTAAATCTGTGATAAGTGTCTGAATAAATAAGTCATTCTTTAAAGTAATCACTAAGAATCTTAAATATTAAATACGTCTTAACCTATTAATTCTATTAATAAAAATATCTAGTCATTAGTGTCTTGTACATATTATTCGAACATGTCATTGCGATGTAATTTTTTAATAAATTGTTTATTCATAGGTACGTTCAAATAAATGTTAACGTAACCAAATTATATTTTATTTTTTCCTAATGTATTTCAGAGCAATTTAGCATTTTGCAATATTAGGTGGTTCTGTGTTTTAATAATGTAAAAATAGGGGGAAACATTTTAGGGGAGACTTTTCATATTTTTACAAGAAATAATTGTGATAAAACAGACTATGTGTAAAGTGGGCTGCAGTTTTGAACAACTTAGTAATACAGTTGAGGTCTTGTCAAAAGTAATATAAAATTGTGTTCGAAAGGCGAAAACTTCACACACACACATATATTTACTCGCTTATTGAGGAAAAGCTTTCAGTAATAATAAACACAAAGTTTAAACACAGCATGCAAAACAAAATGCGCGCTGAATATTTAACAGGAGTTTATCGATAAAAATTCGTAGCAACGCAATCGAAGGTAATTTGCTTGAAAAAGCGATGAATTCACAACGAGGACTTATCGAATGCAAACAGGACAGTTTGTGAGGGTTGTTTGCATTTAAGTTATTCAAGTTTGGGCTTGCCAGAAGACTTTATTCGGTCACTTGTAATTTACAGATGGATCTCTATGTTTTAGTATTTTATCATAGGTCACTTAATGATAAGTCAAATACGCGCTATCCTATGTTGGCTTTTGGATATTCGGAAATCCACAGACAAAAACTGAGAGCCAACTTAACTTGACTTTCTTATTTGTGATAATCTGTATTGTCCGAAGAATGAATGACATAATCTCATAACCGCGGAAAATATTCCCCTTGCTGATGAATTTTTTTAATACCGAACATTTTGTTCGCAACGGCTTTTAAAACCTTCGTGATCTGCAGTTGTTTGTACTATATTGTCTATAGTTTATATATGTATTAATAATATTTGATGTTATCGATAAAATAGATTCTCGTTAACATAAGCAATTCCTAGGGTATATCATGGTTCATTGGTTCCTTAACTCTTAAGAAAATTAATTTGTATTACACATTATTAAAAAACTACTAAAATAACGGCAAAATAAATTTAAAAATAAAATTACTGACTGTGCTAACTGAAAACAATGATCATAAAATCAGTTGTCAATTATGTTTATCTGTAACCTTTTGTTTAGTAGCAATATTTAACTGGCAACACTGGCATCGAAAGAAAATCGCGGGAAAGCGTTGTTTGCGCAACCTGTTAAAAAAGCCCGCCCTCGCATCGGGTGCGCCCAATTAGGGCGACGACACTGCTGATTGGACATAATCGTGTTAGTATCGGGGACAAACAAGAGTGCTTGTCGTCGTCGCGTGTATTCGTAACGTCTTCATAAACATCGCATTTACCATTTTGTTTATTAGTCTGTGTTATGTGAACAAAACATTTGTTGAATAGGAATTACTGGTTGACCCCCTAGTTTTCTCTAAGTGGGTCATAAAGCACTTCACTGGACGTTGCATTAATCGATTCTATGTATAAAAAAGTTACTTTGAAACAGTAGCGTAGCTAGGTGGACAAGGGCTGGGTCTATCTAATCCTAAGGCGCAAGAAAGTATCGGGTCCTCATTTTTTAGCATAGCTTGAATAAAATGAACCTCCAAAATTATAAATAGCAACAAGAACGTTAAAAAATCCTTTTTTTCTAGGCTTATATCTTCTCTAAGATATGGTTAGAGGGCCCCCAAATTGCGGGGCCCTGGTGCATTGCATCACCTGGCCCTACGATAGCTACGCCACTGCTAAACTAAAATATTAATATATGTTTTCAGGGATTCGAACCCAGTAGGTACCTCTCGTGCAATGCCAGCTAACGTTAATATTTCGACAACTTTGTACTTAACTAAAACTTAAGAATCGTAGCATTTATTACATTCATATTATTAAACCGTATTGTACTTTATAACTGATGCGTATCAAATGCAGTAAGGTAGCCGGCAAAATTGTAAACAATATTATGATTACGCCTATGATTCACACCACGATTTCTTTTTTTTACGAAAGAGGGGGATAGACAAGTGTGGGGCTCACTAACTGTCTTGATGGTAGGTGAAATAACTCAGTGCTATAACATTTAAACAAGATGCGCTGATTTTGGCTTTGGATATTCGACGCGAAACCGAACGCGATTCCTTCACCCGATTAATTCCAGATTTCTAGACGGTCCAACATGTTTTAGAATTTATAAATTGTTAGAAAAATATTGGACCCGTGAGATCGAACGCACGACCCGTTGATGTTTGCAAAAATATAATGTGACTAGTATTACTCACATTAACATAAATATAGTTCGATCAATGGTAACACTCAAAAAGAGGCATTTAATGACTAAGTCTTGCCGGAATTTTTTTCAGTATTACTATCTTTTAAATAAAAGACTTTAACGGTTTAAAACGCGATATTATAGTTAAACTTATTAGACGTTTCGGATGCTTTGCAGCAGCCGTGGTCACGGGGACAGACGGCCCTGTCCGAAACGTCGGGCCGAAGTTAAAAATCATTTTCAAATAAGTGTAACTAATACATCGCGTTTTAAACCGTTGAAGTGTTTTATTTAAATGTGTGCTACTCGCGTAAACTAATGTCGTATTTAGTATTACTATCTATTTATACAATCTCTTCTTTTTCTATACCTAACCTATTAAAATAGGTGAGGGAAAAAGCGAAAATATTGACAATCCGAAATGCTATCCTTAAACGCTGCAACCTCCAGTCTCTTGCCCTAATCTATACTCTATACTAATATATAAAGCTGAAGAGTTTGTATGTTTGAATGCGCTAATCTCAACTACTACTTCGAATTGAAATGTTATTTTTGTGTGAGTTAGAGCATTTAACGAGGAAGGCTATAAAAAATTGCGCTGTGACTAATAGGAACAGTGGAAATGTGTAAAAAACGGGGAAAATTATTCATCTTTGTAGTTTTGTTTCCGATCCCTAATCCCCTCGCTGCGAAATTGCTTTAAGATACCAAAAAAAATAATTAAAAGAATCACTCCACTTAAATTAATTTTAAAAAATCTGCGTCACTATTATGTAATTTTTTTAAATTAACTTCCAAGAATGACGAGAGGTGACCGACGTCATAGGTCCAGCTTTAATTTATAAAGATGAAGAGATTAGATTGCAACTAATTTGGATGCCCAAAATAATTCTATGCGGGCGAAGTCGCTGACACAGCTAGCTTGCCATAAAGGTGTTTTTTTCCGATACGGTGAGTTCACAAATACGTTGTTATTTTTAAACGCTGTCAACGCTATTTAAACCGTAACTTTCCTTATCTTACGACTAGTCATCGGCAAATTACAGAAGGAAAAATGCGTTGCGTTGTACTTCTTATGATTTTCATATGTATGTTATGCGATTGTGACAAACATGAAGCAAGGTTTCTTTATTTCGCATATGGGAGTAATTTATTGAAGTCAAGATTGCTAATAAACTGTCCATCTGCCGTGTTTATAACTGCAGCTAAAGTACCGGTAAGAGAAATCGTATGAACCATGACAATCTTTCTCTATACTTACTGAGGTTGACATAAAGTCCTTTTGTTTTTTCCGTGTTTAGGGATATAGATTAGATTTTGATAAATATTCGGACAATTGGTGTGGTGCAGTCGCTACAATTGTAGCCGATGCTGATGGTGAAGCGTGGGGTGCGATCTGGGCGATTAAGGATAGTGAATTGGCCGCCCTTGATAGGTAAGTCTATATGAGGCTGCTAGAGGCAGATTGAAGGTTCATGAAGGAAGAGTTTAAAAATGCGCAATTAACTTACGCGAAAGTGAATTTAACTATTGTTCGTGTAAAAATTATGTTAACAATTTTCGGTCACTGTACTCTTGATGAGTAACAATTTTAGATTATGAAACTTTTCTGGCTCTAGTTTTATCATTGATTAACGATCTCACTTGAAAATTTTTGAGAAATACTTATTGAATTCTCAGTTTTATTTTCCAATCGGGAAAAAATGTGTTTTTGTGGCAGAAACAAGAAAAATGCTTTGGTAATCGTTAAAGTTTAATTATAAATTATAATATTAAGATAGTTCTTTTAAATCCTGTGTTTAAAAACTGCACAAGCTACTTCAAACGGATCGATTATCTATATGGTTTTTAAATATAGTTTCTACGTTAAAGTAAAATGTTTTTTAGACAAGAAGGTGTAAACAGTAAAAAGTATTGCGCCAAAAATGTAAAAGCAATAACACCACTTGGTCATGATATAACGGCTAGAGTATATCACATTAATAGCGAGCCACCAAAAATGCAACCAGAGATAATACCATTACAGAGACGACCTGGCAATACTTATTTACAGGTAATATTTTACAACAACTGTCTTAAAGCTTGAAATTAAAATCACAAAAAATTGTATTTTTTTTAAGCAGTAATTCTTATAGTTTCTACTTTTCTTCATATTTTTTTATTCATTATTTTAAATTTATTTTAGGTGATAGCTTTAGGAGCATACGAATGTGGAATTCCTTCTCATTATATTGAATACGTTCAAAGATTCCCAGTAAATGGTCGAAGGGCAAAAGAAAAAATTATTTCGCAGTTAGGTTTTTCTTTAAATTCTAGTTCAGAAATTAGTTGAAAACAAGGATTTGGTCACTATTCTATACTTATAACATATAATCACTATTAAAATATTGTATTGCATAATAAATTTGATGATTATTGTTTTTTATTTTCATGGTTCGATTTATTAATGTATGATTACAACACTTGTTACCTTACGAATTGTCAACCAGGCTCTGTGTTAACTGTCATTTGCTAACGTTTTTTTAGATAACACATTATTTTATTTAAAATTTATATATTTATGTCCTTCTTAATAAAGAACAATAAAATTTTGTCCTTTTTTCATAATTATTGAGATATAGAAAAACGTATATCAAACTGAAATGTAGTCCCACTGAATATTGCTTTTTCTAACTACCAAACAAATCCTGCTTCGAAAATGTATGATTCTTTTTGTGTGTATATGGTTTTTATTAATTATTTTGTATCAGTTATATTCTGAGAAATCAGACATTCATGTTAATACAATATGGTCTGAAGGACCTACGTAGATTTAAGAAATTCATACATAATGTCATTAAATTATGCATTTAGTTTTTCAGTGTTTCTGTTAGCTCTTGTAGGTCTAAATATTTATTTCTTTTACACTCTTAACTCGATTGATAGAAGGCCCTCGAAATTTAATGTCGCGAACCTTAGATTTGATGTAACTGCCAATGTTTTTAAAGATATTTATGAATACCTTAACTATCTGCCTAGTCAATATAAAACAAAAAACTCGAAATTTCTTAGTATACAGAAGAAGCTCATCAATTCCTTTAACTCGACTCGAAATGCTAATCCTGCCACCATTTGGGTTGAAGCAGAAAATGTAAGTAAAGAAAAAATGTTTTCCTTTTGTGTGCTTAAATCATACATTATTATATTTTTTCCCCAGTGGATCAGCAACACTTCCCTGTATCCTCAAGAAAATGGAATGGGCGGCAAGATTCTTCATGCATTACAGGCCTCACAGATAGCATTAGTTGATAATGCACCAAAAGGAACACAGCTTAAACTTCTACTTCTAATGGAAGTAAGTTATAATTGTATGTCTATAACCCTATACCTTTAATGCTGAACTTCTTTTTATTTCTTTAGCTTCATTGCATAGGCTCTTGCTTTTAAAAATGTTGATTACAATAATTTTTAGATAGGTATATGTTATTACTATACATTATTACTGTACATAATGTAACCAGTAGGCTACTATTTTCTTCAGAAGTATCTAAGAATTGTTGATTTTTCTAAAATAAAAACTATAAGCCTGTTTTAGGGAAATCAGAAAGTATACTTTAAGCCACGAAGATACAATCTTGATCATGTTATCAATGGGAACATATATGCAGGTTTTGATCGACACAACTCAGAAGTGTTTGCTTATTATTTAGCAATGGTGTTAAATTTCAAGTGGATACCACCCTCCGTGATAAGAAGAGTTCACTTACATAAAGATATAATTCCTGTAGCAACATCTGGATTGAGAAAAACAATGGTAAAGAATGGTAATAAGGTTTAAGCTTGATTTATTTACTGTAAAACATTTAGTACTGCTTTCTGGTTTATAAGCTTTTTCTGTGATCAAATTCTGTTGAATAGCTTTAATTTTTACAGATAAGGGCTCTACATGTATTTATGGCAAATGTTTTTACTGTAAAGTGAATGACACGGTATGTCCCAATGACAGAGGTGAAGTGGAAGGTGCAGCAATATTATATCTGGATAAGCAGCTGAAAGTATTTAAATCTCCCTGGAGAAGATCATATAATGCGAAAAGAATGGAATGGGAAACTGATAATGATTATTGTATGTAAGTATTTTATACAGGCCACACTAGGCCAAAAGGACTTGTTTTTCATAGCAACTTATCCCAATATTGCATACATACTGATAATTTAAACTTATAATTTATTATAGGAAAATTAAAGGAACACTAAGCCTACGAAGATTACTAAACTTAATAGATGTTGCTATATTCGATTTCTTAATTCAAAATGGTGACCGTCACCGTTATGAAGTGTATAAAGAATCGATCATATTATTGGACAATGGAAAAGGACTGGGAAATCCACATATAGATGAGCTAGATATATTGGCGCCATTATACCAATGTTGCATGTAAGTGATAGAGTTTTGTATTTTTTTGTTTCAATTTACTGTAAACAGTATATTGTAGTGCAATTAAAGTCTTAACTTTTTAGTATGATCAATACTAAATCATCTTTATCTTTCTAGGTTGGCAATATCGACCTGGCAACACTTGGAAATCATTTCTGGTGGGAATCTGTCAGAAACAATTAAACTATTATCTGCCTTTCAAGGCAATAAACTTGCTACAGAAGAACATTTTAGAGCTATAGAAAGAAGATTATTAAAAATATATGCGACTGTGCAATATTGTATAGGAAGACACGGGAGTTCTAAAGTTTTTAGAAGTGGTTTTTGATGTTGATATAATTTTTTTTTATATACGCGCAAAATAATTTAATACTATTTACTTGTTGTATGAATAAAATAGGTGTTACTATAGGCTTTCTTTTTATTATTTGTATTTACATAAGTTTGAGCCTAGGCAGTTGTGGAAAATGCACATTATCTACGTTAAAATAAAACAATCGAATTAAGAACCTCACTGTTGTTAAAGTCGGTTAAAAAAGGCCATCTGTGCTATCTCCCAAACTGACATTGACATTAACATAACTGATACGAATTTTAGATTTTGCAGTGGTTAATTAAATTAGTCTTGATATAAATATAATTAGGTTAACTCAGGAACTAATAAAGTTTTGATTTCTCGAAATTTGTACGTTGTACACACTTAACATTACATGAACTTGTGTGATATCAATTCAACAGTTCAAGCAACGTATTATAGAATATTTACATACTAAAACAACTAATATCAAATTCGTAGCTTTCCGTTTAAAACACCGAAATCAAATTAGTTCTACAATGTTTGTCCCTGTGGACGATACTTTCTTGTACTTCGCGTATGGAAGTAATTTATTAAAAAAACGAATTCATATTAATAATCCCTCTGCGGAGTTTCTTGGTATAGGAAGACTTGATGTAAGTATGTATTATATTTTCTATTTACCTTCGTGTATTAAGACTTAAAAGATCAAGGACTTTGTGGCACAGTGTTAAATGGTTTGAACACATTTTGGTTGGTTCAGTTGGGCACATTCTGATACAATAAATTAAACAAATAGTGGTCCCCATGGACCAAGTAGGGAAAATAAGATTTCATTTGTATGATTTCTTTATTACAGAATCATCAGCTTGATTTTATGAAGTACAGTGAACACTGGCGCGGGACATCCGCAACTATTGTCCCTACAAATGACTGCTACATTTGGGGTGCTGTCTGGAGACTCCAGAACAAGGATATGCCATCGTTGGATTGGTAATTGATATTTGTTTTTATATACTAAATATAGAAGTAAATTTCTGTTGAGTCACCTTAGAATGACTAGCAATTATTATTGTATGTCATCAATCAGGATTATAAAAATAAAAGTTAGTAATTTTCATAGGAAGTTCGAATTTTTGATATAGTTCTAATATGATATTGTAGATATATAAATTCTGACCAATGGACCTAGCATTACAATTCTAAGAGGCCCAAATTGATTATAATTACAGGCAGGAAGGTGTTGAAACCAACTGGTATTTTCCCAAAACTGTTGACATAGTAACAACCGATGGTACAGTTGTCCAGTGTAGAACGTATCAGCAAACTGTGAATCCACCTCCGCGAAACGAAGACGATATTATCCCTGAAGAACAAAGGCCATCATCTACATATCTAGATTGTATACTTAAAGGTGCTGAAGAATGCAATCTACCTAAAGAGTATGTGTTAAAATTGCATAAAATACCACATAATGGACAAAAAGCATCACCAAAAATGATTGAGAAGTTAAATATGATGTAAATTCCAAAAGTTTATCAAAAAGATTATTTTAGTGCAATTAAAAGCAAGTGTTTTGTTTATTTAGTCTTATCTTCACATTTATTATCCAACTACTAATCTGTTACTAAAGCACTTACTGGAAATAGATTATAAATGTGTCTGGAGAAAGAATATTTGCACCATAGTTTTTTAAAATTGTGATATATAGGCTGTTGACAAATTAATTCTTCTGTGTCATGTCATAGGCATCAAGGTTATTGTGATGTCAAAATATATTATTTATTTATATATTTGTTTTATTCTCTTCCACAATATACAATGATAAAATCTCAAGTGTTTAAACCGAACACGTTTCTGTACTTTGCGTATGGAAGCAATCTGTGGACATTCAGGATTCATATGAATAATCCGACTGCGGAGTTTGTGTCAATTGGTCGGCTTGATGTTAGTGATATATTTTTTAATTATGGCAAAATTTACATAAATATCTTATTAACTAAGCTTTAAAATTTGCTCCTCAACTTTAGTAAGTATCCAAAAGGTTTAAAAAAAAAAAAAAATTCGACTAGGCCAGGACTTGAATCGGCATCGTCAGCGTTCCGTGCTGTTGCTCTACCAATTGAGCTACCGAGTCGATTTTTTAATTATATAGTGCCTTCATGTGCACATGTGAATAACATGTAAAAAAAATATATTTTCTAACCATAAGGTTGTTTTATAGAATTACAGACTTGAATTTATAAGATATTCAAAATTTTGGGGAGGCCCTACAGCTACCCCCGTTCCCACTGCCAATGCGCATATTTGGGGAGTAATATGGCGACTCCAAACCGAGAATATTCCATCCCTGGATGAGTAAGAACTATATCATTATTGCCAAATATTTTTAACTGCTTCATCTATATTAAAAGTAAAACACCAGTACTCGAGAGGATAGTTTAAATTTTCTTGCTCTTCTAAGAAAATCATTAATATTCAAATTGTACCTACAGACAAGAAGGCGTAGATAAAGATATCTATTACGTGAAGCACGTGCGAATTGCTACGCCTTATTTGGGAATGTTCACTTGTCGAATTTACGAACACAATGTGGTACCACTGCCGCGAGGAGACAACGATGATATTCCTATAGAGCATTGGCCATCTTGGACTTACAAGGAAGTAATTATCCTGGGCGCGGAAGAACATAACCTTCCCGATCATTACATTGAGAAATTGAAGGAAATAAAACACAACGGGGAACAGGGATGCTTTTACATGGCTTGTCTTCTGCGCACTTTCGCCAGAGAGACTCCTTGCGTCTGCAGATTAACAGAGAAGATACGGCGAGAGCCGCTAAAGTTGGATATGAAAAAAATTAGAGCAAAGTATAAGCAAAAATAAATTTATTGACCAACACTTCTGTCTATTCATCCGAAAACCAAACACGAGGCTCCTTTCATAACTTTTATTAATATAAATATTAAAATTATTATTAATAGGTACTCGTTCTCGTTAAATTAAATATAAAAATTATACACTATCTCATTCGTTTGGTGAATTGTTTCTAAATTGAGCATAGAGCACAACGCTACCCTCACACTGTAACAACACTCACACAGTCACACGAGGAAGTTGAAATAATAATATAATCAGTCGATAACAATTACGAGGTAAAATAACTGCCTTAAGTGGAAATCACATTGAAAATAAATACTGTTAAAGTTATTCGCTATGGACAACCCGCAGGGAACGCCCGTGTGAGGCAACGTTGTGCGAGACATTCGACGACGCACATTGCCCGTTTTGTATGCAGATACAAGTCGCATCACCTTGATCGGGTGGCGATGTATGCTGCATGGGACAATGTATCGTTCGAGTACCCCGGCGGGCTCGTCTGTAGAGGAACTGAGGCCGCGGTGCGGCAGCTGGCTAGCGTGTGGGTTTCTATATTACACACAATTTAAATAAAAAATAAATCATCATCGTAACACATAAAATACACATTTTAATTAATTGAGCAAAAGGCACTATGCAATATAAAAAATAAACAATTTCACATTTACATGTAGTTATTTTTTAACGCAATAGAGAAAGGACATTGTACGAACTAATGCAACGTGCCTTGAGCCCGGGACGTGGACACGCGGGTGCGTATCTAATAACATTTCGTCTCCGTTTATTTCAACTAAAATACGTGATTTGTTAAGCAGATTATGTAACTAGACACTGAATAATTGAGGACGCCTCTAAATTTGTCGTAAAATATTGCAGTAAACAATAGTTTAGTAGAGTGTAAAATCAAATCTAAATAACCAAGAAAAAAAAAAGGTTTTTGCGACTAATTTGGAGGTACCCTTCGTGTCAAAACAATTGTAAGGGAAAGTGAATTTGATTTGGCCATTCACGTAGCTATGTCACGATGCTCACAATCAACAATCCTGCGTTCCGTTGAAGGCTGGATTTCTGAAGGCACTCGTTAATACCCTTAAACCACGTAAAAGTAATCGTCATTGGACCGCTATGCACTACCGTTCGGCCCAATGTCCAGGATTGTTATATCGGAGTCTACTTTTGCTTCAACTCTCTTCAGACTACTCTGTAATATAATAGCATGTAGCAGATTAAACGCGAGAGCAAGTAGCGAGCTGTATTTAAATAATACACTTTTAACTGTTCAAATCACAGATTATATAGTTGGCAAACTGCCGCGATCACGGCTGCTGTATAGCATCCAAAACGTCAGTTTACTAATATATATCGGGTTTTAAACCGTTAATAGTGTATGTACTATAGGTAAATTAGTAATTTAGAATATGTAAATTCTAATTGACGCGATATAAACCACATGCTATTACATCGTAGTTTATTCTGAAGTGAGCTTTGTTTCATAATGTTGCTAGCGTAAATTTATTTACATTGAGATAGCTATCGAACAGAAAATATGCAGTAGAAAATCTAACGTACAAAATTCCGTATATACTTTCATTTGCACTAGAAAATTTTGTGCGCAACACGATGTTTATAAAAAATATGCTCTCGCGCACATCCTATCGGCAATTACAACGGTTTTGAACCATAACAAAGATCTAATTTATATATTGTATAATATACGTTATCAATTAATTACTCTACGTTTTTATGTCAACATTTCGCAAAGACTGGTGACTTACGATATCAATTCTGCAACGGGTGATAGCTACTGAAAATTGAGACTTTGACTATTTAAAATATTTTACGCTAAAATATTGTAGTATTATACCTAGATATATGTAAAATGGCTATAACTTGCGTTAACTATTGCATTGTAATTGATATAGAACACACGTTTTATAGAAGCATTCTTTTGTTTAAGTCGGTCCTATACACGCTAATTATGATATTTATCGATATTCATACTAGATTAGTGTTACTATTTCTCAACGTCTTTGGTGGTTAAATCCGATTCACTACAAAGAAATATTACGTTAGTATCGATGAACAGAACGCGCCGTGAGTATTATAGTCTGTCCGTAGAACACGCAACAGCATGATCGACAACTTCGACGTGTATGCACTATGCGGTTAGTTAAAGAAATCGATAAAAATAATTTGTACACGATCTTACCTAGGTAATAAGAGCTATTTAGTTATACACACTTTACACCTTACGCGATAACTTAAATATATAATAGGCTGCGTCATAAACGACATCGATACAACTATGTTTCTGAGGTAAACTATATAGGATTCATCGTTCGTCGGGGGGACGCTAAAACTATCCCTGATATGAAACAAACCGCTTATTGCACGACGCTCGACTACGTCGCGTTTCAACACTCTACTATTTTTAGTGGCGCTCCAATAAACGCCAGAGGTCGTATATTGCGTTACTACTTACTATTATACAAATGTACTATTTTTGTCTCTTTCACTCACGTTCGGATTGTCTCCAATTCAACGCGAGCACTATTTGTCAACTAGTGTTGTACCGTCTGTTGTTTAATAATAAACGATTTGACGCCAAAACGCAAAACCTAAGGCGTTTATAGACAACCGAAGCTTTTCACCTCTGCAGGACGCACCTCCGCGTGCAATAAATAGGTTATAAATGCAGAGAAGATTCTAGAGTTTAATACAAAGTCATAACATAACCTGCAACTTCCAGTTAGACTCGGACACGTCGTGCAACGCAAACACTCGACTACGCTAGGCCAAAACGGCTTTCAATATATATTTGTATATCGGCGCGAGAAGCACTCTCACACGACGCTACTAGACTATATGGAATTGTATGAATATTAAAATAAACCCAGAAATTAATTCCTGACCTTTAAAAGGGGTGTATAGTACACAACGTGCAATTTGAAGTATCTTCGATTTAAATAACGATTTGAATTAATAATAATATTTCCGGCGCTGGTGTGGGAGCGTTCTCGCTGTATCGGACGACTACAGTAAGTATAAACGTACGTATAAAATAAATAAAACGCGGCGAACAATTCACTAGCTACGCTTACAACTAGGATTCGAAGAGCCGGACGACGGCTTGAGGTAGATATTTCGCGACTCGTAGTCGCTCCTGCGCTGGTCACTCCGCACAAATGTTCCACTGCACTACACTCGCGCACTTTGCATTTAAATCTTAAGAATATAAAAACGGCTAAGTCAACAAGAGGAATAAATATAAACTCGATTTGGACTCGAAATTATTTCGCGAGACGGCAAGCGGGACCCTTGTAACTAACTCTGATTTCAATACAATATTGATAACTGGGAAATGTTACAGAAATGTAAACATTTTAGATTATCTGCTTATATAAAACTGTTATTGCAAATTGAAATTGTGTTTCAAGAGTCCTTCGACATAGTAACATAGAACACGGCTGAGTGGTATCACGGTAGTAGTGAACAGCAAAGTGGGCGGGCTACTCGTATACGGTGGACAGGGGATATGTGTACCGCTAGCAGGGCGGGGGCAGGTTTCCGTTGGGGGGCGGTTTTCGGGGATGCAGATCCGGGGGCTGCAAGGGTTGCAGGGGCTCCGCGGCTGCGTCGTCTGAGGTGCGCGAGCGCAGGGATGAGAGCTCACGCACCCACGATGCGAGGCGACCTGACACGCCAAACAGATTGGAACCCGAACCGGTTGCTACTGCACCGACATTCACTTCTTGCATCTCTTGTTCTTCCTCTGCAAACAACATGTAGAGTTAAAAATGTCAGTCTTCAGTTACTTCTAAAACAGGAAGGATATTGAATTATAAAACATGCGTATTTAGGTCTAATTTACACCACGCTACAGTACACGTATGTAATTTTAAGAAGACCGACAGAGGAGAAACGCCAACGTATGGTGTTTTGAGTTCTACATAAAAATAAAAATGTAGCCCTATAATTTTTCATACGAAGGAATAAAATTTGAAATTGCATATATACAGTATTTGATAAACTTCGAAGAGGTTGGTAAAAGCATTTTCCTAGCACCATCCATATGTTGAACAAATCAATGTTACAGTTAACTAAGTTATAGAGACATTAAAAACTAAAACATGCTATATACTTGTAAATACAGGGATTAATAGATGTTTAAGTAAAATTTGTATCCAAGTCCGTTTCTATCACTAGACAGAAGCAACCACGTACAGATTTTTCTTTCAATAGCGAAATTAAAGGAAATTGTAATACAAACAGTAAAAAATGTGCGTTGAAAAAAAAAGCTGGATTTATTCGCTTAATAGGACGTAGAATACAAAATTATTAAGATGCAGATAAGTAGATTTTTTAATATTGCAACAAACCTTTTAACAACGGACATGTATTTTACGCGAATAAATATTAAAATAAAACTTTTCCCGGTTTAAAACATACATATGGTTAACGCGAAACATTTGAAACGTCGGGCCGTATTTCAAACAAATTGTAAAAAAATATATTTCGCGTTTTAAACCGTAAAAAGTATTTTATTCGAATGGCTAACGTTTACTGTATAGTTATCTACGTCCTCTAAGGCAAGTTTAGTCTTCGATCACAGAAAATGATAACAAAATAAGTGCTGGTACTAAAGCATGCATATGGTACCACTTACGGTTATGTGGGGGCCGTCTGCTCGCTACAAGCGTCTGACGGCATGAACGTGCGAACAAAAGAACAACCAATTATACAAATGTCACTTTGCGGCTATTTTGTTATCATTTACTGAATATTTGGTTGTTATGTGAAGTGTGATTGAAGACAAACAAATGTATGTTGTATCTGACTCGGTAGACGTTGATCTAAGATTTGTTCCTAGTTTTTATTAGAATTTAGATGAAGAAGCAAAACAAGACAACCTCTTGGTTTTAACGTGCAGACATTTATTCAATGGTTGGGAAATATTTAGACCTCGCTAAGTTTATAATGATAGGCTGAACAGATGAAGATAATCCATGTTTCAAATCGAAGTTTTACTTAATAAACAACAGAAAACGTGTTTTCCGATCCATCCATATTTTCCTTATATATATGAAACATTTTATACTCTGCGCTGTCTTTTTGCTTGATTTCACATTTAAATGCTACCGAGTCAGATGACTAATATAATAACACAACACGTGATTGTGAAATGTATTTAATAAATATGAACGTGTTATTTGTTTTTAGTTTAAAAGCAGTTAAATGCAAGAGTGTAAAAAACGATCTTAAAATTGTGTTTTCAGGTACATAGTTGTATGGACTTTGGTATACGAATTAAATGATATAAAAAGGTGTAATTTGAATAAATTAAACTGGGCGTAATGCAATATAAATTTAAAAAATAAGTTTCCTTTGAATACCTTAATGATTTCCACATGTTATTTGTTAGATACATAATAGTATCATTTAAATTAAAAATCGATTTTATATTGACAATAAAAACAAATTGCGCGAGGGGAGCATGCATCAATGGGTTAAAAAAAATCGACGACGACGCGTAGGGCTCGATAGCTCAATTGGTTAGAGTAACAGTACGTAATGCTGTGGATGCCGTTTCAAGCCCCGTGTCGTGAAATATATTCAATCTAAAATCGATTTTAAATTTAAAAAATTTCCTGTATTCTCATATATATCAAAGTACTTGGCAAAACAGACATTAAATGTGTGCTTAAGGCATAAAAATGCTGCAAGTAGTTATTACCTGCAGCTGTCCGCTGGAGTGCGTACATCTCCTGTCCTTGCGGCGTATGGAAGAACGACCTATGTCGGAAGTAAGGCTGTGCAGTGGGCAATAGTTCTGCAACCAGTTGGAGGAAACTCGGCCTAGCCCCTGGCCGATGAGCCCAGCACGCCCTCATCAGCTCATATAGACGATCAGGGCAATGCTCTGGGCGTTCCATCACCCCACCTTCAATCACGTAGCGGACTACTTGCTCATTGGATAGACCCTGGAAATAAATCGCAAATGTATAATACTAAGATTGAATAACATATAATTTGGTGCATTATGATCATATTCCATCTGTGTCGTTTATATTTGATATAATTGATTAGGTATAACTATGTGTGTTGTAATAAGTCTCTATGTATGTTTTAAAATTAATGTCCATACTGATGAGACAAATAAGAATTATCATCATTGCAAGTAGTTTGGGTAGTTCCAAACGAAATACTATCTGTAGTTCACGCAAGTAGTACACATTTAAACTACTAAACCAACTAACAAGCAACTACTAAACTACCGACAAATAAATAAACAAAAAGAAATAGTTCATAATTTTTGGCTATGTACTGCGATTTGATATGCTTATAATAGTTAATTGTAACTATTTAGAAAATAAAATAAAACATACCTGATAGGGTTGCATTGCAAGTGTAGCCATCTCCCATAAAACTACACCATAACTCCACACGTCGGTGTTACTTGAAAACACCTAAAAAAACACACAAACATAAATTACTAATGAGACTTTTTTTTGTTGTTTGATGGCTAAAAAATAAAACATCAATCTGCACAAATGCCATAGTTTCGATAGCATGTTATATAGTCTTTCATCTCGGCTCGAAGGACCAAATTTTCGTGATTGCCTAGTCACTTTATTATACGATGAATTCCTTAAATATAAAATCCTCAATTTATATTAAAAAATTGCTAATGCACGATGGAAATAAATAGAAGCATTGAATAATTACTTACCCCATCTTTTAAGCTCTCAGGGCTCATCCAGCGCACAGGCAAGAGTCCCTTCGTGCCTTTCCTATAGTAATCAGTCTCATAAATGTCTCTGGTCATGCCGAAGTCCCCGACCTTCACCGTCAGGTCCCCAGCGACCATACAGTTGCGCGCCGCTAAGTCACGATGCACAAACTTCTTGGCCGATAGGTAGGCCATACCGTCGGCTATTTCTATAGCCATCTGGATTTTTGAAAAATTATTTATATAACTTTAATTATACAGCTGGTATATATGAATAGAAAAAAAGAGAACTAGATGTGCCAGCGACTTCGTTCGTGTAGGATAGTTATTTTAGGCAAAATAAATTGTTAAGTTAAGACCCACAACATCGGTCGCGTTCCTTCGATCTTGCTGAAGTTAAAAGGTAAAGGACACAACGAAAACTAATTTAATAAATAATTTAACCACTATGTCTTGCTATTATTTCCTATTTGTCACAGCGGGTTGTTATAGCCAGTAGTTCCTGAGATTGGCGTGTTCAAACAAACTCTTCAACTTTATAATACTAGTTTAGATTATTTACGACAAAACATGGTAACAATGGCAAGTACCTGCAAGATGTTCTGCAGAGTTGGTGGGCAGGGCGCAGGCCCTTTCTTAGGTAGCGACGAGTCCGCGTCTGGACGATGTGAGCGTAGATATGTCTTGAGATCTCCCTGCTCCATCAGCTCCATCACTACGAGGGTGGGCTGTCCGCGAGAGACCACGCCCAACAAACGTACCACGTGGAACGTGTCAAACGCTTTCATCACAGAAGCCTCGTTAAGGAACTCGATGCGCTCCCTGCATCAAAGAACAGCATTGTTATTGTAGATAGATTTATATGTGTATTTTATTTATATAGGATTTCGTGTTAACGCTGAAAAATAATTAAATATATCTTCTTAGCTTATCTTAGAGAAAAGGGTTAATGTTTAATATACGACACAATTAACATAATAAGATTTCGTATTGTCGTATAATCCTCCTAGAAATAGATAATCATAGAGATGGACGAACATGAAACGTCATATCATAAAAGATCACCTGTCAGTGGCGTGTTCGTTGACAGTTTTCACAGCGCACCGAGTTTCCGGTTTGCCTTTTTCGATGTTCTTAGCGATTCCTTCATAGACCTGTAATTTTTTATATAATCATTTTTAATATCTATAGGGTAATTTTTCTAAGTTGGCAAAATACCACAACAAACATAGCCGATTTCAAACTTTATTAATTTTAGCTTTTTATTTATTATGGTGTTTTTTACTATTTGAGGTACTTCATTAGTTTTATACACAATCCAGTGTCTCAAAGTGTTCACAGTGTAAACAATTGTGAACCTTAAGAGAAAATGACGATTTCATGTAAATTGTGAGTGCGTTAACCATAGATGTCAAGTAAGAAAAATACACTATATTTTGTCTTTGTATATTGATATAATTGACGTAATACATACCATTCCGAAGGAACCTTGTCCGAGTTCCCTGACGAATTCGATGCTAGCTCGAGGCACCTCCCACTCATCAGGCACGTATACAGTAGAAACGTACTCAGGGTTGACACGAGCGAAGAGTTTGTTATTGTCGTGCGTGTGGAGCGCACGTCGAGCGTACCACGCACCTAACGCTGCTGCGCATACGACGACAGCACAACCGCCTACTACCCCCCAAACCCATTCGTAACCGCCTTCCGGACGTACTTCCTATAATATATAAATACAGTTATGCACAACACATTATATTTTTGGGGCCTATGGAGAACTAAATTTGAAATAACAAAACAAAATCTTTATTTGCCAAAAATACTCTTACAATACATGAAGAAATAATCATCAAGTGGATCCGGCTCGAAGGACTCATAGTTTTTAGATATATAATAAACTGTATGAGTAACTTACCGGAATATTAACGTATATCTCAGCCGAGACATTTCCAACTCCACTAACTGTGAGTGGAGTGACGCGTATACTGTAATTGCCAGCAAGTAGGGTCCGAATGATGAAACTACGGCCGTTACTCTCATAGTCATCCGCTCGAATACAGCTCGTCAGACCAACATCTGCAGACTGAAATCACATATTTCTATGAGTAATTTTCCATGCTGTTGTTTATATGTCTAGCTAGGCTAAAAGCTAATAGACTGTAAGATAATTTTAAAGGGAAGTGAATGTAGCAGTAGGGTTGAAGAAATTACACACGGTAGCTTAATTGGTTAGAGCAACAGCACGTAACGTGTGGATACCGGTTTCTCCTGCCCGTGTCGTAATTTTTTTCGATATATACCCGATTTTTATTTAAATCGTGCCGGATGTGAAAATATTAATGTTTTTAGACTGTAAAGTGTTTATTTGTCGGCAAAAGAATTTATTTTAGGTAATAAATTTTAAAAGACACACGACAGATTTGTTGTTCTTTTTTATACCATAGTTTATACAGGAATAATCTCGCGTCACATCATCTTAAAGCTTATGAAACTATTGTCATTTAGATTTTTTAAAGACACAAGTTACCTGTTCGCCGTCTTCTACCCTGGAGTGGTATACGTTGTAAGCCACGACGAAACCGTTGGGATCTTCGGGAGGTAGCCAAGTTACGTTCACTTCAGGCAGCGTCTTGTTGGACGGCACAATATCAGCACGTACGTTTCGAACAAAGTCTGCGTTCACTGTTAAAACCAATATCGCATTAATATTGTTACGACGAGATAGCCAGTTAGGTATATCAATAAAATTGCATGAGATCTCAGTTCTCTAACACGAATGCTGTGCCATATTTGGCAAATCATTAGAGTAGTGTCCTTATCATTATTATAACTCAAAAAGAATGTACACACACACAACACTAAATTTTCATCAGTTTATAGTTTTTCTGAAACATGTTGGTCTTTATAATGGTAGGAATATCGAAATTCCACCCGGGTCACGAACCGCCGTTCACAGATGAAAAAGCCGCCAAGTGTCAAGTCAACTCATGTCTATCCTCCTCTATCGTAAAACAAATATAACAATGGGGTTTTAGAACAATTCCCGATACCAGTTGTTATTTAAATTGGAAAATAATATTAATTAATATACAGTTTGAATAGCCACATTAAGGCAATACAAACTAAATATAAAAAGTAATTCTTACGCTGTTCCAAAGTGCGGAAATTGTAATAGGCCCGCACCGAACACCACGACTCGTTGTAGTCGTCCAAAGTTTCGTTCGGGTGCTTCTTCCGGCACGCCCAAATATTCACTGTGTACCATGTGAAGTGGCGAAGGTTCTCCACAGTCAGCGACTTCGCCTTGCCACCCAATTCAAAGTACATGGATTTTACATAGCCTGTAACGATAAAATGGTGTTTAGTTTAACAAACACCTAATGAAAATTAGTCTAATCGTTATAGATAAGACGGGCGGGACTTGACACAGCATTCATAACGATTCGAACAATAGAGCTAATTATTTTTCAATTGCGGATATAAGTTAAATCAATTCTTCATTTTAATATTTAAATTAATTATTACCGTGACTATTGTTTGAAAGATAATATTAATCTAATTAACGTCTACTGTAATTATGCAAAATGATCTTAAATTGATTTGCACAATATTGTATATATGCATATCATTAGTGTACGTTCATGATTTCTAGATAACATTTAGAGATTGAATCATTGTTTTTTTTAAATATGATATTGTTGTAAATGTGTATTATATTATTAATGAAAATATGAACGATCTTTTCCAATGTTGATTAATTTGTTAGTTGTTAGTCATTTTAAACATATTTTTTTTTACGTAGACACATTAATACCTTTTAAAAACTAATCGTCAATGTTTTTTATCCTAAAAGGAGAGTGGGGGGCTGGTGGGTGTAGATGTTGCGATAAGTATAGTATAGTACCTCCGTCTGTCTCATTTGTGTAGTTGTAGCCGAGACGCGGCGCGTGAATGTCGCTCAATATGACGAGCATGCTGTTTACAGAGTTGTCTATTGAACGGCGCATGCGACTCGCAGCAGTGGACGTGCCGGTTCGGGTTCCTTGCTTCACGTAGACCTGGTGAGATAAGAGTAAGGTTATATGCAACACTATGTTAATGATTTTCTGTGAAAAGCAGGCCAGTAAAAAGGTGCCAAATTGAAATACGTTGTAGAGGGCAACACTGTACAAAAACTGTGTAAAATTAAAATAATGTAGAATGTAACATATAAAAGGGACAGCAATAATGTTGATTTACGACTTGTTTAATACATACATAAATTAGTTTGTAATATTTCTGTTCAAAGTATTTTTCGCATATGTTTTGACTGTGATCGAAAAATAACATTCTCATTTTAACAATTTCACTCGTAGTTTCTTTACAGTATATTAACAGCCTTACATGGTTCTGAAGCTCGTTTTCAAAGTCAATACTCTCCACTCGTTCCTCTTCAGCCTCAGAGTTGAAGCGCACAGCCGGCTTGTTGTCCTCCTTGCACGCGCACGTCTCGCTCTTCACGTCACCAGTGGTCTTGTCCTCTTTCTTCTCGGCCACTTCCTCGCCGCGAACGGCTATCATATTTACCAGCGCGCTCGCTGTAGACACAGTTTGGTTTAATATTTGAAATGCATAATGCTGCAAATATCTATAAATTCCTATAACATTCAACTTTTTTTATGATACACAGACAAGGGTGGAATGTGAAATACCCCAGTCGTATATCACCTCACTAAGATGCGCCGTCGACCTATTTGGGTGCCTAAGCTGCGATCTTTATAAGGTTGTACGTAGTTTTCCAACGATTTTTTTCTTGGCGAGAGAGGACGATAAAGAGAGAAATAAGTCTGATACACGTCTAGAGTTTGAATCCCATAAAAAAACAAGTTCACAACTAAATGACAGCTCTCTTAACTCGCCAAAACTTTAATAATTATATTTACTCAACTCTGCAACGAGAACCCCTTTGGTCGAGGGTTTAACACCAACTCTTAGCGACGATGTTTCATTGTTTTATGCATTAACACTTATTATGTAAAGGCTACGTCAAAAGGCAGATTAGGTTGGAGATCACTCACGATTAGTGCAATAGTTGAGATTGTCCGCCAATATCTTGTGTTGGTTGTACGCGTTCGCCTGGATCTCGATCCGGTATGACTCAATGGTGCCGTTGGGCATGGCTGGTGATTGCCATTTGATGGTCGCCGAATGTTCGCGAAGGTTCTCCACGGTCAGGCCTCGGGGAGGGCTGGGGTCTGTGCCAAAGAAAATATATTTAAATACATTATTTTAAAACCATTATACAAAAAAATAATTCTTCGCTCGGATCCGGCATAAAGGACTAATCAACTTCTGGCCCGTAAATAAAATCAATCCACTGATTGATTGAATAAATGGGTATAGAATTGTGTTTGACAGGGACACAGGGGAAAGCAGGATTTCAATATACAGCAATAATATTATGCTAGTAAGTTCCAAGTAAGACCCAAGGTTGTTGAACCATTTACTTGCCACCATCAAAAAAAACCATAAAAAACTTACGCCCTGGCATAGTTGTGAAGTAGATGATCGGGCTCTGCGCGCCCTTCCTGTCCCTCGTGGTATAGGTCTTCACGTACGCCGCGTATCTTGTGTAGTGTTGCAGCTGAGTCAGCGGATAGAACAAAGGCTGAATATCCTCGCAGGGGTTCGGCAGCACCTTGGTACTTCTGTTGGTTGGCATCGGCTTTGTCGTGTTTCTGACCTCATCCATTGTTATGTCCAGTACGTTCCATCTGTAATGTTAAACTAAATGAATGGTACACTTAATTTTGTATCGCATTCTGAATACGATAACATCCACAGCTTTTCCACAGTTTAAGGTTTATATTAGCTGGTTTTTTTTCATTGCTTTAAGAAAGATTTCCAAATATCTAAAGCCAAAATCGCATCTAGTTTACATGTTAATATAATATTAAATTTACATAAGCTCGTATTTCGACGTATTGCACGTTAAGCCATCCGTACGAGTTATAATAACTTATTTATTGGCATATGTCGTTAAAGCCATGCGTATCCAAACTGGAACAACATGTTGTTCCAGTTTGGATTGGTTCTCAAAACCTTTTCGTGTACGAGACGAGACCTAAACACTGTTGTAATGGTGAGTCAGATAATGTTTCTTTACATAACCATAACGTTTAAATTATGCTTACTGAACTCCGATACCTCCTTATGAGTATAATAGAAGAGTATAATAAATTATAAGAGACTAAATAATTAGTGTTAAATTGCACTAGCAATGATAAGTCTTTCTTAATTACCAATGAGAATATGCGTAATTAATAATTTCAGGGTTTTTCATAAAAAATGTAAATTAAAACTGTATTTGCACAGATTTCATTCTACTTGAGAATTTTTGTATTGTCTGTAGTTTACGCGAGTAGTACACATTGAAATAAAAGACAAGTTTATTTTTTGAAATTTAAGGCATCGCAAGCCATAAGTTAAAGTAATATATTTCGCGTATTAAATCGTTAAATATTTCTTGTCATTGCTATTATTTTAAATTAAAGAAATCCAAGAGTTTAAAACGGGATATATATATATATATATATAATTTTAAACTACGATCCAACTTTGCGAAGCTCCACGGCAGTTTTAAGTTTAAAGTGTTTTATTTATAAGATCAACTAGCCCATAGAAAAATTAACCGTGAGCTATGTAGTAAAAGCACATAACAATAAAACTTACGTATCCGAACACGCATCCCGTTGTCCGTACAGAGTGACGTTGTGCTGAGCCTGGATATAGTAGATGGAGTAGCCGATTAGCTTCCGAGAGTCCTCCGAACAGTACATGTCCCAAGTGAGTATTGCTACACGATTTACCAGCGAGTGGACCTTCAAATGAAGCGTGTCTTGGAAACCTGAAAGGATAACAGTATGATCAAGTTATGAAGGGGCTTGCAAAGTATTGTCTTTAGCTAAATGTAAAATAACTTTCTTACTCTGTAGTCTTTTTTAAGGAGTACATATTAAATAAAATACTTTAAACGGTTTAAAAAAGCATCCGGAACGGTAAGTCATACTTTAAAATATCACACTTTATAAACCGTCGAAAGTGATTTATTAAATTTAACAAAACACTTTGAGCTGGTTAATGTTTAATTATTAAAATAGGTGCCTGGTTCGTTCGTGCGCGTTGATTTGTCTTCCAAATTCTTTTTTGACAAAAGTGTGACGTAACTGGGTAATAGTGTAGACTTCGGCACTATTGTGTTGTAACGTCAAGGAACTTGGCATGACAAGTAATTCATCCATGACCTTTGTATCTTTCCAAACAATAAATTCTTTCGTGAGACACAACCAGCATTGAATTCGGTTCTTGAGGATCTTAAGACATAAGTAAGCTACTTACACTTATTCTACTTACAAGAAGCCTGGTCTCCGTTATTATCCTTGGAAACCGTGAGATCGTTGAAGGTGGTCATCGGATCTCGGGTCATGTTCTTCAGCTTCTCTATTTGGTTATAGCACAGCTTGGGGTTGAAGTGTATGAAGAGACGGCCAGAGATGATCTCGATCTTCTTCCCACTACTCCAGTCCCACAGAAGCTCGAGGTTTGGATTGTTGAAGATATACAAGCTTTGGCCCCTACAAGACAAGTAATCATTTTAAACCTCAGTCAAAGTCCATATTTGATCATTTCAGGTCTGTTTGAAAAGGCTAGTAAGAGCCTTTTATGAGATATAAAATAGTAAAAATACAAACTGACATTTGTCATCACAATCACGAGTAGATTTTACAACAATAATTAACAAGTTAAATAAGTTGTACTGTCGTGCGATGTAATTTTAACTTTAACGCATGCGAACTAAGGTTCAATGTCTTATGCTTTGCGGCTTAAAAAAATCAATGAAGATAAAATTACAAAGGATAACGTTTTAAAATCTTTAATATTTTTCACATGTTATTGCACATTAAGGCATTATATAATTTAAAAATCGAAAATAAATTGAAAAAATTTTCGCCTCGTCTTAAACAAAATAATATTGCAATAAACAAACAAAATACCAGATAATTCTGGTGTGTTCGTTCTCTATGTAAGAAAGTAAGTAGTAAGAATTAAAAACGAAAGGGGTTTGTCGTGGACATTACACTCACGTGTTGTCGGTGCCTCGTCCACCGATCCTTTCAAGATTCTTCAGGAACATGAGTGAGACGAGCGGGTAAGACCGAACTATCCTCAACGCCACATCGATCTCCCGAATCTCGCCCAAGGAATTCTCCAACACCGTCATTGTGTTGCCTGAAAGAAGATCCGTTTTCCAAACGTTTATATAATTTCACCTGTTCTGTTGTCTGTCTTTTATGAAATTAATCACATTAAATTTGAACTACTTCCCGGTTTATGACGGATGACAATGTAATATTCTTTTGACACGGAGCTGATCTGACATTGGATCAGGCTACTATCTATACTGAAGAGTTTGAAAGCGCTAATCTCAGGAACTGGTTCGAATTGAAAAATACTTTGCGCTGGTTAGAGCTTGTATCGAAGAAGGTTTTGGGCTATAAAGCATTATGATTAAATCAATAGGAACCCAGAAAAAGGGAAATGTGGAAAAATATATATATCTTTGAAGATTTCCGAAGCGTGCGCTGCGAAAACGTTTCAAGATATCCAGAAAATATGTACAAAAATCATTCCTCTTTAAATGATATAAAGCATGTCGTGGGCAACAGCTCTATTTTATAAAGATGAGAAGGTTCACAAAAACACATGTCGATGCACGAAATAACTAACGCGGACGTAGTCGCTGACTACATCGAATTTGGACTCCTTTGATTCGTCTCGTATATTTGTTGGATAGAGTGTGTAACTTCAACAATTTGAAAAAAGTGTGTAGAGAAATTGATAAGATGAGAACGCGCTGAGGACTTGAAGACGTCCAGTTCATAACAGAAACATTAAAAAAGTTATTTTTTTTAAACCAGTTTTTTCCACTACGCTATACACCTATATAAATGACGATATGATCGTTATAGAATGTTGTCGTGTTATTTATTGAAATAATGTCCTTGATACTTGAGGAACGATAAGCTGATCTACGATAAGATATACCGTATACTCAATAATAAATACGTAAATATTCTTATTTGTTGCTATTGTGGGAATAAACCTGTTATCATTAGGTACATACTGTCTCGTTCATGAATTTCGAAGATTGGGTCGGGTAATATGTTAGTGCAGTTAATTAAGTATTGTCTGCAGTTTACGCGAGTAATACAGATTTAAATAAAACACTTCACGGCATGCAGCAGCTGTAAACCTCCCCCCTCCTGACCGTGACCGCGGCTACTGCAAAGCATCCGACACCGTAAGCCGTAATTAAAATAAACTGATATTTTTCGCGTTTTGTACCATCAGAATTGTTTTATAAATGTTACGAGGATATTTACAAAAGTTAATCAGATATAATAAGCAGTCATGAATACAAATCACCGCAGTACAATTTACCCCCCCCCCCAAGAAATATCTGCTTTACATAATGATATTTGCGGCCCAGACGTAAGTATAAGAGACGCGTCGTAACGTAATATTATATTCCTATCAAGCTGTGACGTCCGACCGCATTACTATTCTCTTTTGTAGAAATGATTTATTTTTATCGAGAGATGTATTATATTTATCTTGTTTTGGTTGTTGATACCAACGTTTACCAGTTACAAATTAGATTCATTAAGGAAACATGCACAAAAATGTGTCTGTGCCTCGCCCCACAGAGGATTCAAATTCACCAGATTGCAAAACATATTACAAAAGAGAATTAATTGGCGTGTGTTTAAAAAATACTTGTCATTTTAACGGAGTCGTTCGTAGTAGCAATCTATGGTTAATAATCAACTGGTCGTGGGTTCGACGACCATTCGATTAATAACATTTGTAATCTGATATAGTTTTAAAATAGTTGGACTTGTATTTCCGAAAATCCAAAGCCAAAATAGGCTGGGATATTTCAAGTCCCATCAAGTAAACCCGGGGTCCGTCACAATGGCTATTATAGGAACTTACCCCCACTAGCTCTCAGTGCTATCTCTAACACGCCACGTATATGCGTGCATCCGCGGAATTTCTCAGCGGACGCAACGCTATCAATCTTGCCCCCCTCGCAGTCTCGCTTGCAGCCAGACGCTGGACAGGGCTCGCAGCGTGAGTTATGCGCCTCCCCTGTCTGGAAACATCACAATAGTCAATGTAAAAATACTAGTGTTTTAATAAATACACATACCTACTCGATCGATTCGATTTTAGACTTGAACCGGTATCCACAGAGTTCCGTGCGATTGCTCTAATGTAAAGTATTAAAATTTTCAAAAATCAAGTCATTACAAAAAAAGTTAGACCGCCCCTATAACTACATGGTCAAGGATGAGAGGTTCTAGATTTGAGTCCCGGGAAGATAATAGGTTGTTTCGATTTAGTTTAGTCTACTTTGTATTGAAGTAATAGAAAAAGACACAATTATTTACTATCTAAATTTACCTAACTATTCATTAGGTATTATCATAGGCTTAAACAATCTTGATAGACTTGCATAGTATGCCTTTTTTTTATTAGCTAAATAACTCCTATAACTTAAGCAATATAATTAACATTTAATTTAAATAGTTAAAGATTAAACCACCATATACTGCTTACTGTTAATTCAACAACACATTTTAACCATAAATAAATCTATTTTTAAACTTAATTGCCCATTACGACTTAATTAAACAAACTTTTAACACTGCGTAATAAAAAAACAAATAATTATAAATGAAATGACGTTACACCAATTATAATGAGTATACCGAATTAAAACCGGAAATATGTTAATTATCTTAAGTGAAAGATTAAACTTAGATGATACTTATATTATCTTAAACACGCAATGAGAGATAAAAATAAGTCATAGCGTGAATTTTATTATATATACTAAAGCTTAATTAAATTATCTCATTAAATAACTACTTGGGGTTTTGAGCTGCTTGGCCATCTTATGGTTTCCCATCATCATCAGTCTTGGCTTCGCCTAGTCTTAACATCTTGTGATGGTGATCGTGATGGTGGTCGAACGAATCAAAAATCCACGTTATTTTGCAAAATGGCCGCTTATAATAACAATTATACATCTGTCTATAGTTTACGCGAGTAGTTACGTTTCGGATGCTCTGCAGCAGCCGTGGTCACTGGGAGACGGGGAAACGTCGGGCCGAAGTTAAAAATCATTTTCAAATAAGTTTAACTAATATATCGCGTATTAAACCGTTAAAGTGTTTTATTTAAATTATACATCTTACGCAGGGCTCATCGGTCTACTGGTAGCAATGACTAATAATAATCGACAGGTCGTGGGTTCGATGCCCACCGGGTACAATATATTTCTAATCAATTTATAATTTTTCCGACACACGTTAAACTTTGAATCTAAAGTTCAATATCGTTTCGATTTCACTTTGTAGATTTCCGAATATCCAAAGTCAAATAGGTCTCTTTTAAGATAAATATGGCTGTGATATTTCACGTATCACGAATTGAGCCCCATGTATGTCTGCCGTCCTTTATCATAACAAATCTTTACAATATTCCAAGAGTGGTGTATTTTCTAGCTTCAGAAGCAAAAAGTCGAAGAGTACAGATTGTTATGCGAGCCAAGTACGTCATTAAATTTGGACTTTATTAGGTTTTCTCGGCGCAGTCTTTTTTCAGAATACAAATATCGTTTTAATCTGTGAATTGACTTCATGCATGCATGCTTCTCATTACTTTAAGTAAAACGCTTACAATATTTCCGACATTTCAACTTAAGCGTATTTGACGAATTAATATATTTTATGCAGTGAATTAATTTACACACGAATATAAATTAAATTATCTTAATGATCTTGAATGTAGATTTTATGTATTAATCTATATACAATTTAATGTATTATTATGCAATATTGGTAGATAAATCACATAAAAGATCTTGGTTTCGAATTACGTCTTGATAACGTTTAAATATTATTCAACAAGACCCGATTATATTGATTCCTTTATTCGATACAAGTCTTTGATACATCGAACTAAATCGTAAATATAGATAAACCATCTCCATCATAAGTAGAGGTAAGAGAACATCTCAATTTATTAAAGGTAGGAAAAAAGATGTTACAAAATAGAAAAAAAAAACTTAAACCAAACGGTCTCTAGATATTTAAATTGTTTTAGTAGAAAGCCCACTGGAGACTAATACCATACTTGCATGTTTATAAAAGCGATCAGTAAAATGAAAACAGAATCCTATTTGCCCCATTCCACGCAAGGGTAAACGGGACTTCACTAAATACTTCTAATGTCAAACGAAATTGAATCGAAAGAAAGAATGCATCAACATACCTCCATATATCCACTGGGACACATGTAGACGCACTTGTTGTTGTGGAGTATCTTGTAAGCCTTGATGTTGGGCTGAGTGCGACCATCCAGGGCTTGAGGAATCGGCATTGAGCGGCACTCCTGCTCAGTCACGCAACGACGCGCCAACTGATAACGTAATATATAATAAATAGTAGGTGATGATTTATAATGGTAGAGATATATATAGTACCTAGCAAAGTCCCTAGAAACATTTCACAATAAAGTTTTTATAGTTCGTGTCGTTTACAAGAACCTGATCAACATTATTGCTAAAATTATTACAACTTTATTAAATAAAACTGGTGAAAACTAATCTCATAAATATCTGATTAATGAGATTATTATTTTAACCAGAAAACGACATAAGCTTACCAGGGCTCCCTCGAACCATAGCGGGCTAGTGGTGTGTTTAGTAGTCCTGGTCGACTATTGTTTCCGAAGAGGTTGTAGTACGATTGACACTCTCCACGTCTCTATTACCCGACGTGTAATCAGTAAAAAAAAGGAAATGAAAAAAGTTGACCTGTCGGAAGATTGTATCATCAAAGTATACCTGGTAAGTATTCGCAGGGCACCGTTCCATACACGTCCTCTCGGAGCCATAGCGAAAAGAGAAATTGGCGCAGACGTGACAATCGCTCGGCAGGGGTCCGTCGCACCCTCCGAGGCAGGTCACGTGGCAACACGTCCCGTTGCCCACGCAAGCACGACCTCCACAAGAGCTTGGACAGTCTGAAACATGATATGATATTTAGTCAAGATTGTCTTTGCAAATAAAAGTATGCTTCTATACGATTTAAAAATAATTAGCAAGCAAGTAGCCTCTTACCATCTTCAACCGACTTCTATATCAAAGATATCACCAAATTCGAACCTAGATTGCGTAATTTATGTGCAATAAAAAAGTACTTCACACATCGTATTTATTAACAAACTATGTACAAGGGCACATTGCGAGTCCTTTCGTATCCATAAAGGGACAGATTCAAATAATTATCTTAGACAGCATCTGTTGTTACACACCCCGATTAACATAAAAACCCGACTACACATAGGGTTAAATTAAAATTACATTAACATTCATGGCGGCGCATTATACAAATATATTCACCGAAAAGTGCCACCCTAAAGCTAACTTACAATGTACTTCAGGTAAGACGCTATAAAACAACATTTTTATTGAGGGCACACTTGAACGTAGAAATTTTATTAAAAGGGGTCAATTGTATCGCCCGTGTCTGATACGCTACGGGCCAGGCTTTGTGTGCGTTTGAGCCGAACGTCCACTGACAGCTATAATATATAGAAACTAAGTTAAGCTAACGCAAGTATCTTTGATCGTTAAGCGAACGCTATAACGTACCATGGCTACCAATCATGGCGACTTTACATTATTATGTTGATAAGTAAAACTTTATATTTTAAGCTACTTAAAGTTTTCTCGTCTTCGCTACAGTTATATATTTATACATGACCTAGACAAAGTCTTTTAAAAATGAATAAAATTGTAAGTGATAGTAAAATTTTAAATTAAAAATAGAAAAAAAAACATCAGAGGGCGAGAGGGTAGAGTAGGTTCAAAAGTTTAGCTTAGTTAGAGCAGCTTAAGTACGACGTAAAGGTAAAAAGCTAGTTATTATATTTTAGTTAAATTTAAATATTTAAATAAAACACTTTAACGGTTTAAAACACGGTATATTGATTACACTTAGTTGAAAATGATTTTTAACTTCGGATGCTTTGCAGCAGCCGTTGTCACGGGGAGACTAAAGATGGAGGATGTCTCTGACGTCAATGTAAAAATTGCTACGCTAGCGCCATCTGTTCCGTCGAAGTTGGTATTTATTTCGCGATACTGGCCGGGTCCTTACAGAATTTAAATGTGTACTACTTGCGTAAATTATAGACAGTATTTTGAATTTAACTGCTTAAATTAAAACTCAAATAATGATTTTTATCTTACTATATACACTCTTTAATTTATTTCTCTTAGCCGCTAGTGGACGTTTGGCTTAAATGTTGTTTCCATAAATGTATTTTGACAGCAAATAACGCAACAACAAGCTATTCTAACAGATATGAATGAAACACTCGATCCAATGTAATAAAAAATTGTCGAAAAAGTGACACGAAAACGTTGTAAAAAGCGTGCCTTGGACGTGGGGAATGGGGCAGACACATTTATGTGTGTCTTGCATTTGCAGGAATCCGCTCTATCAAGAAAAAATATGTAGTGTACTTAAAATGCGTGAAGACTGTAAAATGAAACTCATAAGAGGAGTGGCGGCGAGTTTTATGCCAGTTCTTCTCGATCGTCCTACGGTCTTGATTTAAGAACTGGTAGTAAATGTAAATTTAGGTTCTTAAGAACTGATGTGATGTTAATAAGTATACCTACGTGAATCAATGTATTGGCTTTTTTAACATTCATCGATTCTATTTAGAATGAACTAAATGATCAGATATTTTTATAAAGACTCATTAAATCAACAAAGTATAAACTAGTCACATATCAACATAATTGCGTTGGCTTAAAAGTAAGGAGCAACTAAGTACGCGAACGTGCATTTTCAATTAGCAAGGAGGTAATATTACTTTTTATGCACGCAGATAATATCTGTAAATGGAAATAAGTAATAAATAAACAATTTACAAATAATTACGGAATTAACACGTCGCATACTAATAACCAGCTTTATTGTTATAAACATGCTGGCTAGATGTTTACATCTATTAGTAGTTTCCACATTTAAGAGTTTAGGATTACAATTTGGTTATGACACTTAATAACTGTTTGATTTGATCCTTATGATAACCATTAGACCAAAACAATTATGCGTCTCGAGAGTCCTTATACTGAAGCTGAGTAAGCCTAGATTAAATAACATTAGTTCTCTTTAAATTAGCATATTATGTCGTCATTAGTGTTCGAAGACATAATTCATTGCTTTAAGCAGAACATGGCATTTTTATGAAATTGAATACGTACATAGTATTTAAAAAATGAAAGATACGAGACTGTGAAGTCATATTAAAATATGAAGAAATGAAGACTGCTATTTGACAGATTGTAACAATCTCAGTCGAGTCAGTCGGAAAATACAGACAATTCAAAATACCCGTGTAAAAAAATTACCTCTCTTTTGGCAATGTTTGTCGTCCCAACAGAGCAAACGGCCAGACGAGTCCGCGGGGCACTGCAGGTGCTGTTGACGATGGTCTTCCACTCGGCTTTGTGCGTTTGGACAAAGGCCACACAAACGTGTATCGTAGTTTGACTGTAAATATTGCATTAATTAGATTTTATCTATGACCTAACATAATTTTAATTAGTAATATTCATACAAATAACTAGTGAATTAAATTTTAGATTAAGACCGCCTCAATCTTTAATTACACTTACTCTAAATTATTTTAAATAGATAGTAATTATACTTATTGAGAAAATAATTTAGATACAAAATCTAGAAAACACAACGACCTAATCTATGACCTATTACATAAATAAAAACATTTAATTCTTTCATATGATCATTAGGAATAAAGACCCAACAATGTTGAAGGTAACTATTTTTATTAATATCTTTCTACAGGGATTTAATGTTTATCAACGATCAACTTTCTCAGCGTCAATGCAAGAAGGATTAGTATTCAATAGCACGCTGAAGCATAAAATCGAATTGGCCATAAAAATTTCATATCAATAACGTACTGCAAGAAATCAACATTCCTCGAATATGTTGGCGATGTGCGAGCAACATTCCACCCAACATTGCACATATAGTGCAAAACGGAACTAATAACAAAGAGATCCCACGGTCCGACCAAACGAGTTTGGTTTTACGCATACTTCGTACGGATAGGAATCGCGAGCTTTTTAAGATTTGACTACTTGTAAGGGCTTTTAGATCAAGTTGTTTAATATGGTTTTGAGAATTAGATATTTTAACTTTATTAATTTTTACATGTTATTGCACTTGAAGGCACTATATAATTTAAAAATCGAAGATAAATTGAAAAAATACCTTGATACGCAAGTGTTAAGGTTTAAATTACATTGCGCGACAGGTGCATGTATCAATAAGTTGAAAAAATTCGACGATGAGGTGTAGGACTCGGTAGCTCAATTGGTAAAGCAACAGCACGGAACGCTGACGATGCCGGTTCAAGTCCTGCCCGAGTCGAAATTTTTTTCAATTTATCTTCGATTTTTAAATTATATAGATAATTTTATTTAACTGCAATCATTCATTGATTAAAGCTAGGACGATAGATATTGACAACGTGTATAAAAATATATAATATAAAACGCCGTATTGTTAAATATATCATTATAACAAACTAGCCGATGTGGACCAATTGATACAACTCAACAAAGAGTTGTTTTCGACCTAGTTTTATTACCATGAATCGGTTCTTACGAGTTAATTTTAAAAGACAAACATATATAGAATCGCAAACATGTTTTATATCATTTAAAGAGGAATTATTATTTCATACATATTTTCTGGTTTCTTAAATTGTGAACGCAGCGCACGCAACGAAATCCCTATAATACATATATATATATATATATATTTTTTTTTTTTTTTTTTCTGTTTTTCCCAAATTTTCCATTGTTTCTTTGTGTTATATAGCCTAAAGCCTTCCTCGATAGATGATCTATAATTGTACAATTCGAACCAGTAGTTCCTGAAATTAGTGCTTTTAAACAAACATACAAACTAACTGTTCAGCTTTTTACTATGAGTATTGATAAATTACTTTACACTACGCTGTCCTTTTCTTCAACCTTAGGGCCAGACTATATAAGCGCTATTAGCAATAAAAAAACGAACGCTTATTCGAAACAAAAAGCCTTTAGACTATAAATTACCTCGGTCCAATCTATTTGGTCAAAGGGTAATTTGCATAACGGTGTCACCATAATATTAAATGTATGAGACAAATGAAATATGGGCGAGTGATATAAACTTAAGTGTTTTATAGGAAGACGGCGAAGTCTTTCGACTTCGTCATCCTTTCGAATGATAATGATTTTGATATGTATGTATGTACTACTATAGCGTTCAAACTAGAGAACAGAATTTGAAAGAACGAGATGTTAAACATTTTTTACAACAATACCGCGAAAGTGACATACGTTACTTAATCTATATAGTTAAATATATACATTTTTTAAATTTAATCTTGCGTTAACGAGTACATTAAGGATTTTATCTTGAATGCGAATGTTTTTAAATGCTTGTTTTGAAGCAGCTATGTTCCTCCGTGACCTCGGCTGCTACAAAACATCAGGATGGTCGGACTTTATTTACTAATTAATATATTTCGCGTTAAAAAACGGGTAAATTTGTTTTATTTAAATGTGTCATGTCGTTTAAATAAAAAATATATATTTGAACGTGGTTGTGCGTTTGTCGTTCTCTAGTTATAAAATAGTCAGGTTATAATTCTCGAGTAATCTATAAGTAGGTGGAACTTACCCTAATGATGTTATTGCTTCCGTCAGCTACGATCTTCGACCAGTCAATAGTGTTGGCATAGCAAAGCCGGTCGTTATTTTGAATACGCACCGCTCCTCTCTCGATACGAGTAAGTGAACGTAGACCCAAGGACTGGAAAAAAATATTGTACGTCGCTTCATTGCTTCATGAGGTCCATCATGACTGTAGATCATTGATCCTAAACATTTAAGACCTTGTCTAAACCGAGCATTGAGTGGGTGATAGGAAAACTTTGAATTTCCGAATGTCTCGAATCGGCAATAGGTCTTAGCCGTGGTCTCTCCGTGACCAGGGCTGCTGCAAACGTCGGGCCGAAGTTAAAAATCATTTCCAAATAAGTTTAACTAATATATCGCGTTTTAAGCCGTTAAAGTGTTTTATTTAAATTTGTACTACTCGCGTAAACTATAGACAGTATTTAGGTCTTAATTACATTTAACAGACTTCACCATCTATCAATGAAGACCCACGCTTGCCCTCCTGTAAAATTCTTAATAAGTAAGCGCGCTAAATGTTTTTGACAACCTTGTTGGTGTAAACAATGTGTACGGCTGTAATCAAGGCTATATCAATGAGTCGTACATTCGATTCCTAATGAGTCAAAAAATTTTTACTCAAATTATATATTTTTTTAATAGATGATTGGAAATATGGATTTTAAATGAATGGTATGAATAAGAAATTCCCTTTTATTATTAAATTCAATTGAGATGTTTAATTTAAAGCAAAGATTTCTGTCTGGTATTGTAAGATTCACAGCTTAGAATACCAAACAATAATTTACTCCAGTTGTGACAAGGTCTCTGAGGGGGGATATAATTCGCAATTTTTTGTTATGACAGAATAGGACAGATAACCATGGGGCTCGATGAAGGGTAAAATATCAACCACAAATTGTGCTTTTAGCATTGCTAATTCAGACATTCGTACACTCGATTCCTATTAGTAATAAAATTCAGCGTTACGTTCAAATCTTGTTTTAATGAGATTTATTATATATCCTTTTTTAAGAATCATGAGTAACCACTTCAGTTAATAAAACGTCGGGCCGTACCTAGTTAAAATAAGTTAGCTTATATTCGCGTTAAATACTGTCTCTAGTATACGCGAGTAGTCCACGTTTAAATAAAATACTTAACGGTTTAAAACGCGATATATATTAGTTAGACTTCTTTGAAAATTATTTTAACTATGGCCCGACGTTACGGATGCTTTGTAGCAGTGTTTTATTTAAGCGACCGCCTCTGTAGGTGGTTGAACATGGTTGAAATGGTTACCGTTTACCTAGCATTGTGTTAAGCGCGAGAGGTCCTGGGTTCGAATCCCAGGGAAACAAAAAATTGTTTTTGGCAGGGGACAGAATTCTGATCAACTACTTGTCCGTTAAAAAACGGATTAGTGAAACGGACACAGATATGTATTTGTCCCATTCCCCACGAGGGAGAAACGGGATTTAAAATTACTCGCGTAAACTAGACTATATTTAATAGAAGCATTTTATAGACTGACAATAGAATGGAGCTTGTTAGGCTGACAAGCCGAAGAACTTGACTTCTTGGGATTTGAACCCAACACCTTTACTCATAGTGCGATTCAAGATTCGGAGCTTTAAACGTGAATATTTCTGCGAATAAAAACAGTATAACAATGGGAGCTTTTAGGCTTCCGCCGAGAGATCCACGCATAAGTATACCTCGAGACCTTCATTGTCAAATATGACGAGGGCGTAATCCTTGAATAGCTGCAGGCCTCTTATCACGGAGAGATTTGGAAACAGGTCGCCGAGGTTCCGTACGCCTCTTAGTCTGAAAGGAGAGAGAGCGGTTAGGGTATAGTATAGTAGTAGAGCGGTAGGTTATACTTTTTCATTTATAACAATTGTTATTTCTTATACGTTAATATAAAAAAATAACATTTATATTTTCCTGTCTAAATAGACATTGTGATGACATTTAATAAAATAATAGAATAATAATATTATTAAAAATAATAGTGATTATCTTAATCTTTACAATTTTAGTGAAGGTAAATCGATTTATCATACGATTCCTATAATTAAAAATTTTGATAGAGTAACAATGGTATTCAGTTCTTTCAGTCGTGAGTTCTAGTCCCTCCATTGGCATAATTTCAACAATCTATTCATTCTATACATCATTCAATACTAAAATTCGATTATTCCAACTATAACGAGAAATCTTGTTTCAATATGTATTTCGTAATAAAGATACCCATACATTGTAAAAAGACAAGAGTAAAAAACAAAAACATAAAATTAACATTGTATCCTATATTCTCTCCCTACAAGGAGGCGCCTCAAGGTTTTTATGCTCTTACACGTGTAATAAACAAAAACAACACCTCGCAATATTGTAACACCAGTGCACTATTTATAGAGGTCTGCGTTATTTGATAGCAGTCGTCACAATTCACTATATTCACGTGTAAATCCACGTAAAATAAAAATTTGCTCTTACGTCAGGGTTCTCGTAACTTAATGCAAGTAGAAATGTAAGTTAAGGGAAACGTAATTGTAGAACGCCTCCATAACCCTATTGCGTGAAGCAAAAGAGGTCAGGGGTTCAAATTCTGAGGAAAAATATTTCGATCGCATAAGGCACAAAAGTCTACTATGTGTACACATACAGATAGTAGACTTTTGTAGAGACAGACAGAAGTATATAGGCTGGGGTACTTCCCATCATCTAAAAAAAATCATTTAAAAAAGTACTTATTGCCAGCACAAACGATCATGATGACAAATATAAAACTTATATTCCATATCAGAAGTAGTCTACCTAATAGATACCTTATTTCTTTTTACTTTAACTTAATATATCTATTACTTAAAGTGATTGGTAACGGCCGTTTAGATTGTAAGAAACTGTTTTAACGAAACAAATTTTGTTTAAAACTTCATAAACCATACGTTAAATATTCAGACCAAAACTACCTAATTAAATAAATATCGCTTGCAAAAAATTTTAGGTAATTTTATAGCACGGAACCCTTGGTGCGTAATACTACTCGCACATACCCTACTACTACTACTACGCTACTAGGCCCTAATTTATTGCAAAATGGAATACCTATAAATCAAAATGTAGCCGGTCACCTCTCGCAGTTTGGGGAAGGAGTAGTTTTCGAAGGACGTGTGCGTAGCTCGCTCCATGAGGACGATGTTGAGGTAGCCCTCAATCACCCGGCAGTCCTGGAGCTTCTTCATGTGCTCCGGGTTGTTGCGGATGTCTATGGAGGGACATACTGGAACAAGAGACACAGAATTAATACGTATAGTATGTATTGACATAGTGATGTTTTAAACAGACAATTTTAAGGTTCACGTGAAGAAGGAAGAATTACATCATATAAAACCCAAAATAAGATCCGCTTTCAAACTTTTTTAACTAAAGCCAAAGTCTAGATATGAACGACGTTTATATCCAGATTTTGCAGGCGAAGTTTTGCGCAGGAATCGGACCCACGATCCATTACAACTAGCCATACAGCCATCAACAAAGCAAAGCCCGATATGTAAGTGGTAGAACTTAGACAATAATTTACAATTCGATAATTAAATTCATTTATATTAACCCCATCTGGATTAAAGTATGTTTGTAGTTTCCGCAAGTATTTCACAATTAAAATAAAACACTTTTAACGGTGTAAAACGCGAAATATATTAGTTAACTTATTTGAACTATCTGCCAACGTTTCGGGACGTGAATACTGATCGGAGTTTATTGTAAAAAAATGACACGTTTCTAGACAAACGTTTTAACAATAAGAAATGGCAAAAAATGTAGGATGGCACCGCCATAAGCGAACAGAATTCCATGAGATCTAACACGCTTCGAGTTAATTTAATTAGCGGTAATTAATTTGTTATTGTTCTTCGCAACTCGATTAAGTATTTATCAACGGTCTCCCACGGAGCGATGAAGACCACATGGAATGAGTGTTAGTGGAAATTGCTAATTACTATTTGTGAGAGACATTGTAATGTTTGCCGGTTCTCATACAGTGCCTATCCGTACCCTAATGTTAGCCGTGGGACATAGCCCGTCATTATAAAACGTTTAGTCTTACAAAAACATGTAAAGATATATTTTGATAGTTACACTATATAAAATTGACCAAACAAAATATAGTTTATATTTCTAAGTACGGCAAGGTCTGTAGTTGACACGAGTAGTAAACATTAAAATATACATTTTTCACGGTTTAGAACTCTAAATGTATTGATAAGTGGCCTGACTGCATCACCCCGTGACCACGGCTGCTGTAAAACCTTTGAAAAGTCGGGCCGTCGTCAAAAAATTAAATAAGTTTAACTAATAGATTTCGTGTTTCAAACAGATAAAAATGTTTTATTTAAATATGGTAAGGTTGACAGTTAAAACATTGTAATTAAGCAATCACAGGCCCTAATTCATTGAGTTATTTTTACAGTAAGAAAATATATTTGTTAAAAAAGAGTCTAAATATGCAATGTGTTATAAAACTGCCTATAAATAACTATGAAATTTTGCAAGACCGAATTTTAAAACCGTTAAGTGTTCTTGGAAAAGGCCTTCTTAATATCATCAAATCTTTTAAAATATGTATTTAATATAAGTAATACATCAATACTTTTTATAATCCTATTAGGGTTCGGGTAAGTATAATTAATTAAATTAATAAAAGCGAAAACTGTTCTTCACAACCAGTCTCTCACAATCGATAAGCTTATCCACCATGCTGCTCAAATACGGCTTGTTTAAGTGACTATCGACACTAAACTTAACTTCTATTTGAAAACATATTGCGCGACCTGAGATCGAATATTGAACCACGGCAACTTCAGTCGAGTGAGCAAACACTGAGGCAGATGAGGAGAGTTAATACTGACTTATTAGTGACTTTATAGTCCAAGTAAACAAGTATCAACTTTTGTAACAACGGTTTTATTTTCTATGCACTGAAAAGTACAAAAAAATTTACATAATCACCGTGTTTTACTAGTGTAGCCCCTTCATTTGATATCCATATTGTTAAGGAAAAATATAAAATCCGCCATTTTGTATCGGTGGCCATCTTGGATTTATAATGTTATTGATTATTTTATTATTATTATATTGTCATCTAAATTAAATATGTGTACCAAATTTCAGATCAATCTGACAACGGGAAGGTGATTAAATTTCAATTTTTAATTTTGACCCAAATGAATAAATTCCGTACGCGTCGAGCTAAATAAAACCGTTTAACAATTAAATGTTGACGGTTTTTTTATTATGAAGAAAATATCAAACTCTAGAATATCATTGTTAATATTAATAGTTTTCTCTTTGCAGCCTTACACTATTTATTGTGTTACTTGATGATTCTCACTGAAATCTAGCTCATATTGTGTCGGAGTTCATATTGTAAGACCTGTTTGTGAAGTGTAGAGTACAAGCACGTAGTACCAACGTACTACGACAGAATAAATACTATAACCAAGTACATTTTACGACTGCAGCGTGGTACAGATTACGCAAGTTGATAGCTACTCAATAACCTGTATGTATTTTAAAGAAACATGCGATTAATATTGTTTGCATAATTAAGTTTGCAAGAGAAAAACATAACTTTAACATACTCGCTAGTAATTATGGTACCCCGTGACCACGGCTGTTGTAAAGCATCCGGAATATCGAGCCGTGGTTAATAAAAAAAATAATACATTTGTGTTTTAAACCGTTTATTTTGTTTATCCGGAAATCGATGTTAGCTTAGTCTTTGTAAACATTTTGTGAATTTTGTTTTTAAACCTTGAAAAGTCTTGTTCAAGTCTAATAAACTTAGGGGGGCGTAATAGACTCGTATCAATTGCAACAAATCGAAATTTTCGTTGCAAAGTAATTAAAAGAGGTTTGCTAAAAGGTAGCGAAGCAAATAAAAACACAGATAAGCAAGTACATATAGGTAACTATTTATAGTATGTCATACATTTAAAAAGTTTTTACTGCGAAAGTAACGCTAACTCATAGCTGTTTATATTCTCAAGTACAGTACGTGCGGCAAGGTTGAAAGTAATTGCGTTGTTTTAATATCGCGATTTACGCAGTAACGCCCCGACGTAGTACGCATGCGCGTGAAAAGCGCGGGAGGGCGAATGAGTGCATTAGAAAAATATAAATATGTACTATAGATTGTCTATGTGCGATTGTAGTTTCTAAATTCAAATAGCCAGAAAGAGTTCGTTAAAAACGGTTTGCAGTAGTGCTTGAAGAAGATAAAATCAATAATTATATTTTCTACATAGGGCAATAACAGATCCAGTACTTAAAGAATGATTACTTGTTTTAGTATTGTATTATATTGATGAGACATTTAGATTTTTTTTGCTTTACCGTTAAGGACAATTTTAACCGGATTTAAGTTTTTCTGCTATTTTGTCCGAATATAAATTTACGAACAGCGCAATCAATGCATTCTAAATTCGAAAGAACACGAGTCAATTGTCAAACGAAGCGTTATCGAACCAATGGTGGCGAAGGACGCGCGATTGGATTGTGAATGAAAACAAATCGTATTGCGTACGAGTCGGTTTGTTTAGTCATTAAAGTCTCAGGAAACGAGCTATCATTTCATTTATATACATTCCATGTAACTTATCTCTAAAATTATATATAAATCTGAATTACATAGTTGGTAGTTTAAGTTTTAGTTTTAACGGGTTAAAACGCGAAATTAGTTAAGCTTATATGAAAATTATTTAAACTACGGCCCGAGGTTTCGGATACTTTGCAGCAGCCGTGGTCACGGGGAGATTTTATTTAAACGTAAATTAAGTTTAAACATTCACGTTATAAACGGTTAGTGTTTTATTTTAATATATGTCAGTGTGACTTAAATTAATACACTGATGGTATCAACAAAATTCTAAATTATGTTACTCAAAGTCTTTGTATGCAAATAGTGCATCAATAAACTACTACACTAGGTACTGGATCTTGCTTTGCTTGAAACACTTTATTATACTTTCCCTGAATTTAAACACACGAAGCAGTTTAAATCCTTGTCTTGCTGTTTTATTTTTGTGTTTCAAATGTGAAACCCCGTTTCCCCTACACGGTAAGGGACAGATATATTCATGCGTCCATTTCATAAAGCCATTTTATTCACAGACTAATAGTTAATCAAAATAGTGTGGTCTGATTGAACAAAACTTATTACCCCGGGATTTGAACCTCTTACTCTTACTTCAATATTGAGCCACGAGCTATTTAACAAAATTTAATTTAATCTTGTCGTAGTATTATTATTTTACTTTTATTATTATTATTTTTTATTATAATTACATTTATTTTTACTACATCTAATGATTGTACAAAATGAATGCTAAATAAAGAGATTTTTATTATTATTACTACTTATTACTAATTGTTCAAAGACAATAGCATCAAACAGCAAGACATTTCCGATTATCCTAAGATCTGTGAAAGTTTGATGGACGTTCGCCACAATCCGCATTTATGAATAGAGTGCTTCGTAGTCGCAGTGGGTGCATTGTAATGCAAATGAACTCTATCGCCCCCCCCTACCCCCCACCCTCCCGCGCCCAACCCAGACCCGAAGCGTCACTCGGCCCAGCGGATATTTATAGTGCGGAATGTTATTGTACTCCTTACAGGTACTTTTTATGACAGGAGTCTAAAGAAATGGGACTACCACATAACACCGCAACAAGATGCGCCGTCGACCTAATTCAGTATCGGACTCTCCGAAATTCAAAGTCTGAACTCGAAGCGCAATAACAGATTACTGCTTTTCCATCTCGCGTGACTACAGAATAGAATTGAGATAACTGAATTCGACCTGAGATCCTACCCCCGATAACTCGAAACTAATTTTTATTTCGGTATGGTACTTTCGGAAATCCACAGACTGAAACCAAAACGCAACATTACTGCTTTTCTTGCTATCTCGCGTGATAGAAGACAGAAATAAACAAAAAAGCAGTGGTGGGCCCACTTATGGTGAAATACCCCAGACAACATCCAAACAAGAAGCGATATCGACCAATATCGGCATTAGACACTCGGAAAACGACACGCTGAATACGAAACGCCATAAGAGACTGATGCTTTTCCCTTAAGCGCGCACGAATTTCTTTTAATCCTACTAGCCCATTTCATGAACAGATTTTCCTAACTTATTTTAACATGAACCTGGCTAAATGTTTTGACGGGTTCGTTGGTGGTAATGGTAGCAATGTACGGCTAATAATCAACGGT